CATCCATTCTATGAATACAACAGGAGGACAAAAGAGTGCAGGCCCTACAGAGTTAGCCAACAACCTGGCTGACTACAAAGGAGAACAAGCACACATCATTCTGATACAAGAGCCCTGGGTTGGCATACCACAAGGCAGGAGAATGGGAGTAAAGACACACCCCAATTACGATATATACTCCCCAGTGGATTCCTGGGACAGCGACAGTACACGGCCCAGATCTCTTATCTATGTGAGAAAACACCTTTAAGCGGATCAACTTCGGTTCTATGCTACACGAGACATCACCTGGGTCAAGGTACAAGGTATTACATTTGCCAGTGTCTACCGGCCATGTAACAACCCACAGGAAATGGATGATATTCTGGAAGTATGGACTCCACCTTTTGGCTGCGTTATAACTGGAGATTTTAATGCTGGCAACACATCCTTAGACTCGAACAATCCAGGATATCATGGTGGTGTCATACTTGCACAGACTATGGCAGACCACGGACTGGATCTGATTTCTGAACCAGATGTCCCAACACATGATGACAGAAATGTACTAGATCTGGTGTTCTCAGATGTCCCCATGGCTGAAGCCTCAGTCAATGATACACTTCAATGCACCTCAGATCATAAGACATTACGAATAGTCATTCCAATTCAGGGAGATCTAGACCGAGTCCCCAAGGCCAATTATTGGATAGTACCGGACGATAAACTACAAGAGCTGACAGATAATGTACAAACCAGGATTCATGAACTCCCCCGGCTGGGTGTATCCCCTGGCCAGGTAGATGCCTTTACACAAAGCTTGATCAACATGATCTAAGGCTGTATCAGGACAGTGGGCAAGAAGCTCCGTCAATTTAGGCCCACTGCTTGGTGGAATGATGACTGCAAAGCAGCTGTTCAGACATACAGGGCCCTTTCTAAACAGACCACAAGCCAAGAAGGGCGAAATTCAGCCCGACGGGAATTTTGCTGTGTGGTCCGAAAAGCTAAGAGAGAGTACTGGCAGACTCTAATTGATTCAGCAACTGAACCAAAAGACCTGTACAGAATTGTTTCCTGGCACAAGCTGTCAGCAGGATTGCGTTCCCCCCCAATCATCATAGAGGACCAAATCTTTGAGTCACAAGAGAGCAAGGCAAATGCACTATGCTTAGCCACGTTTGAACGAAGTACCCCAGACAACGATATCATCGACCCCTGGTCTGCTCAGATCACACAAGCCAAGCCACACATCCCCCTTGAATACCATGTCGGACTAGAAGAGGCTGAAGGGTGCACTATAGGGACCAAGAGCAACTCCCTAGAAGTAGACACCCTCACAGTACGGATTCTGAAAGCTTGCTGGCCAGTCATTGGGGAGCATATCAGAGCCCTTTTCCAGACCTGTCTACAGATTGGACACCACCCTAAACCATTCAAAGTAGCTGAGGTGGTAATGATCCCAAAGCCAGGCAAGAAAGACTATTCTAACCCCAGGGCCTACAGACCAATATCGTTATTATCATGTCTTGGCAAAGGCCTAGAACGACTCATTGCAAAAAGAATTACCTGGTTTATCATCAAACTCGGAATTCTAGCTCCACAACATTTTGGAGCTCTGCCAAAGCGCTCTGCCGCCGACTTGGTAGCTGCACTCATACACGATATTGAGCAGGCCCTTGACCAAGGCCTTGTTGCAACGGTAGTCACAGCAGATGTGACAGGGGCCTTTGACGCTGCTCTAATGGGACGGCTGGTGGTTCGCATGAAAGAACAGGGCTGGCCAGACTTTCTCATAAGATGGGTCCAGTCATTCATGTCTGAACGGTCCGCAAGAGTTCGGTTTAAAGGTATTGTGACCGGCATAAAAGCTCTCACTTGTGGGCTACCACAAGGCTCACCAGCTTCTCCAATCCTTTATATGCTGTATACAGAGCCAATCTGTGCCCGACTCGGTATGAAAAGGAGACGCTTTGGATATGCAGACGACCTAGCGACTCTCTGTATTGGAAAGAACCTTAAGGAAACAGCTACAAAGGCTTCTGAAAACCTTCATTTATTCAACCAATAGGGACATAATAATATTATTGAGTTTGACCCCAATAAAACTGAGATCATGCACTTCTCACGGGAAAAGAACTCAGACAATCCTCCGGTCTGCCACAGGACAATAAACAGAACAGCAAAGAACTCCATGCGATGACTGGGTGTCTTCCTGGATAGAAAACTGAACTTCAAAGATCACGTTTCCTACTGGGCCAAGAAAGCTAGTAAGGTAACAAACCACCTTTGAGGACTATGTAACACAGTCAAAAGACTTCCAGTAAAGTCAACCAAGAGGGCTGTGAAAACTTGTGTTATTCCTATTCTTACACATGGCCTGGAGGCCTGGTACCCAGGAATGAAAAAAATTAAGAGCTTAGGTGGGACATCAGCATGTTGCATTAAAGGGCTTCTTAGAACGATAGATGCTGTACTACAAACGGCAATCAGAGCTATCTTGCCAGTCTGGAAAACACACCCTGGACATATCCTACACTTTGAATCACAGATTCCTCCAGCAAGAATTCTTACAGAGTCAATAAGAAGACGTCACGGCCTTCGACTCGGACGAGTAGATCAGAGACACCCTCTTGTTGGCAGGCTCCAAATACAAGCTTGCAAAGAACCAACAAGGCTACAAAGGAGCTTCCAACTAGTTCCTGACTTCCAGAGACCAATACTCACCAAGCCATTATGGAAGAAGCCCCCAGTCTGTAAAGACAAAGACAAAAAAACAGAGCTCTTCAAGCAATGGCTACAGGAAAGAAATGCGAACACTGACCTTGTCATCTATTCAGATGGATCACAATTGGACGACCAAGGCACAACCCACACTGGATGGGGCTATACCATCAGGAAAGGCGGCACTACACAAGAAGTATACCAGGGAAAGGGCAGACTTCTCCAAGCAGAAATAATAGATGCTGAAGTTCATGATGCTCTCTAAGGTCTTGCAGCAGCCAGGGCAATTGGACACAGAAAACAGCTATATGTCTGCCTGGACAACACGTCAGTGGTAGATGGGCTCAATAGGACTCCACCCGAGACATCACAGAACATTTTTCTACGATTTCAAGAACTTGCCACAGCACATACTCCTGGAGTGACCATCAAGTGGATTCCTAGACACAGAGATATTGATGGCAACGAAGCTGCCAACACACTAGCAAAAGAGGGTGCCATGCTAGAAATAAACACAACAAACCTTCCTACAATCTCTTAGGTCAAGAAAGATCTCAAAAAAAAGGGCAAGAAAGAGTTCAATTAATGGTAAAAAGATCAATCAGAACCTAAATATCAAGAAGTATACTCACATGCAATAACTAAAAGAGACCTTATATCTTTTAAGAGGAATACTTTATACAGACTTCTAGCAGCCAGATCTGGACATGGCGACTTTGCCAGATACCATGAACGCTTTGGGCATACAGACTCGAATGATCACTGCAGCTATGGTGAGAAAAAAACACCACAACACATTTTCTTTTGTAAGAGGCTGGGGAAAAACCGGTTACTGCCTAGGTACTCGCCTAGGACAGCTTGTTTACAATACTTAAGGGAGAGGAGCACAGAATGGGCAAAATTTGTGGAGAAGAGCAAGTTCTTTTCAACAATCTGCCCCTAATAGATAGCTTTTCTTGAAGGACCAGATGAATGACCCCAAGGTCATACCGCCGCAACAACGGGGATGTGCCCGTGAGAGGGACTGACTGTACTTATTATCTTGAGACCTCCACAACCCTGCGATACAGAGGCTCTGGGAGGCGTGGTTTGCACTACTGAGGAGCTACCCCCCACGTTAAATACAAAACAAACAAACAAACAATAATCTTGTAGGCTTTCACTGGAGCCATATCAGTGGCGTTAAGGTTGGGGTGAGAAGACAAACAGAGTTCAGCTATGAGCCACTAAAAAAATCGTTAATTTGCTCAAGGTTACGGTAGAGCCTGAATTGATTCTACAACATCGATACCATCTCTCAGTCTGCTGGGCTGGGAACACAAAATCATAATCTTGTAGGTCTAGCAAAATGTTTTAGCTTTCCTTTGTGTGGCTAACTAAAAAGCGGAAGATGTGATGAAGGTTCGTGCGTATCTGAAAGATGCCGTCTCTCAAATAGGTTCTCATAGTTAAAAAGCAAGCAAAGTGTAAGTAGGGCAACCAAGTCTAATTCAAGGTCTAGTAACTCTCTTAATCACGCTACAGAAGATGCCCTCACCGTCAATAAATCTGGTGAAGCCATGTTAGCTGAATCCCCTGGCAACAACACTACTTTATGGGCACCACTATGATGCCCCATGTACTATGCAACTGCACACAGTAATGTAAAATGATAGGGCCTCGACGAAAAGGGATACTAACCTTCCCTGAGTCTTTTTATTGTTCTAGAGGCAAGGAGTGAAGAGACGGTTGAGATTTTGGGTGAGAGAGATCACACTACTATTTTTATCCCTGCCATCACCATCATAGTACTGGGTCCTATGCAGCCATTACTCATTGTTGACCATTGAGATTACTTTCTAAAAGGTCTACTTAAGTGAATGTGGGGAACGTGTTGGATATCGTACCAGGCTGAGGCTTTCGGTGATGAATGCGCTGATAGGTGGCTTCATGGCATTCACCTGGCGCCACTATCAGATGATTATCTGGTCACTCTAGCGACATTATCGTACGACTATCTGGTCACCCTGATGGCATACCTGTACATATATATGGGGACTTCTCCCCCAGAGATCTTCTTCTCTTCCCTCTTCTAATACAGAACGGTTTGAAATCTCACAGAACGTGAGGGGCGTACATGAACGATGCGAGGCAATAAGGTAAAATGGCTTGGTAGATGCTGTCCTTGTATTTTATTGATCGGCTGTTTCAATTCCACACTCGAATTAGAGGCCGGCCTTGTCCTTTCCAATACTCCTCTGCGAGCTTTATTTCGGACACCTCCTGGATTCTTTTCGTGCCTTTGTAATATACCAGTTTCACTCGTCCCAGATGTTCCGGTGGCTCATCTCCAACGCCACGTCTTCCAATTCTGTTTTCAGTTTCTTGTCCCATTTCCCTTCCCCCATTCGTCATCAGTAACTTCTGTATTTCTGGCAGTTGCGAGTCGAACTCTTGTCGGCCGTGTCGGCCAAATAGATAATCCCGAAGTATGGAGTACGACATCCTTTTTGGACGTCCCTCGACCTCGTTAATCATGTGTGTGGAAGATTGACCTCGTATGCTGCTCTCGCCCCGGACAGTATCGGTATCGTTCTCCGCAGATTGGATGGCGTCTTCGGTCTGTCGCTGTAATCGAAACTGTTCTAGGTCGTTGCAAAGGAGATTGCACATGCGCAATGGGCTTAGTTGACCATCCCATTTGCGGTGTTCTTTGTAGTGCGGCTCGGGGTACATGTATACCGCATCGAAAGCATTGGGATCCCCCATTGCATTTGGATCAGCACCTGCTTCCAACAACAGTTGAACAGCCACAGTGTCCCTAGATAGGACCGCAACCTGAAGCGGAGTAAGTAAGAATCCGCCCGGATCAGGGCTCGCCCCTAGAGACAACAACTTCTTGAGTCTGCATTCTGGACGGCATTTATCTCTTGAATGGTCCCACTCATGCCATACGATGTAGAAGCGCAAAGTTTCTCGCTGATCAAGTAGCCGGCATAATATGTCGAACTGGACCATCATCAGACCCCGAAGTCCCAACGACATCATTGGCGATGTCACGTCCGCAAGGCAACACAGTATCGTATCCTCCTTGACCTTCATTTGAGCCCTGGAGTGTTCATTCTTGGGTATACTCGATTTTGCAAGCAGCTCGGAAGCCTGTACTCTCTCTTCGAACAAGTGGGCCCCCTTCATCTCGATGAATCGCTCTGCCGTAGGATATAGCTTGTGCTGCAGAAGATTTCCAAGGATGACTGCATCAACAGTCTGTCGGCTGTGCCCATAATCCGATGCAGGAAGGTCGAAGATAGGGTGTATATGGTGGGAAAACAATCTCAATCGGCTATAGAAAACGGATTGATAGTGTGGCAGTAAGGGATTGAATAGATCGAGCAGAATCCCCCCAGACTCCGAATTATCAGGAACCAGAAGACCTAGTCTGCTTAGCGGGTGCGACAGAGATACAAAAAAATTAAGACAGAACCATGAGAAACTGTGTTCATCGATGATCGCTGCATTGGGCGGGCGTAGCTGTAGCAGTCGGCGAAACACATCTGTCGTCAAACTCTCAAGCACATTCGGCTGGATGCAGAACTCTGCATACTTGGTATGAAGAGTCTGCTGAGACTCTAGATACTCCCGGATGGTGAAATGAGCCAGCTCTACCTCATGAGTTTCAGCATCCAAGCGGATTAAACACCCACATATTTCCTGGATGTCTTCTTCGTCGTAAAAGGACCCCTGACCTAGACTTTGGAGAGCTGCTTCGAGAAGAGTTCTGATCGTAATGCGTTCCGGCGGCAGCATGTGTTCATCATAGTACTGTTTGATCGAATGTGGGTAGAGAGTCCAACGCAAGAGAGCTTGCAAAAACTCCTTGTCTTCGTCGGGAATGAGGTCAAATATTCTTTCGTAGGTCTTGTGCAGGTCGGGGGGTAATTCTTTGAGCGCGTTTTTCACTTGCTCTGCCGTGTGGTATCGCCGTAGAAGATCAAGTTGACATTTCACCCACTGGAACCTAACCACAAATCATCAGTATCAAAGAACTTGTTTTGGGATCCGTTAAGTGAGCATCTACATGCCGCGAGCACCGTCCACTAACGTAGTCTCAACCTCGTTAACGAGATCTTCGGGCCACTTCTTGAACACTCTGTTGGGACTTCGCCGTATCGTCTGGTCTACGAATCTCTCGGTGTCCTTTTTGATGTTCTCGTTATTCATCGGAAGGGATGTGGCATAACCACGCATCGAATCTTCGAATTCGGGGTATTCTCGAGATGTGCCCAGTATCCGCAGGCCTTTGAACCTGGACTCAGTAGCCAAGCAACGAAGTGCTTCTAGGAGGTCTGTCCAAGGCTTCTGGCTTTCGTCCAGGGCCTCGACAATGATATAAACACTGTCCCATTTGCCTAGCAACTGCTCTATTGCATGTAATAAGTCCTCCGTGGTAGGTTGTAGTCGATGCTTATTGAGTTGAAGGATTTTTGGGGGAATATAGCCCGACAGCCGGCACAGCTGAGTGACGACCCATCGGAGGAAAGGAGAAGTTTCGTCCTGTTGGTGGATATGGTAGCAGAAATAATATGTGCTGACATCGTTGCTGGACGATTCCTGTACTATTTTCTCAATCACGTTGATCAAGTACGCCGCCATGATGGTCTTGCCCGCACCCGGAATACCATGTATTCGGAGCAGCGTTGGGCTTCCGGAGGCTGGATTCGACCAGTCTTTCCATGCATCCATATTCAGAACCCAAGAATTGGTGTCAGACTGATGTAGCTTTAGCATTTCATTGTACCTCGACGATGGATTTGTGGTTATGAGCCAGTCGCAGAAACTGCTGAATTGTATTTCTACCCACTTGTCAGTAACACTGTATCAAGAGCCGAAGTTCCACTTCACTTGCATATAACACGGGGGCTCTGCCCTTCTAGCTGAATAATGAAATAAATCACTTACCAGTGACACCAGAGCTCATCTGTTCGAGTTGTGGTGCGAATCCCACGTCAATCTGGTGGTGCAGCTTCGCGTACTGCTCATGCAAGCCCTGGAAACTTTGGCGCTGGTACAGAGCCTCGCACTGCACTGCTTCTCTTTCAACATCCCTTTCAAATAATTCGAGACTCTGCAGCTGACTGGACAGCTCGAAAGGATGGAAAACCGCGTGCATTGTTCTTGTTGTGGTGTTCAGCCTCTGCAGTCTAGTCACCAAGCTCAGCACTTCCAGGATACGCTTATATAATAGCACGAGGGATTTTTCGAATTGACTCTCGGCCTGTCCGTGGAGGAGTGGCTGGATATACAACATCTCGTAGACTCGGCCGCGGGCTATCATCCGAGTGATGGCCTCAAGGCAAATAAACATCAAGCCTGTCTGATGAGTGCTGGCCGAGGCAGCCTGGTCATTGTTAGTATCCCCATTCGGTGGGAAACGGCCAGACGACTCACCATGATAAGGAACCATGCGCCTGCCCAGGGTAACGCTGCGTGTACGGGATCAAAGCTGACGGCCACGTCCATGCATTCCTTGAACTTGTCAAGCCATTCCACCATCCTGGCGGTCACGTCGCGGACGCTAACGGTTTGACCACGAAATTCAACTCGCCATCCTGTTCTTTGAGCTGCCCTGTGCATCTGCTTGGTCGTACCGAGAACCTGCTGTAGTTCCTCCACAGTACATACTGTGGTTGACACTTCGTTGCCCCCTTCGCTCAGTCCCAATGCCGAGGCCAATGATTCTCGCTCGGAGTCTCTCAACTGCTTCCAGGCTTCCTTCCACAGACTGGGTGAAGCCCTCCAATCGAGTCTGCCTGCCGCATCGCACCCTGACTACCACCTGATGATGACCCTGTCTGAGACGTGTCTTGCTTTTCTATAGCTGGGTCGCGCCGACCCTCGGTTTGTCGGTCGGAGGCGAGATCGAATTTACCAACAACAACGGTGGTGGATATGGCGGAGCCTTCGGGGTGTGGTACGTCGGTCGGTATCGTGTTCGTTCGATGTTTCTGCCGCGACCCGATCCTGAAGCCTCTCTTCAGCCTCTCCCCCAGCCCCTTCATGAGCTTGTCTGCTGCCGTTGTGAGCCATCCACCAGCTGTTGAGTACGTACGCTAATGATTGGAAAAAGGAAGATCTCGCAAGAGGATTCGAAGTGCGGAGAAGGTCTCGCTTCATGATGTTACCCTGCTGCACAACATGCAGGCTGCCGAGATGTCGATGTGATGTACGGACCAATGAGAGCTGAGAGCCCCTTGCCAGTAACGCCAGCTCAGTCGCGAACGATGTCGGCTGCCAATGCATACGGGCACACCACATCAAACACCGTCCGCCCTGTGTTTGAAGAGTCTTCCTATTTGCACCTTACCGAGATCCCTTTTCTGCACCTTACCTTAGTTATTCACCTGACAAACACCTGGCAGCGGGCTAACTACACTCAGCCCTCATAAATCTCCGCGGGTGCCATGCTGGGAGGATTTCAGATCACACGTGAGGATTCGGAGATATTAGAATAAGCAGACAGGAATAAGCAGCTATGGTCTAATACGTCACTCTCAATGATTATTCCATAGTGCTTATTCTGATTCGATAAATTTACCGTTATTTGCTGGACGGGTGGCGTACGGAGGGAAACTTATGAGGGCTCAGTGTACCGACAGGTCCAGCCCAGCTAGCTGCCAGCCTACAGGGACATGATAATCTGAAATTGTATGGTTTCTACACACAAACCCCGATCATGATGGCCATCTAGTTCGGCTAGGTACCGTAATCCAGCTGTGACGGACATAATGATCCGGATTGATTTGGCACCAACATACGAACACCGATCGTGGTGGCCATCTGCCCTGGGACGCGGCCTAATTAAACGCGACCAGCAGTCATCATCTGGTTAAAGAGATCACCGCATCTAGCTGTAAGGTCCATGGTGATCTTTATATGGCATCTCTATATGGAACCCGATCGTGGTAGCCATCTAGCCTGGCAGATGGGCTGTATCTGGCCAGCAGAGAAATGGTTGGGCCGACTTACTGAGCCATTTCCGACAGCGCCCTCCAAAATTCAGCATATTGTCAACCATTAGAAATCATTGAAAAGCTATGTTAAGACACAAAAATGGGCCAAGAGTCTTCCCTAAAAGGATGCCGCGAGGCAAGCGAACTAGACCTTGTATGTGCCAGACAAAGGGGTTACCACCACGTATTACCCCTGAGCATCTTGTAGGATATAAAGCCGTGATAAACGTAGTGATCGTCATCCAGACAGATAGAGAAGCGCAAACAAGATAACGGATGTTCATGAAGCCTGATGCCGATTCGGTTCGCTACACAGAACCCATTTACACCAGATGCTACGGCAGCAGAACCGCGGCATGCCCCTTTTGTCCAACCGCAGCCCAACCCAACCAACCACACTCCCCAACGTGTCCAAATCAAAAATCCAACATCTACCTACATACAGATAAAACATCAGATCACCCACTCTGCTGCTGATCCATATGCGTAGGCAAATTCCAGCTCGCGTAGTCGGCATGCACGAACGCGCGGTCGACGACGGGCACGCTCTCGAGAACGTAGCCCAGGCTCTCGCTCAGGTCGTGCGAGTCGCGCAGCGTCGTTGACGCGTCGAGGATGATGTCGACCTCGACGTTGAGCTTGTCGCCCGCGTGGTACGCCTGCAGGCCCTGGATCTGGCGGATCGTCCGCGCGAACCGCATCGTCAGGTACAGCAGCACGTTGCGCTGATCTGCCGTTGCGCTAAACCCGCTGAGGTTCTTAATATGCCCCAGGGAAGTCTGCGACCAGTTGAAGATGACTACCAGCGAGAGGATGAGGCCGCCCAGCGCGTCGAGCCACCAGATCTTGGCGTAGAAGCCGACTGTGTGGCACACGTTGTCAGCTTGGTGGCTTCGGAGGTGGTGAGGTTCAACTTACTGATGGGAAATAAGATTGAACCGGTGTTGAATATGACGTCTGTCATCGCATCGGCGGCTCTACAGTATCGTTAGACCGCGAAATTGTAGGTAAGGTCGAAAAACGTACAATGCTTGGACACTCGAGTTCTTCACCAATCGACACCACAACCAGCACAGCCCTTTGATAAGGACAGTTCCTATCATGATTCCTATCGCCGGAATGCCACTGTAGGTGCATTAGTGACTGACATTGTCGCCGGGAAGAAAGAACGTGATACTTACAGCTGAATCAACTGGTGATTTGGCGCGGCCAACCGCTGGATGGACTCAAGCGCGACCTGCGTGAAAGCTGTAATCATGATCACAGAAAAGACCAGCACGCCCAGAGGTTCCAAACGCCGCCGCCCGACCGGATATTTGTACTGGTCTTGCCGGGAGATCAGCCAAGTCGTCGTCCACACTATGACCGTCGACAAGAAGTCCAGTATTGCATCGACCAAGCTAGCCAGAACGGACATGGACGACACCTCGATAACGACGGCAACCTTTCCGAATAGCAGAATCGCATTTGCCGCCAAGTTGACGTAAATGGCTATCGTGACAACGCGACTGCTGCTGTCCAAATCATCGTCGTCCTCAAGCCAGGGGATCTCGGGCCTCGGCCCCTCGCCAGTCCAGCCATCGTCCTCTTCCTCGTCGTTGTCAAACAAAGGCGTCGTCTCCGTGGGCCGATATATGTCCTTGGGTGTGCGCTTGACCTTCTTTGCGCTGCTAGACTTTGGCGCCTTTGGCCGATCATTGCCATGGATAGCCTCGCCATTCTCGGACTCGTTTCGCAGGCTCGCAGACGAGCTTGTGACCTCACTCGTCACTCCTGTTACTGGACCATTGCTTCTTAGACTGCCCCCAATGTTGGAGGCGCTGGCCGGCTCCTCCGAAATTGTGTCCGGCACTTCGATGCCTTTGAAAGAGCTATGCGGGAGGTCGTTGTATTCATTGAGCAGGTCGTGAGGCAGGCTGCTGTCCAGTAGTCGGTCGATGTACAAGTACTGCTGCACGAGGTAATTGGTCCGCTCGTAGTATTTCCTCAGCGGCTTCTTCAGTGCTCGCAGTTGCTGCTCCGTCTTCCAGTATCGCTCCCAGTTGTACCGCGGATTCGAGTTTCCGATCAGCCGCATCGAGCGCACGGGGGAGCTGTGTAGGATCTGGCTAAGTCGCTGCTCGTCGAGCTGTAAGCGCCGGGGTGGCTCGTCGTCTGTGCCTTCGGAATGCGGGTGGGACAGAGTGTGCGCCAGGGCCGACTCCTCGTCGTCCGGGCCATTGGGTACAGCACCTCTCCACGTACTGCCGTAGGTGTGCAGCGATGCGTGGGAGCGGTTTCTGAAAAGCTGCGACAGGGTGCCTTGGCCGCGGGGAGCCAATGGCGGAGGCTGCTCGTCTTGTAGGACGAGGTGTGAGGCTCTGCGATGGTTGTGATGTGACGGCGAGTTTGACAGCCAGGAGGTCGGGTTTTCGTGAGACATGTTTGCTATAGCGTGACAGGGTGATCGGATTTATTAGCATCAATGATCTACCGTACGACTCGACCGACTGCTATCCCCAGCCAACGCCCGATTTGCTTGCTTGCACCGGCACTTGTCGCACAATGGTCGTTGCAGGTGGCGACATGAACGATGGCGGTTTTGGTGGAATTGATGTCATTAAGGTAGGTTGTACTTCAAGTAGCAATCGCGAAATGGTCTCGATAGTGTAGTTATCAAAATGGAATGTCACGAACCGGCAACAAGTTATCGTGGTTGATGTGAGGCTTGAAGCTATTAACTAAGCTCAGCGCGTCGGACGCCGATCACTACGGTTTGTGGCTTAGATCCATGGATAGCCAAACTGCAACCCCTCCGTGTCTTCAGGACCGTAAATAGCTTGGAGACTGCGACCCTTTCAACCTTTCTACGTGACAAGTTCGTGTCCGTAGGTGTCTCAGCCACGGCTCGAGTTCCATCAGAAGCTCCTGGATACCTATAAAAGAGTGGTGTTGTTATATGTTTCTGTTGGTGTATCAACATATGAATATCCCCGGCCGGTAGCGATGTGCTTTGCAGCTGCCGGACCCTAGACCACGCAAGTGGACGGTGGTATCGGGGACCCGGAATGATGCACCCTCTCTGCCTGTGCAGGCTCGGAGCCGCATCTGCATGCGCATGGCCTTTCTTTCAACGACTTGCGTCGAGTCTTGCTCCTTCTGGAATCATCAGATGGATTTTGTGGGACTGCTTTTTTATGTTTGTTTCATGCCGTCGTAGATCTCCTCGCAGCGACTATCTTCTCCGCCAGAAGCGCCGTCGCCTTCACAATCAACTTGTGCTCATATCCGTGTATTCTGTGCTCCAATGCTTCCAGGCTCTCGCCTTTCTCAATCTTAATATCCTGCGTCAGTATGGGATCACCACGGTCGACCTCTTCCACAACGTAATGAACTGCAGAACCCGAAGTCAGTATTCATATCCCCGAGCAATGTCCAGAAACAAATGGGAGTTCTCTGGCCTCGGACCAAGCAAACAAGCCTAGGCTGAGAACTTGCTCATAACTCGCCCAAGTAACAGGGGTAAAGCTCCAACTGCACTGACTCATGATTCCAGTCGTATCGTTGTCCAGCTTGCCCGCTTGGAAATCCTCGAAAGCTCGTTTGATCTATGGCGCAACACGTTAGGATGTTTGCCACCGACAGAGGGCCAGGGGAAACGCACCGCGCCAGCGCCGTCGTATTTTCCTATGAGAGAACTGTTAGTTGAGAAATTCTATGGCTCAAGTCATGTCGAACGGACCTGGCAATGCCTATATCGTTTGTTAGCTGGCTGTCCGGCACGTACACAGGCAGGGTGAACATCAGACAGATAATGGAGTAACTCACGGGGTGTAGGTTTATGATTGGGACGCCAGCAGCAGTGACTGGCTTAAGAAAGGATGGACTATGTCCCCCATTGCCAGTTAGTATCCGCCCAGGCTGGGATGATTCAAAATGGATGGGGCCGAGGGGTAAGACATAAGTCAAGTGGTTGTAGGTAGATGCTCTCGCAACTGGCTCGAGGAACGGGACTAACCTGAACACATGCATCCAGCCAGCCAGAACTATCACATCCGGCTTGTCAGCCAAGATCCGCTCGGCCAGAGCCGCATCGTATCTCAGACGACCTTCCCGCAGCTTGTCCGCATCTTTTTCTCCGGCAGCCTGGAATCCATGCTTCCTCATGTTGAAGTAATCGGTAGGTATCGGGGGCTCGGCTTGCTCGGCCCGCTTGATCGCATAGGCATCTCTCCGATTAGTCGTGACTTTGATGATCGTGCCCGGAATGCTGCCGGGTTCGTTGGAGGCGCACGAGTCCATGAGCTAGAGAACGCATTCTATGAGTATACGGACTGGCGTGAGCTGGAACGCACGTTGCGGACGTACCGCCTGTAGGTTCGTGCCGCTCCCTGAGGCGAGGCAATTTATCCGAGCCTTGTACTCGGCCATGGTTGAGGCAGTATACTCTGCAGATGCGTCGGAAATTAGTACGGTAACGTCAGGAAGCAAATGAGCATGCCAAGCACTGCTGATGCACACAGAAAAGCATTATGTGCACCTATCGCTTGCCCATGGCATCGAAGAGGGAAAGGTTCGATATACCTTCGTTTCCCTTGCTGATCGTATGGGAGGCGTATTGGGCAACAAGCTTGGAAGAATAAGGAAAGGTCCTACCGCGTATGGCGCTGTCCTCGGAGCTTACTTTTCAGTGGAAGCAAAACAGCTATCACTCCCACCTTGTCCCTTGGAGGTGAATATACCGGTTTGAAGCTTGTGAAGAACCAATTGCTCAATTGCATTCTAGAAGATCACTGCATCCTAGAAGATCAGTCGGTTTGTGATGGAATCAGTCGACCAACCAAAGGCAGAAGAGAAAATCGCGGGGTTGAACGCGGTAAGTTGTGCGATAAGGTAAGGCACGATAGAGGACCCCTCCAAAGCTGACCTGAGACTTTTTTGTGGGCCTCGACCAGAACTCCTCGCCTAGACGTATTTTTTAGGATCCGCAACATATTTGTTCGCGCGTGAGGTCCAAGTTGATCATTCAAGTCCTCAATGTTACCTTGGATTAAAGATGGTACCGTGAGCATACCTTACCACGGCCACTTCATGCCTGACAATAATAGCATGACATAAGATACACGAACGCGCTCCGCGACCTGCTTTCTCGTAACGGCACCGCGTGCGAGCAGAGTCTTGCCTCCAGTGTTACAGCTGTTGGCGTTGAGGCTGTGAACTGCCCCCCTAGCGGCGCATGTCACCAATCCAGACCTCAGGCGCTAGAGCTTGGATCTATCTCGTGAAGGCGTCACGCCGTCGCCTCTTTTCTGTAATTGCCACACTGGGCGAGTTGGCGAAGATGAGGCATCATTTAATTATCAATAGTAGCATCGCTCGGCGGTAATCGCGAGTTGGTCTGCAGTCCGAGACCGAATCCTGCGACCGGCTTGAATTGGCTGGCGTTTTATTTGATCAGGTGTCCCGAGACTTCTTGATCTTTTGACTTTTTGACTGGGAGGTTGGGACCGTAACGGCAGAATGGCACTGTGCGTGTTGTTGGTGTTGTCGATGGTCGCACCCTTGTTGACCGTCCAATTCAGCTTTTACTCCTGAGTCCTGATGAGGCATTGAGGCTGAGCGCGCCCGGTCCCGAATCCCCGTATCCGTAAAAAGCAATTCATTTCGGCTGATGCAGATCTTTTCGGGAAATAGTTCGACATGACGACTTCCCTGCTTGTTATAATATCAATGGCTGACAGCCGTGACAAATGATGGGTTTTGGAGGAGAAGATCAATAGTGGTTATTGATTTACTTACAGGTTGGAATAGAATGATGAAGTCCTTGACTGCTCAACTTGTGAGTTGGCTGAGTTGTTGTCTTCTTCCTGGCATATGTACCTTTGCGCGCTGCATGCCGCCCTTGACGTCCGACTTGCTGGCCGGTACCATGGATGATTGGATGTTGACTTTACGACGGTGCTTCGAGCACAACCTCAAGTAGTATTTCGGATAGGCCTCTCCAGATTTTAAGCCGCCATCGAATGTGAGTATCGACCAAGGTTTTGAACAAGCTATGTGAATCCTTGAAACCCAGGAGTTGTGGTTAGCCACAAGATGACAATCCTGTACTGGCTATGGTCCGTCAGCAAGGAGCAGACGACGAGATTACTACCAGAAGTATTTGGACATGGTCTTCGACTGGAGTGAAGAAGTGTACGGCGCAGCTGTGGGTTCTGGGAGGAACCGCGTTCCCTTACGTCAGATCTGAGAGCCCTGATTAGTGTGATCTATGTTGTACCACACGCGTGTTCTCGGCCTCGGGTTTCCAATCGAATGGATATGGGGCAGTGTTAGTTGGTTTGATTTGTCTTTTTTTTTTTTTACATTCGGCTCTCCCAACCCTTGAAAGCGTCAAGCTGCAAGCAGAACACGTAAGTAAACACGTAAGTACGAACGCATGATTACGTCAAAGCTGTCTCCTCCGAGTCAGTCAAAGATGGTTGATGGACCATGGCTGAGCGAAGAGGTTTTCTCAAGTAGGTATTGTGATGCGATCTCACAGGTTACCTGGTACGGAACATCAGTCTTCTGATTTCGCGCGTTGCTCGGTAGCGGGTCCATGTCTGATACTTAGAGCCATCCATTAGCTGTCGGGATAGGCCAGCTGCTGCGAGAGTGACGAATTAAGTCGTTCGTTAGAGACTTATTAGTTATATTGCTTGACGGTTTAATACCTCACGGCCGTCTGGACCTGCAACGGACTGTTTGTCATCAAGAATATGACAGCTACAATGCCGTCTGATCTTTCCGGGGACGGACGGAGTCTCCTAGGAGAAGGTTATGCTTCAAAGTGTTTTATGACTGCCCAGTGGTGGTAGCCCGACCTCGTGTTAATAGTGGGCCTTTGATTGGTGCGCGCCGCTCGCTGCCTTGAGACTTGACTGGTGGGTGTTCTTAGGAGGTAGTCAATACTCAAGGGCGCTGAAGTTATTCTGCCGATCCTGGTCATGGTGTCTCCCTTCGACAGTCTCTTGACTGTGAGCACTGATACAGTCGTAAAGTCGCAAGGAAGAACAGCAGCGGGCGGTCGATGCTCCTTGAACAATAAACATGCGGCGAGCAGTAGTCGAAAGGTACTGAACTTGGCTAATGCAGCTCACCTGCAGCGTGCGCGGGCGAGTCCCGGTGAATGGGGGACGGAAATAGGAGGATATGCATACGGGCGCAGTACTGGGCGCATCATGGATGTCAAGCTTCGAGATGCGCCGGCGCTACTGACCAGGTTGTCGCTCGATAATGTTGATTTGTCGCCTGTCACCGGGTGATCCTGAGCGCCAACGCCGCCAAGGTGCTTCCATCACCTCGGGAACACCTCACAACCCTGACAGTCTCACAACCTCGCCGGTTCTAGCATGTCGTCCAACCTCCCTGTCCCGGCCTGCAACCCACTGGGTATGCAGTCCAAAGCCTCTTTGTGCTGTTGGTTGTTCGCCGTTTGCCTGCTGCTGCTGATCGTTCGAAACTGGGCCAAACTTCCAAATCCTCTGTGGTCTCAAGGTCTGATGACGAAGCTTGTCAAGGTGAAGCACCGACTCCAGAGCAGCTGTTGTGGGATAAGCACCCAAGGACGCGTGCCCCCGGCCCCTCTTGCCAGCTTACCTTATGTACCGTGGGTACCTAGGTAGTTGCCTGCAAACCAGGTTGTCGGTAGTTGAGAGATCATGAGAAAAGCCCTTGTTCCTACATAATAAGAACCATCTCAAAGCTGCAGCATGCACTGCAGGTGACGAGCGGCGCAGCTGCTCAGCTGGCCAACAACAGCGCAGTTCGAAGCAATAAGTTGTCGTCGGATTACCACACGATTCGTATGCATGATAATGGCACATGGGCAGACGGGTCTTTCGCCCTGCCATTGATCTTACATGATTAATGGAGTGATTGGCGTGCTGGCTCTCCCCACCCATCCACGCACCACTGACCGCCCACTGAACTAAGACCTACCTAATAATAATGAATAGAGTCCGGTACAATGCCTCGGCCCTCGAGTGCACAGTCCGACGTCTCTGCGAGTGCAGGTGGGTAATCAAGCAAGTCAGGGACCATGTGGATGCCCAGCACTGAGCAGGACTTGCATTGATTCTGTCGGTACCTGGGCCTTGGTGGGCTGTTAGGTGCGAGGTGTTGTATGTGTCGGATGCATGCTTTGTACTATTGTGAAGATGGATGCAGGTGACGGGAGGATTGGCAAGAAGATAGCGAGCGACAGGAGAAGAGGTAGAAGTTGGAGAAGGGTGGGAAAATACCTTAGGAAGGATTGAAGACCCTAGTCAAGCCAGTCCAATCGAGGCCCAAAATAATACCTGCACTGGTTCGTTACTGCCACTGCCACAACCTGACCACCTGCACCTTTTCCTCTGCCTGCATGTGCTTTGCCTCCTTTGCGCCGCCAACTGTCCCAACCTCTCTCGAGCATCTGCCATCCTCTCATCCCGCACTCTAGAGACATTGTGCCGTCTACCTGCATCAATTGTCTGTCTAGGACGGCTTCCTTTCCTTGGTCGCCGACTCTTGTCTCTCTCGTTGACTCTTTCTTCTCCTAATATCATATTTGCATCCTTCGTTCGGCTTGTCATCGCGGACTACCAGCTGTCTTAACGTCGACATCATCTTTCATCGTCGACCGTTGTCACTACCTTAGCCAAACCTTCGCTGCTCCCTACGAGACCCAAGCCTCCATAGACTTTGACGACGCCACCTAACGGTTCCCCTCGTTCTGAACAGCTTCTATTGCTAGCTTCGCATCGAAAAATCCGGCCTGCGTCATCAGCCAGCGATTTCGCTGTACTGTCATTATTCATTGTAATATACGAGTTTTCCCTGTGTCTACGACCAAACGACAACTTATAGTAAACCGCTTCCGCTTCGTTCCCTTCGTCTGTCTCGCGTAAGTGACAATTTCCCGTTTGCGTGGTTGGTCTTCTTCCTGAGTCCTGGACCCTGCAATGCCTTCAAATGCGAATACCGGCCCAAGCGTTTCGAGTGCCGCAGCTTTGTGCCACGTTCGACCTTCCCCGAGGATCACGGACATGTTCCATCTGGGCCTCCTCGTGCAACGCTATGTGTCGGTAACGGGTACGCTGGAATCACGAGCAGTTTGTACTGCGTTGGTTGAAACACATTGTCTTGTGTTTACCGAACTAGCTGGTGGTTTTGTCTGTCCATTACAGCAGGACCCGGCACGACGGACGGTTACATCTTACAAACACGACTAACTTTGAGCTTCTCCTCGTCATGCAGTTGTCCGCCTTTAGCGTCATATCCGAGCATCATAGTCCAGTGCCTGGCGACAACCGTCAGAACACGGGTATTCCCAATCGTCCCGTCCGCCATCCTCCGCGAGCGTCGACGATCAACAACTCCGCCCACCACATTCACCTATCTATGGGCTCGCAATAATCACACTTACACCGAGTCGAATTATTCTATATGCCTAGGTTTCCAGTCAACTTTCGGCGGAAATCTTCCGCAGCAGAAGATCCAAATGGACCGATAGCAGAGCCATCTTTCCGGGTCCTCGATCGATCCGATGTCGGCAATGCGAACAATGGGAAATCATTCGACGGTGGAGTACGGCTGGCGAGGATGACCGGGAGTCCGTCGAGGTCCAGCCTCCATGAGGCGGCAATGGAAGATAATCTCTTCGCAGGCATGAAGAACAATCGGTACGTGATGGGGCTATCTGCTTTCCGCTCTGCTGCTTGGCTCGCCCTGCACCGCAGCGATCTCGTATACACAGCGTGGAGGATTGCGAGGGTGGGCGATTTGAAAATCGTCACGGACATCTATGTCTTGCTTAAGCTACAAAATTTTGTCTTGGCGCATAGCGATGTCTCACCCCTTTTCCCTATGACGGGGTTGGCATCTAGCGTTGAGCAATTTGCTGATTCTTGTTAGTGGCAGTGGAAGTTCCAACAACACAAAGACAGCCTCTGATAATTCTTCTCGGCACAGCAATGGGTCGACCGCTCCGTCATCCACCGAATTTACGGTACACGAAGATTGGCGAAATTCTAGTGGTAGGAAACCTGCACACCTTAACGACGGTCCCGTTCCACCCCCAAAGAGCTCGGGTGGATTTCTCAAACAAGCAGGAAGGACCTTTTCTTTTGGTAACAAGAAGTCGCTCCCCACCATACCCGCCGCCGAAGAGTCAGTTCCCCCCATGCCCGAGTACAACCCCGAGGCATATAGCGGACGGGCGCGAGCCGAGACAGCCTCGACGGTCAGTACCGCGGTACCGCCGAAGGTAGAGGACAGTGACTTCATGCTCGATCTTGGTGGTGATCTAAGTAATATGCTCAGCAAGTTCGATAAACGTTCCAGTGTTGCGACATTCAAGGAACGCAACCTGACGGGGAATCGAGCCAGTCAACCTGCTCCCCTTCGCATTGGTCACTCTGCCCCAGTCGAGCCCTCACCGCATTCGTTGAACAGCCAAAACTCCAATGATGGTCTTTTGGAGTCTGCACGGATGTACTCGTCTCCCCCCGTTGTCAGTCCTATGGAGCGTCTGCCTCCACCAGTTCCGAGACATGACAGCCCTACTGGTCCCCGAGCATCCGAGGACGATCAGGAGGACACCATCCTCTTGAGCGATTCCCTTGCGGCGACCCAATATCTTTCCAGCAGTGCAGGGACAAGTGGTGCTACCTTTATTCCGCATGATACTCGCGGGCCGAGTTATAAATCTGGGGTGCATGAGTCGCATGGCAAGGCTTCTCGCTTTGGCCCCAAGCCTGAAGACGATAATCTGTTCGAGACGTCATTTGGACGTCCATCACGCGTCGTCCCTCGGATCGGCGGCCACTCAAACAGCCAGCCGCATAACAAGGTTATGACGCCCGCCGAGTTTGAGAAGTATCGTCGAGACAAGGCTCAGGAAGAGAGGATGGGCCTGGTGGATGCCGACGGATCGGACAAGGAGGAAGATGAGGAAAACTATGATGACGAGGAAGACGATCTGGAAAAGTCGAAGCAAGCTGCGACCCAGAGGCGAAGGCAGGAGGCACACATGTCGGTATACCGACAACAGATGATGAAGGTTACGGGCGAATCCAGTACCAACCGACAATCCCGACCTGGCATCTCTGTGTCAATGAGCACACCAAACTTGCCATCCAGCAACGTTCCAGGGAAAGGCCTTTCTCCATCACCGCCCTCAGATGGTTCTGAAGAGGATGAGGAAATTCCCCTAGCCATCCTTGCCGCGCATGGCTTTCCTAGCAGAAATCGGCCGCCGACTCGTCTCAGCGGTTTCCCGTCCAATCCCAATCTACGGGCCTCGATGCAACCATCTTACACTGCGGGCCCTGGGTCCGTAGCAGGTGATAGTAACGTCCAGGGCGGTTCCGGAGGTCGTCTCCCGCCGTTTGCGAGGAAGCTACCTCAAGACCCGTATCTTGGTGCTGGTCTTATCAACCAACCTCCTCGAGAATCTTTCGCCCTCGGAGGTGGCGCGCCAGCTCAAGGTAGAGCAACGTCAACTGGAGGATTGGTCGGAGTCATCGCAGACGAGGAACGCTCAAGGGCGATGAGACGAGGAAGTCCCGCAGTCAACGCGGTCAACAACGCCAATACTGCTCTTCCGCCCAATATGCAAATGAACGGGGTGCCAATGAACGGAGCGTTCGATTCCGCGCATGGGATTCCGCCTCAGATGATGTACCCGATGGGCATGCAACATATGCCTGGTCCTATGCTGACACCTGGAGATCAAGCACAGATCCAAATGACGCAGCAGATGCAGCAGTTTATGCAAATGCAAATGCAGTTCATGGAGATGATGACCTCGCAAGGGCAAAGTCCAGGACTTGCGCCTCCACGACCTCAGGGACACATGCCAACCCAGTCTATGGGGGCTTTCGGTGATGGGACGCGCAACTCCTTTCTGGGAGATACCCTGGGGAGCATGGGTGGTGGCATGAGCCTTGAAGTACCCCGACCCGATTCTCAGGCGAGAACGATGAGTATGATACAGCCGAGCTCGGCCTCCTGGATTCAGCATCAACCTCAACCCGGTTACGCACCTTCAAGACATGCGCAAGGCATGGGATATGCCCCATCCATTGCTCCATCGGAACGAAGCAACATTGGGCTACCCGGGCGATACCGGCCAGTCTCTAGTATCAACCCACTCGAGCAATCTGGCCGGACGTCTACCATGTCAGGAGCGATGCCACACCTCCAATCAGGCCGGACGTCTACCATGTCAGGAGCGTTGCCACAGCTCCAATCAAAACTCCAAACCCAATCGAAGGTGTCATCTGTCAACAGAGAAGATGACGATGACGACGAAGAGGGTTGGGAAGCAATGAAGGCGAAGCGTGAAAAGAAGAAGAGCATGTGGCGGTCAAAGAAGAATTACGGGTCTGATATTGGGGCTCTTATCAGTTAAAAGGAGAATATAGCGGCATGGCGAAGGACACAAACGGCATATAATGGCAAAATCAACGGAGCATCGAGCGCCGGAACAGCATACCAAAGCGCTTATTTCTCGTCAGCACCAGCATCACGAGCTAGACCGTGGCGAAAACTTTCTTACTGTACATAGACGGCTCTCGGTGCGTGGAAACGTGGAAGGCTTCTCGCACACCTGGGTTATTTTGCCCTTGGTCTTGTCTCAATGGCGCCTTTTGGATATCCCTCGACCAGACGCGGCTTATATTTCGGGAAGGGGCAGAAGATATATGTCGCATTAGGAGCGATCTTTGGGGGCTATCGGCCATTGGAGGATGCTGGGCGGCTGTTGTTTGACGGGACGCGATCATGATAGACCAGCATACATACAAGTAATCTAATACCAAGGTCACCCTTTGAACCCCTATCTGATTACCAAGGATATGAAAAGCATAGATATATAAAGCATATTCGTCGCGTAGATTGCATGCCACCGGGGTACTTGCTTCAGCGTTGTCTAAGCCAATGTCTCCACGGGTCCTCAGCACAGTATGCCCTGGCAAATCGTTTGGATACCACTCAGGGCGACGTTGGACGTGCCCTGTCCTGGCATCTTTTTTCTTTTTTCGCTTCGCTGCTCTAGAGGTCTAGCTTGTCTCTTATCCATTTCATAGCAACGTCATTTTCCAGATCTCTCTCTTATGTGGGCATTCTTGCCTGGCTCTTTCCAAGCCAATCGAATGAACGCGGCCCCTATCCCTGAACACCTCGCGCCAATGGTTCTTTTCTTCTCTACTTTTTTTGCGTTCTTCTCTTCAGTCTGCCTTACTCCAGCTGACCCTTAGCCCACGCGGCGCGCTTGACGCCCAGCTCGACGGCGGCCAGGCCCCAGTCCTCGCCGTGGTTATGGCCACCGATGCCGGCGCGGGCCTTGGCCTGGTCGTCGTTGAGCACGGTCAGGACGCCGAAGACGACGGGCACGCCCAGGTCGAGGCCGACGCGCATCAGGCCGTGCGACACGGCGTCGGCGATGTACTCGAAGTGCATGGTCTCGCCCTTGATCAGCACGCCGATGGCGATGACGGCGTCGAACGGCTGCGTGGAAGCGGATGAGGAGGAGGTGCCGGACGAGGAGGCGAGCGCGGTCAGGTCCGTCGTGGAGGAGCCCAGGAGGTCGCCGGCTGTGGGGGCGCCGCTGGAGGAAGAGGCCTGCTGGATCTGGGAGGCTGTGTACATGCTGTGCGTGCAAACGGACAGACAAACGTTAGTTGGGCCCTCGTGGAAGTGCAAAGGGAATCGGGAGAGGGGAGGTGAGAGACGTACCGCTGAACGGCAATGGGCAGCTCCCACGATCCCGGCACCGACTGCACGACGATGTTGGCCTCCTTGACGCCGCAGCCCAGCAGCTTGTCCTTGGTGCCCTTGAGCAGCGGCTCGATGATGGTGGTGTTCCAGCGCGCGTGCACGATGCCGATGCGCAGGCCGCTGCCGTCGTGCTCCTGCGGCGTCGGGCCCTTGAGAGTCGATGCCATCCTTGCTCTTGGGGTGGTGGGTGGTGCTGGTGTCGTTGTTAGTGGTGTTATTTGGCGGCTCGTTTGGCTCGGACCGGTTCGGTTCGGTTCGGGGTTGGGGAAGTCCCTCGGTTGGTTCCTGAGCAGAACTGGGTAATGGGGGAAATCCGGCAAGAGTAGTCAATTGACTTCACAGAAGATGTCTAGTGGAAAATTGAAGAGAATGAGCTTGCTCTGGAAGGCTGGGTCTTTGCTGTGGGTGAGGTTGTTTAGATGGCGGGCTTGAATGAGCTGGCAACATGAAGCTTGAGCTGACTGACACACAGCAAACGACGGGAGCCGCGGGGCATGATGCAAGTGGGGTCCAGGGTATCAGGGGTCCAAGGGTCTGCGTCCGAAGCCGAAATGTCGTTCAAAATGGAAGTTCTTTCATTCACTTGGATATCGACAGACTATGCCCATGTCATCGTCTTGATTCAATTGAATCAATGTCGCTGGCTTTCTTCAGTTCGGGGGAGAAGATTAAGAGCGAAAGATGATTCTTGATTTTGGCCGCCAGCAGCGAGACCACATGCTTTAACTCCGAGGGCAGTTGCGAGAGAAGGTAAGAGGTAAGAGCGACAGACTGGATGAGCACACCCTCCCTTGAGTCGTAACTGCTTCACGAGTTGCAAAAGTACTTCAAAACGGAATTCAAGGCCTTTCTGACGTGGGTCTCCCAACCTTGTCACTACCTTACAATATTTCCCAACATCTTCATCACCGGTCGATGTAGATATCTTCAATATCAGTTATGTGACTACGTGAGGTGTAGCTTGATCAGCCTTCGTCATGTCTTCGATATCTCGTCTTCCCGAGACCACCACTCGCCTTCTGAGTTCCTACGCGGTCATCACCTCTCCCGTGACTCTAGTGAAGGAGCTTCTGGACAATGCAATCGACGCCAAAGCCACCTCAGTCGACGTGCTAATGTCTGCCAACACCGTGGCAAAGATCCAAGTCCGAGATGACGGAGTTGGCATCCACCCCGACGACTACGATGCATTGGGCAGACGTGGCCACACCAGCAAGCTCAGAGACCTGGTTCAGCTGAGAACCGTTGCAGGCAAGAGCCTTGGCTTCCGCGGCGAGGCATTGGCAAGTGCAAACTCCATGGCTAACATCACCGTCACCACCAAGACGTCAAGCGAACCTATCGCCGCCATCCTTCACATCAACCCCGGCGAGGGAGGCGTGGCCAAGCAGCAGCCTACCTCGGCGCCAGTAGGGACGACCGTCTGCGTCACTGGTCTCTTCGGTCAGATACCCGTTCGCGAGCAAACAATGGTCAAGGAGGCAAAGAAGACCCTCGACAAGATACAGGAACTCCTCCGAACATATGCCATGGCAAGACCCCAGCTCCGTCTGTCCTTCAAAGTCCTTCAGATGCCAACCAAGAACTGGTCGTATGCTCCAAACCGCGATGCCACCATCAAGGAGGCAATCATTCAGCTAGAAAGCGCAGGAATTGTAGCTTCTTGTTCCTTGAAGGTTAGTGATCATTCGATTTTATCCATGTATGATACCACCACGAGAACAGGTGTTTCTGAAACCGGTTTGTGATTGACATGATCAGTCCTAGGCATGGTTACTCGACTCCTTGATCTTGTCACAATACCTCCCATCTTGCCCCTTTCTCCCACGTCCCCCTTCCTTCAAAGGCGAAAGAGCAATCACACCAGGTGTTATGACATTCCTTATGCAAGCATGCATGAGTCCCTTTTCTCGTCTACTGCCGCTGACCACCTCTTCAGCTTTCAACCCTTCCCTCAGGCTATACCTTGGAAGCTTTCATCGTAAAGCCCGATGTTGATCGTCACAAAGCGGCCTCAACCCATCGATACTTCTCGGTCGATGGCCGTCCTATTACTGCGAAGGGCACAATGAAGAAGATCCTAGCCATCTACAAGGAGCACCTGGGCGACATCAATGACCCATTCATCAGACTCAACATTGTATGCCCCCCTGGAAATTATGATGCCAACATAGAGCCATCCAAGGACGGCATCCTATTCGCTGAGGAAGAAGTTGGGCTAGATGGGTTCAGGAGCCTGTGCACGGAGGTATACAAGCCTATCGAACATGGAGAGACTAGCACGATCTCTCCGGCAGTGACTTTGCCTACGTCCAAGCCCCCAATGCCTGTCGATCACCAAGAGAGTAGCCCTGCCGCTCCACCGGCGCCTATGCCCGCAGAGGTTCACAAGCCCGTCTTTCATCAGGAGGCCACCCCCATCGAATTGGTCAGGGCAACGGCTATGTTCAACCCTCCAATGACGCCAGATCCCCCTATTCTTCGAGATCCTCGAGTAACCGCTCCTGGGGATCTTGGTCTTCTACCGAGTCATACCTTCGGACACCTGCATAATGATAATCCTGCTCGACAGAGATTCACTGTTCCCGGGGGCGCTTACCGCAGTCCTATTTCGAGTCCGGCTGAAAGAAGACCTGCCAATGCTCCGGGACGGGGCTCGATGAAGCAAAGCCGAATATCATTCAACCCCGCCAGAGCAAAGCGCAGCCAACGCCCTCCGCTGGGTGGACTTGATGAACAAAGACTTGATGAGCGAGACAACGCTCGAGAGTTACGTGCGCCAGCAAAACGCAGTCATCCGCCTTCTTTCGATGAGTTCGACGAGCAGAGGTTTGACAATGGAGAAAACATGCAAGCAATGCGCACATCAGCGAAGCGCAATCTTAACTATCAGTTATCGCGACCAGAGGCAAACCTGTCCCTTCCGGTGCCTCAACAGCCTGAGTATCGCGAGAATTATGTCACCCAGGTGCCGGACAACTCTGTCCGAGAAAACCCCAGAGTCCGAGAGGATAAGGAGCCGATCAAGACCAGCCTGCCTACTGGCGATCCTCGGGCATATCTCTTGCGTAGACAGAAGTCTATGGCTGCGGTAGAGAACAGCGCGCGGCCGGCGAAGCTCAGGCGATTGAAGAGCAGCCTCATGCCGCTCGAGAATGTCCTGCCCGGGGAGGAAACTCATTGCCTTGCGTGGGTTGTCAATGTTGATATCCATGGCCTATTCGCATCGACGAGCCAGATGCAGCAGTACGACAAGTACGTGGCCGAGGGTATCTTTGAGGATGGCCTGGAAATGAGCCTCGAGGAAGGCCGTCAAGTCGAGGGGCGGCTGAAAAGACTGCTCGATTCGCAAAAGGAGAATATCGCAAACGCCGAAGATGGGGAAGTTGGTGTGTCACTCAACCTCGGTACTCTGCTGAAGGGAAAGGGTTCTGCGGTTGAGGACTGAGTGCTAAGAGAATTGTGCACTCACGCGTCGGAACAACCTGTGAGAATATGGCTGTGGCTATTGTCTTTGTTGCTGGAGCCTTACCGAATGGGAGGAGGACATGGTGGATCAATGAGACCAGGGCGCATCTCGAACTACACTGAAGTCAGCGCTGCTGCCAATCTACTCAAATTTGATGGATTTTAGCTAGCTGGGAGACGAAGGAGGGGTGGATGTCACACCAGGTAAGGAGATCAGAAGTCAGAGGAATGTATCAGAAAAGAAAATCGCTACGTCACTCAGATTTTATGCACTCTTGGTCAGCCCACAGTCTTTCTCGACTACAGCAATCCAAGAGCAAGAGGAAGGAGACAAGCCGACATAAGCAGGAAAGGCGAGAGGCTCCATCTCAGTAGTAAACTTAGCGCTCGTCTGTGACTATCAAAAGCATGATCGATCCGCAGAGCTACAGCTACTTCAACCAAACGACTTTACAACTGTTCACCGAAGCAAGCACATCACTTTTACCATGGAGAAGAAACCGGGTATAATCAAGACAGTGTCCAATGCCAATATTGACTCCTCACTAGAAACGAATGCTAAATACACCACGACGAAGTCATATGTGCCGCGTTGACCAAGCGGGTTGCGGACTTCTCCAGTCGCCATGTTATATGGCCACCCTTCTTGTCGTCCCAGTTTTGGCCGGTAAATAATAAATGGAAAACAATAAAAATCCTTTTCCGTCACACGTTTATCACATGCCGTCAAAAAAGCCCCCACAAAAACACATCAAGAAGCTTAACCCATCGCTTCATTTGAGACAAGATAACTTGGGACGCGAACAAACATACAGAACAACCTTGGATGCATCCGTAGTCTGTGACAGTCCCTGCCGACGGCGTGGAAGCCGAAGGGGTACGACTCCGAGATGGCAGCATCTCCCACGGAGATGGCTGATGGTTTGAAGAGACCGGTAAACTAGTACTTTGAGTCAGCCAATCGACAATAATAGGCAGGAGGGTGTAAAGGGGATATATCGGTATATCCATCCATTATGGGAGTAACTCACAGTTGAGCAACAGAGGGGAAGTTGACTACTCCCTTCTTCCCCTCTGTTGCTCATTTGCCCGCGTGCATGTGGTTGTCCGCGACGATGGCTGCACCCTAAGCCGTCGTCGCGGTCGTGAGGGATCGGGACTTGCTGGAGTTTGGGACCGGTTGAGGAATCTAAGGACTGAAGATATGATGGGGACGGAGATGGGGATGGACATGGACCGGGCGAGTAGGCTTTGGGGCAGGGCGAGGTTTCGGCCAAGGTTTCTTGGTCGTGTGAGGTTTTCTGGTCGGGTGGGGTCCGAGATCCTCGGCGCGGGTGCTGGTGATGGTGGTAATGGTGGATAGTGGCATGCCGTTTGCGGTGAAGTTCGGGATCGGGGTCGGGGACGCGAGTGAGGTGACTTTGGTGTTGGGGCGCGGAGTCGGAGGCGGAGGCCGGAGCTGCGGTGGAGACTGAAGCGAACGCCCCGAGGAGGGCGGCGGCGAGGGTATGAGCCTTCATCTTGGGTTGGTGGATTGGTAGGCCGATGGGCGGGGCTTGGGGTGTGACGGAGGCCGTCGATGGCGGTGCTGTTGCTCCGAGGAGGGACTGGATATGATATGGTATGTGAAGGTGAGCTGATCCGAGGTAGACGCTCTTGGGAGACTTTTTTTTGGAAGGGGACGAGAGGGAATCTATCTGATGGACATGGAGGATTATTATAGTACACCGGCCGAGGTAACGCGGTATGTCATGATTCTGTGTCGCGTCCATCGTGGAGCTTTGTTTTCATTCGATGGTTTGTTTACCTGATCACATGCTGGAAAAGGGGGTGTTGGGAGTTAGGGACTAGCTTCACTGCCAGAGGCTTTGGCGCCGTGGTGGTTGACGATGCCTGGATGGAGAGGCAAGTGCGCGCGAACCACTAGGCGACACTTCTCTTGGGTTGGCAGAGAAAGATGCTCGAGATGCTCGAGATTCTTGAGATTGGTTCTAACTATTGTTCGCACCAGACCTTCTCAGTAACAGTGTTGTTCTTTGGGCCTCCTGCCACAGCGTCGCTGCCAGAGAGGCTTCATATTATGGTCGTGTCCTATCTTAGCAATGAAGTCGCGTCAGCAGAACCAACATGACTGACGTTGTGGGCGAACAATGGCCGAACTTCATCCCGTCGTTCACGCGCGATGTGGCTTGCCGCTAGAAGTCTAGATCTCGTAGCTCGTCGCAGACTGTTGCAACCCGCTGAACGTTGATTATGGCAGCATGTGAAGACTTGCGTGCCGGCTATGTGAGGGATGATGCTCCCTACCGAGTCTTGCCGTAGGCATCTGAGGCGGGCGAGCTACACGATCATGTCCTGGAGGTTATGTCAGCGTCGGACGCTCACCCGCAGACTTGGTATCACATGGGTTGAAAGATAAATTCCTGGCAACATAAGTCATTCAAGTAGAATTCTCTGAAAGTGGGCTTCAATAAGGAAGCATGTCACAGTCCCCATGCGTTGAGCGTTGGTAGTGTTTATGAACGCGCATGAGAAGCTTTATTAGTTCCTCGAAGGGATTTTTGCGTACAGACTGTTTTCAATATTCGGTTCGGGTGCCATACTGCTAAGTGTTGTCTGACGCGCTGAGGTTGCAAGGTGACCTACAATGCAATCATTCTCCTTGCCTCGGTTGGTCAGACTGCTACCAGTAAGGCAATTGCAAGAGTTAAAACCACGGCGACCATGCAGTGATGCCGTGTTGTTGACTCTACCCTATCAGCCTATGTCCCGATGCTGCGGTGTATGTCGTGGCCGGGGACGAGCCAATTGAGGAGCATTTGAGGACCGAGCAGGTGAAGTCGGGATGGAAGAACCTAATTTTTTTACGACGCTGTGTCACATCTGCGGATCCCGGTCGTCGCCCGATCGCGATTCCATCACATCTCCAGGCTCGTATTTGCTTGGACAACGGCCAATGATGCGTCATACACGCCCATTAAGTGCGTGCTTATAAGACCGGCACGCAATGGAAGACCACCTTTCCTCGGTGTTGAAGAATAGTAAGAGGAAGATTGAAGCTGTGCTCCCCTACGCCGTCACGACTCACCGGTAGTGTCGGAGCGGTGGCCGGGGTAGCTGTCAACCACTCGGACGGTACCCGTGCCATGCCCCACTTTATTCAGGATTCGCTCGGGCTCACCAGCTAAAGCTGGTGCTGGACACCAAAACACCCAGATCACCAAAACACCCAGTTTCTCAACCATTCACTCTAGATCACACTTTTCTTCAGCAGCTTCAAAGCATATTTAATTCGGTAAAATGGAAGCACGCTTGCAGGAAGCTGTCCAGCATATTGGAACCGATTCCAGTTTGAAAGTCGCCACAGTAGCCCGCGAATTTGGCGTATCTCGCGATCGCCTTTAAAACCGTCTCAAGGGCCGCCCAGCAAGAAAAGGCCAACTAGCAGCAAACACGAAGCTAACACCTGCTGAAGTGGTTGCAATATGTCATTATATTGATCGTCTTGATCATATTGACCTTGTTATACACGCTGAGTTTATTACTGACGCTGCAAATCACATTCTGAGCGAGCGAGCGCCTTCAGCTATACGGGACAGCCCACCTATTATTGGCCAAAAATGGACCAGTCGCTTTATCAAGCGTTATGGATGCCACCAGCGGCTTTAAAAGCAGCTTCACGCAGACCGGGAGGCATCAGAAGACATCGAGCGAGTCGCTTAGTCCTTCCAGAAGCTCAAAGAGACATACAAAGCAGAGGGTATCCCTCCCAAAGATATCTGGAACATAGACGAGACTGGCTTTCGAATAGGTGTTGGGAAGAACCAGCTCATCGTCACCAAACGAAAGAGAGCCCATTATTTCAGCACCCCTGAGAATAGGGAATCTGTTACTGCTATCAAAGCCATCTCTGCGGGTAAAGAATACATACCAGCCTTTCTGATTCTGGCAGGCCAGCTCCATATGGCCCAATGGTATCAACAACCTAAACTACATGGAGATATAGCTATTATCCCTTCTTTTAGCGGCTACTCAAACGATCAAATCAGCTTGGAATGGCTAAAGCATTTTAAAAAACACACAGCAGCAAAGGCCATTGGGACGAAAAAGCTCTTTATTCTTGATGGTCATGGTTCACACCATACGATTGAATTTATTCAATATTACGAAGATCACAGCATCATCCCTTTTGGCATGCCTCCAAACCTGACGCACCTGCTGCAGCCGCTAGACGTGGTAGTCTTCCAGCCGCTAAAGCATTATCACGCAAAGGCACTGGACTTAATGGTCCGTGATGGCCTGGTGAACATCACAAAACTTGAATTCCTTAGCTGTATTCAGCAGGACCGCCAGCAAGTATTCAAGTCTAGTACCATTCTCTCTGCCTTCCAGAAGACTGGTATCTGGCCATATAACCCACTGCTGGTGCTTCAAATCTTAGAAGAATGACAGCCAAAAAGGACACCTATTCTCCCTATCTTGGCAGGTTCCTCGTTATTTGGCACGCCAATGACCTTATACCAGATCAACAAGGTGGCTGATAAGCTAGATATAGCGCTAAAAAGCAATGAAAGTCTTGATCCTGAGTTTGCTGCCAATATTAGCCGCTTTATCAAAGGGTCTTTAATAAATACTACAAAACTGGTCCAGACTAAAAGAGACCTGAGGAGGACTAAATATGCTGAGCGCGTTCAAAAACAATGCCGGGCCACCAAGAATACTCCATTGAAGTCAAGAGGGGTGTTGAAAGTAGCTGATGGCCAGCAGATGGTCCAGCAGAAGGAAGAAGACCAGATAATCAAGGCAAGAAAGATGGTTAAAGCAGCAGATCTAAGGGCTCGCAATGCTGCGAAACGCTGTTTTTCCGAAGCAGCAAAGGAGTCACGTAAACAGAGGCTTTCTGGGAGACTGGCACCAGCGGAAATCTACGAATCTGGCCACAGTTGCAGGTGGTTGAGACGTTTCTAGTTGGATAGATCGAAAAACTGGGCGTTTTGGTGATCTGGGTGTTTTGGTGTCCAGCACCAGCTTTAGCTGGTGAGCCCGAGCGAATACCGAATAAAGTGGGGCGTGGCACGGGTACTAACCTTTAGGGTAGACAAGAATCGAAGCAGCAAGCGATGATCCTGTTGACATTGCTGACCCCGACACCAGAGCGCCACGATCGACGGTGATTGATGAGCTGTTGAAGGTCTTACTTAATGTACCTAGCTGTGTGACCCTTGATTGGTGAGCATTGTGATGTAGACGGAGGTCGTGCGTCCCCCTTCGGAGATTTTCCGGCGCTACTACGAGGTGAACCGTTGAAGTGCTCCTGAAATAGACACTGCCGGTCCGCTATCAAATCTCCCAATGTCAACGTCGAACGATGCCCAGTATCGTGTAGTCGGAACTCTCAACGCGTGGTGCCGTAGACATATATCGGACGAAAGAAGAGTGCACACGATAGGTAGGCAAGGTAGGCGTGTCTTGTCTGCCTCGCTTGGCAGGCAACGTACTGGATGACAAAAGAGCAATAATACACACAGATATTGAGTCGCTGTGTGACGGTTTGCAGCTTCACTGGGGTAACATTCCGCCCACGGAAAGGCCAGGAACAGATAGGACCTGATCCTCCGAGCATCGAATCGCAGTCGTACGGCATGCAAGATCCGGATGGGAGGGGAAGCTCTCTGCCTCATCCTCATCATCCTGCTATACCGCCTGTTATACCGGCCGTCTGTGTCGGATGACCTCACGAGCCGACTACCAATGTTACCAATGCCTTGAATTCAAGCACCTCTATCCCTGCACATCGAGAGTATATACCAGACTACCTGACAATAATAATAAGTGCCGTTGACGAGCGCCGTGGAAGAACAGCTACCGCGACCCAATGAACATATATTGCAGACATGGAGTCAGATCTAGAGCAGTATGGTCTCTGATCAAAATCGCTCGCTGCCTCAACACCAAGACGTGGTCGTACCTTGAGGCGTCTCGGTGTACACAAGCGGTGTAAGTGCTGTACGGTTGGCCTCGTGTGATGGAAGAGATTAGGTCCTGAGATGTAAATAAAGCAGATACGGAAAAGAGAGCATTGAACAGATGTGCTGGCGGGCTGACGGGCTGAGCAACCCTCCCAGCTGTGTTCCCAAGGGCCACGAGTCTCCTGCTGCTCTCCGCATTGATGCACCAGGGATGTTGATTCCTTATTTGGTATGATGTTCCTTGTGGTTTATTCTTTGGTTGCTGAATCCCTTGACGGTTCCGATCAGGCCAAGTCAGTTCTTCCTCCAGCTTCTTTCATCATTCTTCTCATCTATCTGCAGCACGACCACCCACCAGTCCGAAACTAGTTTCACTTCTTATCGCTCGCTTGAGTTGTTGTGTTTCGCTGTTCATTGGACCTCCACCGGCAGAGTGGCTGACAGCTTGTCCTAGACTCCTAGCTGGCATCGCCATCGCGTGAGGTTAATAACAGCTGAGTGCACGTCATAACACGGACCTGCAGAGAGTACAGTACTGTCTGTACCTTACGTACCTACTATCACTCTCATCTGTGTCTTCAGGACTGCACGAAACAGAAGTGAACAGATAGACCATTTCTCACTGATAATAAAGCCCTGGACTTCTGGACTGCTGTGCTTTCCATAAGCAAAGGCGAAGCGAAACATCCCTCCCAATCCTGGGGGCGACCCAAGCTATTAATGGTGATAACGGCTTACACCGCCTGTATCTACCGCCTGTACCGCCTGTCTTTTACCGCCTATCTACACCACCTTTAGGTACACCACCTGCGCTGCACTGCCACACTACTACCCCGATACCCCAATTAACCGTCATTGCTCCATTGGATGTCTCCATGCCCTCAAATCCCTTTCCCAAAATTCATCCACCGTCTGTCTGTCTGACCCCTTCCAACCCAACCCAACCCAACCCGACACCACCAGGCGCATCCCAGTCGACTGCGACGCGCGACACCTCTTCTCGAACCCAGAGGACGCCCCGATCGTCTGCCACTTGTCTCGAGGCCGACCAACCAACGGACCGAAAGAGCTTCTACCTACCCGGCCGTCCATCGTCCATCCGATCGCGTTCGCTCCAGTCGCTCCAGTCGCTCGTCTGGGGGCTGTCGAACTATTCACTCGTTTTTTTGGGAGAAGGCTTCTACCAGCATCATGTGGCCCTAGTGGTCCTTGCTACCTCTCGAGTTCATATGGGACAATTCCATTTGGTACCGCCGCTGCCGGCCACCATGCGAAACCTAGGATCGCGCAGTTCGAGCCATCTGCAGGCCGCTTCGAGATCACATGCGCATACATGGTGTCAACAACATGAAGTCGGGATGGATTCGGCATCACAAAAGTTGAGTAGCTGCCAAATCACCAGGCACACCTGGCACGACAGACACACCTGGCACGACAGACAACACTCCCTGCCCGAGGACGCCTTCGCATCGCAACATGTGATCTCACCCAGTGCTAGCCTACCAGGTTTTCGTAGAAGCGCCCTGCTTGTACTAGCATGCCTTTGGATCCAACCTAGCATGGCTGTGCGAATCCCCTTTGACAATTGCCTGCCGGACAGCTACATCGCTTCGAACATGGACATACCGCGCGACAGCGTGCAGCTGCAGTTCGTTCCGCTGGTCCTGGATGCGGTCTTCGACAACCAGAATACAACCCATAACTTGCTAGTGACCGTATGGGGGAACGTGACTGGAAGAGTTGGCAGCGAGGAGCTGCCTCCAGCGGGATCGCCTGACTGGAGTGACCCCGAGAAGGTGCTTTATGGCAAGATACAAGATGATCCAAACGCGAGCGCCCCGAAACATTTCGCCACTACACTGCAATCAGAAGTCGACGTCTTGACGTACCAGCCTTATTCCAACTTCGCCTACTTCTGTGAGAGCATCTTGAATAGCACCTGTCCTCTGGCTCCCGTGTTCAATACCACACCTTTGTAGGTTACTCCGAACGCAGTTGTTGAAAGACCAGTTATGGCCGCCTCTGAGCCTGTGCTAACAGTAATTTGCCCAGTAATCTACCAGCGGAACCCTATGGACTACCTTCGTTCAACCTGTCCAAGGACTTTAGTTCTAGTTACGCCTTCACTTCATTCGCCCCTACCATGATCATCAAGTACGGTGATGAGGCAGGCACGTCAATCGGGTGTGTGTCCGCAACAATTACGCCTACACTCGGCGGTCTCGCATGGTTTCTTAAGTTCCTTCCACTATTTAGTCTGGTTCTAGTAGGCTTCGCAACAGCCTTTGCCGGTATCTTTAGTCCATGGGGTACGAGCGACGTCTTCCACTGGACGTCCAACTATGGAAGAGACCCTGATCTGCTTCGCTTGGTGACCCCTGGATTTGGAGACTGTCTACAGTATATCCAGTTCCTCACGCTGACTGGTGGCCTCACCCTCGAGTATCCTGGCTTCTATCAGCCAGTCGCAAGCCACGGCTCATGGTCTACGCTGATGTTCAATGAGAGTTTCGTGTCCAAGGCTGAGCCCTTTCAGAGTGTGGTTGATGGCATCTATGTGACCGAGGGCAACTACGGCCTTGAACACATTGCGCAACTGGATGGAATGGGTGAGGTCGAGGATATCTGGGCCGGCATGATCATATGGCTTCTCGTCATCATCGCAGCGGTGCTCTTCGTCATTCAGCTCGGGTTCCTAGTTCGGTGGTTTCGACGTTTTATCGACAATATTCCAGAGGAGGATCTTCGAGCCAAGAACATCCCTTTCTCCCTGGGCAACATCGTCCGCCTCGTCTTCAGCTACTTTCTGTTGCCCATCGTTGCCCTCTCCGCCTTCCAGTTAGTGGTTGCAACACGATCAGCCGGAGTCCTGGTGGCAATGGCTGTCATAACACTGGTTTTGATCATAGGATTTGCTACCCGGCTCATGTACCTCATATGGACCACGAAACCACGGGCACACCTTTTCGATGATCTCCCCACAGTCCTCCTGTATGGGCCACTTTATAACACATACTCGGACGAGGCGGCCGCTTTTGCACTGATTCCCATCATTCTGACTATTGTGCGAGGCTTTGCTATCGGCGCTGTTCAGCCATCGGGAACAGCACAGATAGTCATCCTGGCGGTTTGCGAGGTTATCCAGATGTTGACAATCAATGCCTTCCGCCCTTTCCACTCAGCAACCTCGATGAACGCTTACCACATGGGATTCTCGATACTGCGATTCATCTCGCTTATCCTCATGGTGGCTTTCGCCCCATCTTTAGGTTTGACCGAGGGTCCCAAGGGATGGATTGGCTACGCGATCTTGCTGATACATGGATGCGTGCTCCTCTTCGGTTTCGTTCTGAACGCCCTCCAGACTATCATTGAGGTCATTGCACGCCTATGCGGTGCAGGTGGAGACAATGTTCGTGGACAGACCAGAGGAGGCCTGTCCAAGATCTTTGGTGCCCGTCAACTGTCGAGGCGACCCGCTGGCATGGATCGACGGGGCGGACCGTCTCGACAAAGCCATCTTAGCACCACGGCTATGCTCGATAACGGGAATGCTTCTAAGAGAGGATACGGACGCATTAGAAGTGGGTCTGCAGGAAGCATGGGCATCTTGATGAACCAGAGAAGCTCGAGTGCTCTGGACGCCCGAAGTATAGATGCGTACTCCATCCCGATGACCGGGGGCGGCAACTACACTCCGACGACACCAGCAGATACCAGTAGCTTCTCGTTCTTGCCGACGCCGGGACAGGCCACTCGTCCCCAGCCAACGGCTGATCCGTACTATCGTCCACCCCGGGCCCGTCGGGGGACTCTCGATGAAGCTTTGATATCGTCGCCCCATGGGGCTCGGGACTCAATCACTAGCATTGATCTTGCGACCCGACGAATGAGCCAAGCTGGAAGTCCTCTGATCGATGCGGATGAGGTTCCAGCTCCAGGGAAAATGACGCCGGCACAAGCACCCACACAAGCGCCCGCACCCGCACCTGCACCTGGGCCTGCGCCTTATGCACCAGTGTTTGCTCCACGTGCTGACTACTCAACGCGGGAGGTTGACTTCTATTACGGCGTACGAGGACCGGCCCTCAACTCTGATGGTCCCGGTCGTAAGCTGGGCACTGGACCAGCAGATCCTACAAGCCCAGTGGCAACGGCGACAGGCTGGATCAAGGGGCTTTTCGGCGGCAAAACTAAGGAGAAGGGCAAGGGCTTTGAGGTTGTCAGAAGCTCGAGAATGCCGCCGGCAATGAGGGCCAGAAGCGGCGAGTTCAGCGACGACGCGCCTCCCGAAGGCATCCCTGTTGCCATGGGTGTTCTGCGAAACGGGCCCATAGACAGCGATGACGAAGATGAAACTCCAAAGCCCAGGGGAAACGAGCCCGTGAGCAGCGATAGCGCCCCAGGGGAGTTACTAATTGAGACTGCCGAATCTCAGTCTGAAGAGGAGATAGACCCGAAGAACACGAGAGTGACCAAAGAAACTCCGCTTCTTCCTGACCTTGACGCCGGTGAAAGCTTCAAAGTGCCCAGTCGAGCCCATTCAAAAGCCAGCAGGAATCCGTCCACGCGAACGCGGCCTGGGGCTAGTGAAGCGCCGGACGTCCCCGAGGTGCCAAGGAAGAGCTCGAAACGCAACTCGAGCGTGGACGGCATGTTGAACTTTGTGGCACCTTCTGAGAGGTCATCATCACAAAATCGAACGGACGGTGCTCCCAACGAGCCGCATTCTGAGCTCGGGGCGCCGGCGAGACTACCATTCGACCGAAGCAACTCCCAGAGGCGCCTTTCCGGCTCCTCAACCGCACCCACCGAGGATTTGAGTCAATTGACTTCAGCTGACTTTAGCGCCGAGGGTGAAAACGAGCGGCCTGCCAGCTACGGTTACGTCCACCAGCGCAACATTAGCAGGATAGACCCAGAGCAGCGAGCCGACTTTCTGGGGAGCGCCGCCGAGCTCATTAATGACCCCAGGAAACTTAGTCTCTCGAACTCGTCGGTTTCTCGGCGCTCTTGAATCGAACCATATATAATTGTCACGAATTTCATTTGCATCGCTGTCTGTATACGATGATGTATAGAGTCTCCCGTTTCTCGACACGGCCTTGATCGCGGGATACGGCTAGCGGTCTGGGTCTTTTTGTTTCATTTGCAGAATGAGAGGTGGGATTCAGCAGGGCGTTCAGGATCAACGGCATCTTCACGGCAGGAAAGAGGCAGCCATTTGCCTCCTTTTCCAGTCCTGCTCATACATACGTGAATGATGCCTGCTTTGAGCGATGGCGTACCAAAAGTGGTCCGGCACGAGATCTGGGAGGGCACACTACATCAGAACCGTGCAAAACAGGGCACGACACAGAGGAGTGAAGCGCACACTTGATGTATTGCGCATGTGGACACCCATGTCATGGAAATAGTAATGTTGTTGAGTAGACAATCTGTAGCAAATGTGTCTTGAATACTAAAGTAGTCAGGATTACATGCACCGGAGACCGAGACTTGTGATGATTTCATACTGCGTGCTAAGTTGAGACTCTGTTTCACTCAGACTTCGGCTTGCCGGTGTTATATCAGTCCTCCGGGTTCGGCTAGAGTGGGATCCCGATAACGGAGCCGTGCCGAGCCACATGTCACCGGCCCACTCTACGTCTCCGCCAAAGGATGGCGTAACTTTATAGTAATCTCGTCTAAACTCGCGTGATGAACGATGACAGCTCCGATGGAACTCTACATATGTACTGGAGCGACCGGATACGTAAGGTGTCTCTCGAGGCTAACCAAGCATATTCCGCCACGACATCGTACATGCTGTTTCTAGCCGTTGGTCATTCATCGCTGCTACGTCCTCCGGGTCAAAGGTCTAGATCTTATATATTCGCAGTGAGACTCTTCTCGTTCCCGCTCGTTTGACCGGTGGCTTCACACTTTCGCTCGCCGCTGCTACATTTTGACGAGTCGGGCGACTATCAAGGCGTAAGCTCAGATTCACGAAAACGAACATTTCCGAGGGAGGAAACACCATTCTTATAAAAGCAAGAACAAGAACTAGAACCATGGCAGCCGAAGAGACAAAGGGCCACTCGGCCACTTCAGATGCTCCTGGCTCTCACCAGCCGGAGGTGTCTGTTCAACCGCCAGCCAACCCTGAGCTGGTCGAGGGCATGGCGCATGAGAATCCCATAAACGAGGATCACAGCACCAGTGCTGGCGTAGAGCCTCCGGCAGACCTCACTGCGCTTGCGTCGAGGTACCAGCACTTATCGCTGTCGGCGCAGACGATCCACGCAGACGACTACCTGAACTCGCACCAGTCCGTCGCGCCGCCCATGCATGTGTCGACCACGTTCCGATACAGCGACGACCCGGATGAATTGAGCCCGTGGGCAAACATCAACGTGAGTACTGCCATAAGTCCTCTTGGCATCATAGCTACCGCCCGTCGCGAAACCTTTGATGATAAGGGGCAACAACAGCCCGAGTTGTCCACCAAGCTAACCGCCACATAAGTCCAACAACCCCCACGACTCACACGTCTACTCGCGCGACAGCGCCCCCAACACCACGCGCCTCGAAGCCGTGCTGACCTCGATCCTGCACGGGCCGTCCCTAACCTACAGCTCGGGCCTGTCAGCCTTCCACGCGCTCCTCGTGCACCTCAACCCGCGGCGCATCGCCATCGGCGGCGGCTACCACGGCTGCCACGGCGTCATCAAGCTCATGACCAAGCTGACGGGGCTCGAGATGGTGGACCTGGACTGTGCGGACGACGTCCTGGGGGCGGGCGACGTCGTCCACGTCGAGACGCCGCTGAACCCGACGGGCGAGGCGCGCGACCTCGAGTTCTACGCGGCCAAGACGCGTCGCTGCGGTTGCGTGCTCACCGTGGACGCGACGTTTGCGCCGCCGCCGCTGCTGGACCCGCTGCGCTGGGGCGCTGATGTTGTCATGCACAGCGGGACCAAGTATTTTGGGGGGCACAGCGATATGCTGTGCGGGGTGCTGACGGTGGCGCCGCGCCACGAAGGGTGGGTGAGGGCGCTGCGCGAGGAGCGCCTCGTGCTCGGGTCCGTGATGGGCAGCCTGGAGGGCTGGCTCGGCGTGCGCAGTTTGAGGACGCTGGAGGTGCGCGTGAAGAAGCAGAGCGCTGACGCTGAGAGGTTGGTGCGGTGGCTCGTGGACGAGTTGTCGTCGTCCGAGTCGTCCGAGTCCGATGGGAAGAAGGATGGGGTTGTGGGCGGCATGGTGGCCGAGGTCAGACACGCCAGCCTGCAGACGCAGGACCTGCAGGGCGAGCACGCCTGGCTGAAACGACAAATGCCGAACGGGTTCGGCCCCGTGTTCGCGGTCTACATGCGGGACGCCGAGGACGCCAGGAGGCTGCCGAGCAAGCTGCGCCTGTTCCACCACGCCACGAGCCTGGGCGGCGTCGAGAGCCTCATCGAGTGGAGGGCCATGTCGGACGTGGGCGTCGATGAGAGGCTTTTAAGGGTCAGTGTGGGCATTGAGGGCTGGGAGGACCTGAGGGATGATTTGGTGCAGGGGTTTGAGGCTCTGGCGAGGGAGAAGACGGGGAGGATGGGGAAGGCGTAGAGGTAGCAGGGTAGGGAGGGCGAGGTTGTGGGGTGATGTTTTGCAGCAGATCTTGGAGGGGCCAAAGGAGATTAGGGAGGGCACAGAGGCTTGAGATTTCTAAAGAAATCACGGCTCGTAGGTGCAGAAGAGACTGAGATGTTTTGTATGGTGACCGGGTCATGCAGTTATTAGCCCACACCCTCAAGCCTGAATAGTAAACTGGGGGTCCTAGCCTGTTGACGGTGTGCGTATATAAACTTCGCCTAGTTTCTCCGGTATATTTGTTAACCTCCCTACCTCCTTATCTTGAACAGTGTAGATCAGGGCTTGTGGGTTCACTTCCACGCTCACGTCAGAAAGTCATAGGCTCATAGCGTGCGGGTTGATGGTCCACTAATAACAACCTGGGAATATATCACTTAGGGGTGGCCAAGACATCGAGCCCGTTCCTTGTTTCCGACCTATGTGTTTTATATATGCTTAGACTCTTTACTCATACACGTAAATAAATATAATATTATAGGGAGCTCGCACCGCCGTTTAAACCCCTGGGACTAACCCTAACCCGAATCCTAACCCCAGAGCTTGACCACCCCCGGGTATATTCCCACATGACTAGCCTTATGTAGCACGCCGTCTCAGGTCGGCTTGGTCCCGACGTCAAGCACTGAGAGGCTTCACTAAAGTTCGCAACAATGCCTTCCGTATGTGCCAGCCACAGTGGCTCAACAGACAAGGCTCAAAGCGGTTTCTTGCAAAACTAAGCCTATTTGGGAGCAAAAAGTTCGGGTAAAACTGAAACCCTGACCCAACAAACACCTTTCCTATACGGAAGGTATTGTGGCCGTGGCCGGGTGAGTCATGCGGCCGGCGACAATCACTCGGCCGGCAACAATCACTCGCCGACTCGAGCGTTATTCCCTTGAGTGCTCGTTGGCACCGCCTTGTACAGTACGAGCCACATGGCCCGTGTAGACACCAAGTGGGATCAGTCCAGTATTAACGAACCAATCGTTCAATGTCAGTGAATGATCGGCCGGAAATGGAGGGTTCTGATTGGTCGAAGAAGTGGCTATAAGGCTTTAGATCCCGTCACAGGTGATCCCTCGTGTACAGTACCGGATTGCAGGGGGGTCGGTGCCAACGAGCACTCAAGGGGATACGTTATACGTCTACTTGCGGGATAGTCGCTGCTGACGAACTATTTTTTTACTCCCTGCAGCCCCATGTGCCCCACAGCAGCCCCCGGCTAACAATTACAAAGGCATTCACCACCCAATCTGCCGATCTTCTGGATAAGTGCTGGTACTTCTGGCACAGGCAAAAAGTAGGCAAAAAGTAGGCAAAACTGATGTACCTTACTTTGCACTAAGACGGATTGGTTAACCGCTATGGAGACGTCACGAAAACCCCGGGTGATACCCAGGTGGTGCTTCGCCGCAGTCAATCAAGCCAATTTTGGCGATGATACAGGAACATCAACAAACGAACAATCCTGCATCTGGTGGATCTGGTGTACTTTGGACGAGATTCATGCGGAGTCAAATCTCAATGCTTGGAGAGATCCATCATCCCCAGGGGTCTTGACTCTTCGGTGAGTCTTGAATGGATCTTGAGCCTCGTCGGGCATGTATAAAGATGCCCCATCACCCACACTGGTAGACACAATCCCTTGCCGCATGAATCAGCATCGTTCAGACCTCCTCAACCTTCCAACATCTGCCGAGACTCACTGTCACGATCACGATGAGGAATCCGTATAAATCCATGTTGCGTGCCATGCTGGCCTCGACAGCTTTCTGTTCTATACCATCAGCGACCGCCTCCCAGGTCAGCGGTAACGGAGTCAACCTGCCGCTCCCCTACCGCGTGATCACGCAGTTCGCAGAGCCTACCTGGATCGAGAACATTGCAGTTCGCGCCAATGGGGAACTCCTCCTGTCCTTCTTGCTGCCCAACGCCAGTCTCTGGAGCGTCGCCAGGCCGGCAGATACCACCGCAGGCCCACAAATCGATAACCTGGGTCTCTTCCAGCCAGCACAGGGGTTGATGGGTATCGCCGAGCCCGAGCCTGACCTGTTCGTTCTTGCCAGTTCTGTCTTCACCTCTACTACCGATAACGCCACGACGGTCTGCCGGACCTGGACCGCCGACTTCCGGGGTGGTCGCACGGCGCCGGAGATCAAGGTGGTGGCCGATATCCCCAACGCGACCATCCCGAACGGCGTCACGGCCGTGCCGGGAAACAACAGCGTCGTCCTCATCGCCGACTCGGGCAACGGGCTGGTCTACCGCGTCGACATCAGCACCGGCCGCCACGACGTCGCCGTCCAGGTCCCGGAGATGGCGGTGGTCGTCAACGCCCAGGTCGGCGTGAACGGGATCCACGTCCACGACGGCCACCTGTACTGGACGAACGCCGGCGCCGCCACGATCTACCGCCTCCGAATCAACACGGACGGTTCCCCTGCCACCAAATGTGGTGCTAAGGTTGAGACCGTGGCGAAGCTGGACGCGACATTTCTGGACGATTTCGCCATTAGCGCCGACGGAACCATCTGGGTCGTCACGGACTTCGACAACCGGCTGATCGCCGTGCAGCCCACCACCGGCAATAACAGCAGCACCAGTGTCGTGGTCGAGGGCGCCGTCTCAGAGTTGACTCTGGCTGGCGGCACTTCGGCTGCGTTTGGGAGGGGCGAGACGGACCGCCACGTTCTCTATGTTACCACCAACGGTGGGCTGAACAGTCCCGTCAACGGGACCGTGACGGAGGGCGGCAAGGTTGTTGCGGTTGATACATCGGGCTTCAGATTTTGAGCGGCCCCCTCTTTCCTTTTTCTTCCTTCTTCTTCTTCTTCCACCCGGCATATCATCTGATTTGCCGAGGGTGACTGTACAATACACTTTTTGTAATCTGAATAGATAGATGTAGATACCAATCTCGAACACTATTGGGAAAGACAGCGAACCGCTGAGGGTCCCTTGTAAATTTTCAAGCTGTGTAGTGATGTTTGCGAGAGCTTCATTCTCCTATATTTCTAGCTCGGACGACGCTACGAACGGAAATTAATCTTATCCCGCTTGTTTAATGAGACGCGTGTGACCGTGACGTACTGGTTTGCCGCGATGACCTAGAACTTAGAAATTGTGAGGTTGGCATCCTTGAGGCTTGAGCTCATTACTCGTCTGGGTGTTATGGCCACCTTCAGACCAACGGATTGGGGGTGGGGGACAAGTAAACTTGGTTGCTTTAAGTAGTCTGGAGTCGACATTAGACCCAGACGAGTACGGACCCTCCTTTGCAGCAAACCATATATCCAGGCTGTTGTTCGTGGTGTGTTCACGTGGTGCCTCGTCTGCACCGCCCATGCTCAAATTGATGTCGTCCCTAATCATATAGCTCTGGCTTGCACTTGGTGACTTGGCACGTACCGAATACTGCCATCCTGCTACGGCCCCCTTCTGACCCGGCTTGTGCGAGTCGACAACCAGCACACGACAGTGGAGAGGCCCCATTATCGCAGAGCCCCATAGCCAAGCAGCTTGTCTCTATCACACCCATTCCTGCGAGGTTTTTCCCCTTGTGGTTTCCCTCGCCAGCAGATAACAAACACCGGCTTTATCCACCAATGTGACATATATCGAACGGTTACTGGAACGATGTGTACATCAGATGACTGAGGTCCACTGGGTTGTTTTGTCACTGGACAGGAGGTTTTTCTGACAGAATCGTGCTTGGGTATTGACTAAAAACCATCTGGACACTCCAGGTTCGTACCGCTACAGCGAGGATGGGCTCGTGCACGGATCTGAATGTATCTAGATTGACACCTCTACAACCTTGCGATGCAGAGGCTCTGGGAGGCGTGGTTTGCACTACTGAGGAGCAACCCCCCACGTTAAATACAAAACAAACAAACAAACAATGACTGGATTAGACATTTGACTTATGTACACAAGCTTTAGACAAGCTTAGACAAGCTTTAGACAAGCTTTACGTATGGGGTTGACCACACGCCGAGCCTCAATCTTTCGCATGCATTACCTGCTTGCCAAGGCATCCTCACTTTCAAGCCTTCACAACGATACCATTAGCTTCTTGTCTTCTTAGCCGCTGATGAATTCTTCCCAGTGTCATAAAGGTATGCTATTCCCTCTCGAAAACAGTACCAGATCAGGGACTGGCTACTGCCCCTGTCCGCAATGTCCCTCGCTGCCAAATTCCCCTGGACCCAAGTTGGATGATCTTGGAATGGAACTGGCTCGACGGACTTCCCAGACGACGGCGTCAAAGTGATGATGTTCAAGCCATACTTTCCATACCTTCATGAAGCCAGGGTGTCCTGATTATCATGACTGACAAGCCACTATCGACACCACATCGAGACCGGGACGGAGCATCCTGCTTTGAACGCATCGTCAACTCTGTCCCTATGTGACTACGAGTTCCACGATCTCGCAACCGATAAATCCATACCAAACTGCCCAAGGCTGACGTCCGATTAAAGTTTCGCTTGATTCACATGCGCCGCAGTCTAATCTGGATTCTTGCGGCGTAGTCTGATATCCGTGCGGCGTAGCAACACATGCTATGGGTATTCCGCTTTGGCCACACATGAAACAAGTCATGTCATAGGAGTTCGAGCCCAATCATTTGCAATATGTAAAGACTTGATTATATTCATTAGCTGTAAACGATCTATTGGGGTATATCCATCGTGTATCCATCGGCTTTATTCCCAAACCTTACCATTAAGCCAACCAGACCGTCACTGCAAATGCAAAAACCAGCACCGCAACCGAGCTCGCGCTCCCCAGTCTCGCTGCACCCGAGTCGTCATCATTGTCCGCCGTGCCAGTGCTCTTAGCGCTTCCCGCCGACGCAGTAGCGGTAGCCCCGAGGCCCTTAGTGACAATTGCGCTGCAAGCGTCCCCGTCAGAGCTCGTGTCCGCACCGATCTTATTCCTGAAACTGGCTACGATGGCCTCAGTGTCGCGGACCGTGATGCTCAAGTTGCCGGTTTTACCAACCGTCAACGTCTTGTCGTCGTCCGAGACCTGCGATTGCGTTCCATCGCCGTTCTGCTCGAAGCTGAGTCCGTTCCATGTCGTTCCTTTTGTGGCATCGGCGCCGTCGCCCGTCAAGTAGCTGAGATGTACTGTTTGCCCCGCGAGGGAGGTCGGCAATGTGACTTCCACTGTCAGCGACGGCTTGTCGCTAGCGCTGACGTTGGCAAGCTTGCCGTTAATGACAACAATCGAGCCTAGCCCAGCCCCTTGGTACACGGCGTACGCCTTAACGTAGCCATTGTAGCCGTCAGGGTAGCTGTTGATAGACGCCGGTGCCACTGTGGCGTTGCAGCTTGCTCCGATGGTTTGGTCGAATGCCGCCACTAAACATTGGGAGTCAGTAATTGTGTCCGCTGAACGAATTCCGCAGTACCTCGGGAACACTCACTGCCATAGTAGATGGGGCGAACAAAGGGCTGAACACCGCCTTCATCGGTCGGCTTCCAGGCACTCGTGTTGCTCTCAGCCGTCATGTGAAACTGTACGCTCGAGATGTTCTGTGAAGCAGCGTACAGCAGGAAGTTCATCGTCCAAAGTCCCGCGGCGAAGGTATCGCTCACGCCCGCGAGGCCAATGGGACCGACAACGCCCATCTCGCGAAGGGCGTATGGGTAGTCGGTGGCTTTGGCCTCAGTGAGCTGCGGGCCCAGGGCCGAGTTGAACTGCGTTTCGGTCGTGTCTAGCTGCAGCATGTAGTCCAGCGTGATGGGATAGCCAGTGGCACCGAGGAAATAGTAGTAGTCGTGCTGATCCCATGATCCCAAGTACGAGTTTGATGACCCACTGACTTTGTCATCAATTCCTTCTGAAACCAGGCCTTGGACCCCAAATGTGGTGCCGCTCACCCATGCCGTCGTGGCAGCCGCGTCGAAGAAGTTGCTCGAGACGCCCTTGGGCTCCAGGACCTGTTTGTAAATAGCGGCTGCGCGCTCTGTCCACTCGTTGTTGTATTGGGTGCCTGTCCAGGTTCCTTTGCGGAAGCCATTGTCCAGATACACATCTGGCTCGTTGCCGATCTCGAAACTGCGGAGGTTGATGTTAGTGCAGCGGTCCTTGATCTGCTGTGCGGTAGCCACGATCTGATCTATGTAGTCGTCCTCCTCGTATGCCAGGTTCAAGCCCCAGGTAACTGGAGTGCCCTGTGGTAATCTGTTGGCGGCGTCGAAAAAGTGTGGACCAATGAGCATGGAATCGGAGGCAATGTGGCCCTGGCCCGTCGAGTTGGGGTTGTTCTTGATTATCCATTCATCGTTTGAAGCTGAGTAGATCATGTAGTCCTGGGTGTTGCCACCGAGGCGGATGTAGGGCGGCTGGCCGGTGAAGTTTGCCAGGTTGTTTAGGAGGTTGATGGAAAACTGGTTGGTCTCGGCGCCGCCCATGTAGTAGTAGAGTTGCGAGGGCTCGATACCGAGGCCAGCGAAGGACGGGTCGATAGCAGCCGAGGCGTTATTCGGGGCATCGTCGACGGAGAACGAGAGGACGTCGGCGGCGAGCGCAGAGCCGAGAAGGCTGCCAGCCGCGAGGGCTGCGCAGATTGATCTTCCCATACTAGTTGGCAGTTTGGCGAAGATCGGTATTCTCTAGACCGCGGGCACGACGGGCGCGTGGATGTCAAGGCGTTTGATGGTTGATGCTCTGCGGGAGAGAGCCATCGTGAAGAGAATTCCGGGGAAGGAGGCGGGACTTCAAGTAATGTGCAAAAAACACAGCCCCGTGGGCCGTGGAGAAAGGATCAAGATGGCAAGCGTCACAGTCATCAGTCACAAATGACAATTCCAAGGACTGGGCATTGCCAACAGACTATTGCCCCATATTTACGTGTGTGTTTGCTCGGTGGATCACCTGCTGCTCTGGAAAAAGTGGAAAAGAACTGGAAAGTTGGACCAAGTTGGCCGTGTGTGCTGTCCAACCAGTCAACAAATCCAAGCCCAAAGCGGCCTTTCCGCCATTCCACAGGCCGTGCCGCTGTCTAGCGACTCCGGCTACCCGGTCTAGTAGGTTCGCAGCACGCCTAGCGCCCATTCCAGCGCTGAACAGCGCTGGCAGCGGACCCGGCAGCCGTCACTACCGCCACAGTAGGCCCAGTCCAGCGGACCTGCTGCGCGGGTCTGCTGCTTTGCCGCATCCGGCAAATTGCACAATCTCCACGATCGCACGATCTCTTACTGATTACGTCAGGGCTGCCATCTCAGCTCCTTCTTCTTCTCATGACGCTAGAAGTCTCGAATCGCTGAAGCAGTTGCCTCCTTTCCCACAACCGTCAACATGGGATGAATATACAGTTTTGACCGCTGGCAGTAGCTCCCGTCTTTGCGCATCTACGTACAAACTTCAGAGTTGAGAGATATTCGCAGGTAAGGAAGATACCGGGGACGTGGGATCATATGGAACAATCCCTGCAATACAAACATGGGTATTTAAAGAAACAAACAGGTCTTTGTTTCATATGCTCCTGGTAGGATCAAGAGGTCGTGACTCGTGGGATCCGAACGCACTCGGACCCCCTAAAAATAGCTGGTCCTAAAAGAGTCAATTCTCTCGTCTTCACTTCAATGACGTCCATCAGAGCAGCTTCACTTTACCATGTGGCTCATTCGCAAACATAGAGGTTAGGGGTTAGGGGTTAGGGGTGGTTCTTAAGCGTGTGGCTTGGCACAAGGGGTCAACTCTGCTGGACTTGAGCTAGAGAGTAGACTTGTCGAGAAGCTAACAGCACGCCACAATCACGCATCACGAGTCTCCGTCTGCGCACCTTGATACGATTATAGGATTCAGACGTATATTACTTGTAATGCACCCTGGCATAAGTTGGAAGCAGCTGTCTTGAACACTAGGACAAGGGATACTTGTGTGCCTGTTCCCCTTTATAGCGTAGGTGGCCGAGTGATCATGATGAATTGACTATAGAGCATGCCACACCTAGGCACCTGGACGTCGGGGGCTCCGCGCTCATTTCCAAGCAGAGAAAGCAAGCTTGAAGCCAATGTCTGATCTCACGCTCGAGACTCATCCGCTTCTGTCTCTAATCTGGCCGAACTGAGTGCCGTTATTGCGGGTTGCTGAATTTCCACATTCGTGTGGCTCTTGGAGCGCAGTCGTTCCGATACAAACAATACCAAGTTGAGTTACTCCGCTCTTCCATTCCTAGCACCAAGTGTCAATGGCAGGAAAGTAATTGAAGCAGATCAATGTTGCACTTACTACTATTCCGTAGAACCCGACAATGTGACCGTCCTCTGGCCACAGAATCTTGCCATTACTCCCTTCCTCATAGGACGGCGGAAATTTGGCAGACTGGTGAAAGTTCGTATAAACCTTGATGAGCGTGATGTTAGCTGCTGGCTTTGCAAAACGAAGAATGTCGCACGTGGTGAATTCACCTCGAAGCCAAGGAAAGCACCGTTCCTGTGGTACCCGCACTCCAGGCCGATAATCCTCTCCCCATCTTTCGAGTTCAAGGTAAGGCTGTGCTTCTCCACTGGCTGGCTGTTTGGATCCGAAACCCCAGTTTCTTTCGTTGCTGCCTATTCGGACTTCCGTGCTGCCGTTGAGGGGTGCCTCGAGACTGACTTGAACGGCCAGAACATGGTCGTAGGCGTTTGTCCAGACGGACAAGCCAAGCACATGCGGTAGATGGTGTGCTCCTGAGCCGCCAAAGACGGCTGTTGTCAGAGGTAGGTTCTGCATTCGACTAGCTACCTGCGGTTCTGCTACACCAAAGAACGAAAGCTCTTGACCGGGAAGCTCGGGAAACCAGATGGCGTGATCTCGGTGAAGTTTGTGTCGAATGCTATGGCCCTCGACAGGGTCCTGGTCTCCATCACTGATGGACAGGGATACCATTTTACAAGCCTTAGTCAAATTTTAGCATCGAATGAGCTGTAGATGACCATAGCAATCAGAGGACTTACATCAAAGCCCCCGTTTATGAGCCGAATATCTCGAGCCGAGTCGATGACCAGTCTCCTCTTAGAAATATCCCGGTGCTCTCCAATCCAGTCTGACGCATCATCAGTCCTGTATAAGAAAGCAAGCCCTCGGATACCCCGCTGATCTTGTGCCAGGTGAAATCCAGCGAGATTTGGCTTGCAGGTTTTTATTGGAATACCACCCGGTCGGGTTATTGTAGGATACGACTCGTTTTGGGGGTGTATGTACCCCAGATCGGAAAGTTCCCCGTTTGTCTGACAAAATCGTATACCCGCGACAAATTGTCCAGTGCAGAGGTTGACCGTGAAAATAGAAATGGAGGATACATCTGTAGGAATTGCCAGAGACCTTTCCCGTAGTGATCGTGAGCCGTTCGTAAAATACTCACGGGGTTGCTTCAGAGCTCTGCTGGCGGTGACCCAGGATAGAGCGTCGATAGGAGCGTCTGGTTCAAAATAACTGCGAACTGGGCAACCTTGGGCTGAGCCTTCAGTGATGACTTGGCTGAGCAGCGCGCGAAGCTGAGTTTCCAACTGCCAAACCCTCTTCCTGTTTGTCAGTGACGGATGATTCTTCATCGACCGAACACACAAGAAGACACGTTTCCATCTCCCCCTGTGCAGGGAATACTCCTTGAATTCGAACGAATGATCGTATGCATTAGTCGTACTGCAGAATCTTGAATGCCAGAATCGATCTGAAAGGCGGGTATTTGCCAGTACCGCCGACGCAAGCTTGAATCGGAGAACATCGATGGAAGGCAAATGAATGAGAATCATTTGTAAGATCTCTGGAGGCAGCGTGGAAAAGGAGTCGTGCGTAATCGTGGTTTTCACGGTCGAAGGCAAAGATTGAGCTGGGAGAGCGCCAGCAGAGCCCTGCACTTCCTCTGCCTCTTCCTTGTCGATGGCGACAAATTGAGGCGCGACAGAAAGATTAAATGGATCATGTTCCTCCGAGTTGTCACCGTTATGATCATAGAACAGGTCTGCCTCTTCCCCAGGACACAGTGCGTCGGAGTGCGGGTGATACCGAAGAAGTTTACCATAATTATGACCAAAATTCAGAGCACCCAGGCTAGCGGGCGTAGATCGGCATAGATCAAAAAAGGCTTGTATGTTCACTTTCTCGCTCGGGTGACAAGCAGTCGTCAGATCTCAGCAGGAGACATGAAATGGGAAACCCCATGCGCTAGGGGTCTCGTGTTGGATTCTGGGCTACGTTAGCCCATCCATAGTCATCCTTCAGGATCACTATCCCCATTCGTGACTCTGTCACATACGTGGCCAATATAAGGCCGCGTATCCTTTCCTTTAGTATCTTGGATATATATAGGGCCACTCTAGCCGCTCCAGAGTAGCTGGAATTCCTCTCCTTAATAGAACACTTTGAAATCTCACATCTCGTCGGGGGCCACCGCCATGCTGGGAGCCTCAAAGGTCGAACGCAAGAGCCAGATTCCGTCATGGCTGCGGTCTTCCTCTCTCTCTCCTTCTCTCTGCATAGACAGATGGGCAGCTGGAATGACATCAGCGAGTAGCCGTCGTTCTCCAATACCAGACAAAGCGGCTGAAAAGGATGTCTCGTCAGCAGCGTAGACTAAGATGGTGATCGTTAGTATCAACCTTGAGACAAGGGAAGGCAAAGGCTCCCGTTGTCTTCGCTTACCGGCGCGGAACTTGGTCATCCATGGAGGCCGCGCCTTGCCGTATCCTTCGTGCTCTTCACCATGTACCAGGGCCCCGCCCAAAGTGCACGAAACATCTACGAGGGGTATTTGTGCGAGCTGGGGGCGCTGGTCCGACGTGCATCAGGAGGTCGTACGTTGTAAGACTGTCAAGTACGTTGGCGACCCGGTCGCAGAGTCCCCAAACCCGCGTGATGTTCATAAGCGGTTGCTGGGATCAAGCCACGAGTGTTTCTTTAATTGCTATTGACTAGCTTATTAGCTCGCTCCGGTCTGCGCTGCGCGCAGCCTAGAGAGTGGGGGCCAACGCATCCTATTGAAACACATTTACCTGGGCAGTACTTACAAACAGGTGGCATTATTACTTAAGAGCAGGTATTATTGATTGAATGTTGTTTTTGCCGGTCGGGGAGATAGGTTACGTGATAGCCGGTTCTAGTGCGCGGCTTGGGATCGAGTTAACGCGTACGGGAAGGGCCCGACTACCTGAAAGATATTTGAAGATAGCTGGCGTTATCACTTAAAAACATGTATTTTTTATAACGCTGTTCCGTAGCGGGCTAGGCGAAGCCGCTTCCTTCCAAGAAGCGGCTCTGCTGGCCCCGGGGGGGGTATCACGTGATAGTAGCCACACTGCAATCGTATAGCTATAGCAGCGTGCACGGATTAAGATAATAAATACACTTTGAATCAATCTTACCGCTAGCGACGTGGATAAAAAAATTGATAATTTGGACGGCTAAATAGATCGTTTTTTATATGATACTTCCATATAAATATGGATTGAGTGCACTTGTGACGTTCCGTATATGTGAATAGAACATAGAAGCCCTTGTTTACTATGTACGTATAACTATCTCTGGCTGAAGAGGAAAAAGAAGATCGAGCAGCACAGCCAAATCTGGTGGGCAACTAGATAAGTGTGTCCGCCCCATAATTCAAAGCCCTAGTGGGTCTGAGACAACCAGTCGTCTAGGAGGTCACGTGCTGTCACGTGATCCCATGACCATCTCCAATCGTAGCGGCGTAGCAACCATCACAGCACTTATAGGTTGTTTAGCTGCAAAGGAAAAGGTCGAGTTGGGTGGGGCGAAATTAATCCATTTGATTGGTTAGTTCCAATTGTGGCAGTATATTTGTATTAGAGAAGATTACGATTACTTGTGATATGTGGCTGGAGTAGATGGCGCACGGCGTTGTTGTGCTACACGGAGGTGGAGGGAGAATTGATCCGTGCAGCAAGCGCCAGGGGCTTGAACCCATTGTTATTTCTGATCTCCTTTCTCTTCTTAAACCTCAACCATATATGGATTGTATATTAGCACGACAACGACACGGCAGCAAAGCTATGGGAGTCATGGACACCAGGCCATCGCCATGCAGTAGCCGGGGCAGTCCGCAATTATCACTGTTACTAGGCGCTCACCACGATCGCGCGGGCTGGGACCAGGGAATGGATGACTGCGACATCAGCCGAGGAAACAAACAAATCCCCGAGCCATGGAATCTCCATCACTGTCAGGCAGGCTTATCTAGCACTCACGATGACCACCACTTATCCATCATGGCTTTCGGTGCTTATTCTCTACTCTCACTCCTGTTTTACAGATACCGGTATGCTGCTCAGCCATCAACATCCACCAGTGAAGGCGGTTGAACTTGATGGACATGTAATCTCCTGGCGTACGGCCAACAAAGGATCACTGACAAGATGGGAATCAGCTGAGCTGCCACGAAAGTATCGTCTCTCAATGCATACCGGCTTCCACGTCGAGAGAAGCGAGGGGCACTGTAAGGCTATACCTTCGCTGCCATCGACTTCTCTTCACGAGATGGGGATTGCTGTTTTCTGCAGCTGATATGCTGGTATCGATCTCGGAGGTCAATGTCGGGGCCTAGGGCCCCTACCGGTCCCAAATCAACCGTTGAAGATGAGGGAGGAGGATGAACAAGGTCCCGCCATGAAAACGAGAAATAGAGACCTTTGACCGGGTCGCTAACTTGACAGCCGGTATCCGCGTAAAACTATCAGGCCTGCCAAGGAGCTTTGGCACTTCGATAACGGCATCACTTGATTGCAAGCTGATGGGACAACACCAGAACGGCTGGCCTACATTACGTTGAACCAGGCTGGTCTTCCGCATCACGGATGTCCCATACTATTCTGTGCTTCATCAAGCTCCGCGTCCTGTAACCCATCCCTCCAGTCAAGACAGAAGCGCCCCATATATTTTCACTCCGTGGCTTCCGGTTGTGCGCCCAATGGACGCTCATATGTCTGTGTGGTAGGCGTCTTCGCAATACTTATGACGCGCGAGCCGACCTACTTACGTTGAAAGGCTGCGCCACTATGTAGGCAGGCTCTGTAGGTAAGTGCAGATGTTCAAGTGTGTTTCGCCCAATAGGGCACAGTGCCCAGTGTCACTTGCAGACAAGCTGCCACCCCTCTGACACGGCAGACCAATTATGGGGCTGATCCTCGAATATCATATGCAAGGTACACTCTCGGGTTGACACCTTCACCGAAGTCGTGAATGTCCCCCTGAGCCTTGTCACATCATTGGGGGCTGTGCAGCGAAGCAGCGAGGCCATGCTATCTTGATCATAGCCGTGGCAGAGTCTGCAAGGCAGTCCAGCGGCATGGCTTGCCAAATCTGGCCCTGCTTACGGTCATTATATAGTGAACCCCATTCTCACCTTCACTTGACACAGTCCATGCTATTCCATGCTCATCATGGTGATGTCAGGCGCCGAGAACTCAGTGGGCTGGTCCACGATCATAGCTGGCTGGACGCTGACAGCCGTTGCATTATTATCCATCCTCATCCACCTCTGGGGTCGTTTTTCGATGAAGATGCGGCACGAACTTGACGACTTTCTGCTCTATATATCATTCATCGTGGCCCTCGCCCTGATGAGTCCGACCACTTGGTCAGTTAGCACGCAAGGGCAGGGCCGGCATATATCTGATGAATTGCGTTCACAAATCAGCGAGCGGCCGAGGTTAGTGATGCCCATGATCAAGCCGATCTCTTGGGTGTATAAGCTGACCAGTGCGCAATACAGTCACTGCTCGTAAACGAGGTACTATGGGGCCTGGTCAACACTTCCATGCGGCTGGCCGCTATCTTATATCTAGCTCGCATCTTCAATACGCCTTCAGTGTGGCACTGGGTATGGTGGCTCCTATCTTCTCTGTCGATCGCCTACGGCATTGCAATTGTCGCCACTGCTTTGGCCATCTGCAAGCCTATCAGGGCAAACTAGGACACCAGCATCGCCGGTCAATGCGGCAACGAAGCACTGTCGTACCTGACACTTGAAGTGGCAGCCCTGGTCTTAGACCTCGCCATCACCGTCGCGCCGCTGCCAATCCTGTTTGGATTGCGCATCTCATTGACGAAAAAGCTTTGCATAATGTCGGTATTCGGCATTGGTAGCTTGTGAGTTAACTGACGCTATTTTCTTTCAACGTCCGAAGAAATCTTATGGGATCCAGTTCTCACCATATTTCCAGCGTCTTCATCATCACCGGCCTGCGTATCGCCGCACTGGATAAGGTCAACACCCACGACTTCACCTACGACAGGGGCTATATCGGGCTTTTGTCCATCATGGGACCACTTGTGGGAATCATCTGCGGTTGCGTGGCTCCGAATTTCGGGCACGTATGGAATTGGATGAAACAGTGGCGGAAAACCATCTCGTGGGCTTCGATGAGGGTCGTTTGGTCAATCTCGAGTCGACGGACTGGATGTCTGACGGATCCTAGGGTCTCTTGTGCGAGTTTGCCCACGTCAATTCATGACGTCCCGCGGATTGAGAGCTGTCCTTTTCAGACATCGACATCAGCTTCAAAACAGCCCGACGCCGTATACATAAAACCCGCCACTTCACTGCAACCTTCCCTCTCAGGAGTAACGGTGGTTTCTGAGGAGGCCAGGACTCACGTGTCGGCTGTGCTTCCAGAAGGAGGATGGGACGCGTATTGCTATGATAATAGGGACAGCTGCAGTGTTCGATCTTGTCCGGCAATCATGGTCCACGAGCACTCAGACGCGGGCTCGATGGGGTAGCTTCATCCCTACTATGGAACAGTCAGAGGGTCCACGACTACTTCTGCGTAATCGGTACAACATCCCAAAGCCTTGCGGTCTTCACCAACAGGCAATGTTAGCGAGAGTATACCACCAGCGTACATCCAGCTGCATCCGACTCTACCGTTCTCCTGTCCCAGGGTGCTGCAACTGAGTAAGATGGAGCCTTCTCAGTCTGACGGTGTTCCGCAGCCAAGGGGGGGGAGGTTATACCCTGCTCCGTTAGTAAACCCGGATTATGCAGCGGCATGCTGGGAGAAAGAACCCATGTTACGCAGAGAAGCTATGGTACTCTGCCTGTCATCATGGACTTTGCCTGCTCAAGAGACTCAACTTCAGTCTTCCATTACTCATTAGAGTCGGATGATTTATGTGTCTTCATACTGATAATCAGGTACAGATAAACCTCAGCATCTCCCCTTCAGCCACAACTAACTGCAGGTAAAAAGCTGGAACTGACATAGGCTCGTACCCGGCATTATGAGACATGTGAAGTAGGGGATCTGGCAGATGCCGGGCATGTGCAGGTAGATTTGACGGCTGCCGGCGGGTGCAGCAGTGGAGATGAAGTGCGCGCAGTCACTAAATATATAAATTTAGCAGCCGGAGAGCGCGCTAGATCGGCCCAGCCAGCCTGCCAGCCCCCTGAATCGACGGGACCAAATTTGGAGATTTGGAGGGTCACTCCCGAACCCCAAACCCCAATGAGGTAAGAAGCTTCGTGTGTCTCATCGAGGCTCTCCAAAGTCATCTTCTCGCCTAAGGTACGCAGCCTACGTTATTCATCCTCGTGAATGGCTAAACGATGACGGAACGTGTCACAAACTCCATCCGACGCCGAGCCCGATCGGATTGAACAGCCGAATGAGCGAACGAACGCAGTCCGATCAATTGTACAACCGACGAAACAGACGAATGCCGCCGCCGCCCTGAAAAGGACAGGCTCCTCCTCTCTCCTCCTCCCTCCTTCTCCCTCAGGCCTCCGCCCTCCAATGCCGCGCCTCCCAGCGATCTTCCGACTGCCCTCGAAGCTCCGCCGCCGGGCGCGACGCCGCAGGATGACGACGCTGCTCACGCTGCTGGCCATCCTGCTGCTGGTCGCCGTGCCCTTCTACGTCATCTACAAGCCGCCGCGGGCCCTGATCGGTTATTTCTCGCGCCGCTGGCCCGACGTGCTGTGGGAGGTGCAGACGGACCGCAAAGTGGTGGCGCTGACCATCGACGACGCGCCATCGGAGCACACCGAGGAGATCCTGGGCGTGCTGAACGGCTACGAGGCGACGGCGACCTTCTTCGTCATCGGCGGCCAGGTCGCGGGGCGCGAGGAGATGCTGGCCGACATCGTGCGCAGCGGCAGCGAGCTGGGCAATCACGCCATGCACGACGAGCCGTCGCGCGCCCTGTCCGACGACGAGCTGACCCTGCAGATCGACAAGGTCCGCGACAAGATCCGCAAGGCCTACGAGACAGGCGAGCGCGCCATGCCGCCGCAGTACTTCCGCCCCGGCTCGGGCTTCTTCAGCGACCGCATGCGCAGGCTCGCCGACAAGCTGGGCTACCGCCTAGTGCTGGGCAGCATCTACCCGCACGACCCGCAGATCAACTGGCCGTGGATCAACGCCAGGCATGTACTGAGCATGGTCCGGCCCGGCGGTATTATAATATGTCACGACCGGAGGGGCTGGACCGCCCCGATGCTGCGGACGGTCCTGAAGCAACTGAAGAAGGATGGATATCGGGTCGTCAGTCTGACGGAACTGCTGAAGGAGACGCAACAATGAGCTGGATGCCCATGTTGGAACTATCACCTCATCGCGAATCCAAACATAGCCTTGGCCCTATGGATGGCCATGGCTCTCCGGTGTAACCTACCCATAAGGGTAACGCGCCACGATGCGTACACTAGGTGTGCTTACCTCCGAAAAATCCGACGATACTCTTCACGCCTGTATGCGGATGGGACGACAGATCACACACCGAACGGACGGAAGAGTCGCGAACTACATATATATAACACCGTACATACAACTCCGACGACGATACGGCATCTTGGTCTGCTGTGCTGGTTGATAGAGACCGCACAGGCTTGGAAGGAGACATATTCGACTGGATCTACGATCTTAGAACTCAGATACACAATATCTACCTTATACACAGTTAATCAATAATATATTGTGCCTTGGTCGAAGCTACAGTGACATTTTTTTCGGATCCCAGGCGCTTTGTATGCGCACGCCGTCTTGGTGGTACTGTACCTTCATAGTACTCCGGAAATACATGAGCGAGAGAGCACAGAGGCAGAGTACCACACAGGCAGCCCTTGGATATGGCGCCCGGAGGGTGAGGGATGCATGACCGCAGCTCACATGACATGGCTTGAAGCCGCGAACGCCGGAAGTCATGGTAAGCCGGAAGGCGAGGGCTTACGAGTTACTTCACGCCGCTGACATATTTCCGCCAAAATTGACAGCGGCAACAGCGGTGATGGTCATGTTGGGTCCCTGGGTCTGGACGACTGAGCAGACAAATACCTTCAAACCTTACAAACCTGGGTCTCCTGGTGATCCCACCCTGTCTTGCATCCGTTTAAAGCCTGAAGGAACTTATTAGACAGCCTCCCACCTTGCTCGATCCCGAGGCAACAGACGCATTCGCCTAGCTTGCATCTGTCTGTCATCAGATGCTGTACCCGGCTCACTTACATGCAGAGACCCGAGACGTAGGGGTCTTCTTGTGCTACATACCCGCGTGTCCATTTATACTTCGGCTTGATGCATGTGTACACCTCGGAGCTTACTATGTAGTTGTCAGCTTTGAAGTGAATGACTAGTGGTTTGTCTGACTGGATGCGTGTAAATCTAGACCTACTCAGAGGACAAGGCATGCCTACTGAAACGGGCTGGTCTCAGTTTGTCCTGGCCTGTACCTACGTGTAACTCAGTCACGTCTTTGACTCAACAGCACGGCCCTCTATATCCGGTTGGATTGCCGGGGTTTCGGCTTTCGGGCGGGATATCGCATCTCACAACCGGGCTCGCCGGGAGCTCGAGTCATCTTCCTCAAGTACCTAGTCGATACTCTCCAAAGACGATTGGAGATTGGTCTGCATGTGTGCTTCGTAGTAGATATGATGTGTCTACGTCAAAGACGAGAAGGGACTTCCCACGCTGGAACTCGCACCCGGCCTCCGGACGGACATCGCAGGCGAAGGGTCCGTCGCACAGCATGGAAGGGTGAACCTTACACCTGGCACCTGACATCTGACACCTTCGCACCTCAGCACCCAATGCGAAGACTCCATTCATTGCCTCATGTGACGTACCTCGTTCTCGTTCCACATCGACAACCACGTACTGCTTATTATGCTTACAATGACAGTTTAGCTCGTAAGAAAAAGCATGACATGCCGTCAGCGACATTCCGCCCACCCGTCAGTCGTCACAAATTCCCCAAACATCAGAGCGTGCGGAAACCCCCGACACGTGCACGACGTAGAGTGAAGTATCGCACGTCCATTTCCCAGCCCTTCTTTATGTATGAGCAGCCCGCCCTCCTCTCATCCGTCATAAGTCGCCTGTTGCCCGTCACCACAAACAAGACCGACCCACGGACTGACAGCACGGGATTTCAGGATCGCGGACTAGAAATATAGGCTCTGTTTCGAAACGCAAAAGCAGAGCAAAGTGGTGATACCCACAACTCTAAATCGATGTCATTCCCACCTACCTCCTTACCGGTACTGCAAAGAAGCTTTACCGCTCGAGCGTTTGGATTCCACGCCGGCTGTAAGAGCTTAATAACCCACCACCTACCTAAATGCCTCGTGCTGGTGGGGTGGGTGGTGGTGGTGATGACAGAGAGTTGATCTGGTAGCTGATCGAAATGCAGACATATATAAACATGTTCGATCGATCGATCTGCGGCGGTTACATCTCTTGAACAGGGAGAGTGGACGATCTCGGTGCATAACTATAGGCTATAGCGTAGGTGCAATCACGGTAATCGAACTCAGATGTGAGGCTCTGGACGGCATGCGTATACTGAGCTACACCACATGCACCATCAGCGTATGCAACTACCTGCCTAGAGGTAGGTAGGCAGGTAGGTACCTAATAAGTGATAAGGCCTCAATATACCACAACGTGGCAAACCCGTACACACTTCTTACCTCCCGCGGCCAGGTCAGTACATAGGAAATGACATGTTACCAGGGGAGCGGCACAGGAGGCCGGTTCGAGGACCCTGGTGTTTGATGTACATTACCCGGTGTGGGGATGAGCCTGATCGCGGCCTGGAACGTGGCTTGGAAGTCGACAAATTTCCCGACAGACATGGTCCCGGTAGTTGGCTCGCCCTTGTCGATACCGCGGCTTACAATATCATAATGCAAGATCACGAATAGGCTGTGGTGGAAGTCAAATGTAACTTGTCAGCAAAGTCTTTATTCATGTGTCTCCGTGCGCGCGTCTGGCTCTCAGACTCATGTGCAGGCCGTGCGTCGCCACCATGAACGTGCGCGACCATCGACGAGCGTCCTGGTTTCGCTGCAACTAGGTAGGTAGCTAATCTAGCCATAGCCTCGTCTGTACCGTATGCACAGAGTCGTACACTAGAGCGTCTAACATCCTTCTCCTCCAACAACCTCCCAAACTTGACAGAAGAAAGAGCCTCAGTGTGGGCGTGGGCAGGTTGTCCTGGTATTCCATCCTCGAACGCCTGGGAATAACCCGTCTTGACCCTGTAGCCGTAAATGCAGTAACTCGACCAAAAACTCCCCCTTCCAGCCCAGCTCATTGCTTTGTGCGTAGACTCGAGTATCGTCGTAGTCATCGTCGTCCAAGTATGTACACTGAAATGATCGTAGGATATGTCGACCCAAAAAAATCAAGTAACCTGATTTCGTGATGCTGGTGACCTGATTGTCTTCCTAAATCCATACCGCCTGCAGCTCAACCGGTTCCGGCGTGAGGAAAGTTGACAGTAGGCCCTTAATCTCTGTCAGGTAGTCCTCGGCTCGGAATTGGTAAAGACCCTTTGCGAGGAGCTGCTGCTCTTCCTCGTCGATAGCCTGGAACTTGTCCTTCACACCCAGTTCCTCTGCGAGTTCGGATACCTGCGCCAGCTCATGGCCGAAAGGGTGCTGCATCTCAAGTTGCTCAGCAGGACGGCGGAAACTGGGACGACTCGCGAGTGGTGATGTGGCGCTAGGACCGGAGGGACTGGAAGCCATCGACAGCTTCTGGGAGCGAGATCCTGACGAGACCGAGGTAGCTGTTGTCGAGGTAGACGAGGAGCGCGACAGCGAATAACTTGCCTTGGTCGAGACTGTCTGGCTCGACTGGTTAGACAGACGCGCATATCTGTTGGCCATGTTGTCGAGAGATGCCTTCTTCGTATGCGACGGTGCTCGTCTGGGAACGCTCGGCGCGTCGTTGGGTCTCGGCGGAGACTGCTGACCAGGGGCCATAAAGTAGCATGATAGGTGGTTAGGTTCCGGGGACACAGATCGGTCATTTGCCGACGGCATATCTGGACTTGTGGGCGGGGACGAATCGCTGGATCGGGGGCTACCAAGAGAGTCGTTGTCGGACTTGGTAGAGGAAGTTGGCGAGTACTCGGCATGAGGAAACAGATCGGGTGCGTTGTATGCTAGCACGTTTGTCGTATGGGTAAGTTCCATCGGGCCCGAAATCATATGGCGAATAGAGCTTGAGCGTGCAAGGCCCTTGGCCGAGCCCTTGGCCGAGGTGTTGCTTCGTTGCGGTATGGAGCGCATGTCTGTCGGGGGCTGCTTCGCTCGCCGCGTGGTTAAAGCGCGTGCGAGAGACATGACGCCTGAAGGAATGAATCGACTTTGCTCGACTAAATGCGATTCTCAAAGACAGATATTGAAATACACCAGTAGGCAAACCGGAGATGTTCCCAAAGAAGCGGAAGTGAATGCCGAAACCAGACTTCAGCAGCAGGGAATAGCTCAAGGGTTGACTTGGCTATCGACCCGACTTATCAAGGTGGCGGTCCTCGATAATACCTTGACGCAGGTGGTTGGAAGCCCGTCAGGCGCCAAACTTAAGACGACGGGCAGGTGAGGTGCAAGTCGCTGCAGGTCGAACACCCAAAAGTGGTGGCTGCGACTGGTGGTTGGCAAGCGCCGGACAACGTGACAAACCCGGAGTGTGAAGATGGGACAGCAGGCCAACTGAGGGTGACAGCAGTACGCAGCAGTACGCGGCACTCGCTAATGAGAGGGCGACTGAGGGTGCACACGATGTTACCCTATTTGGGAAGGTGGATGCTTTTTGGAAGCCGATGTCCACGGGTCAGAGTGTAGGTGTGAGGTGGCGGTACAGTAACGTAGTACTTGGTGTCTTGCTTCGAAGCAGAGTCGCGATGCCGCACCTACTTACTACTGCAATGCCGTTTGAGCTGCAGGAATGGGCGTAGTAAAGTGTGTTGACACCAGTTCCGGTGGATAAAGGGCGAGCAGAACTTGTTGGTTTCTCACACGCCAGGTCCAGGTCCAACTCCAGTGGAATGTGTGTTGGTGGACGGGACAACGCAAGTTAGTCGCTTGAACTTGCCTCTCGTCCGATTACCGGTAGATGGTCGGTGAATGGCAAACACAATGACCGATTGTCGCTGACAATAAGAAGACGTGTGAATCAGTCATTCAACACAGGCGTCGTCCCACGGTGGTATTGTCTGATCTTGGGAGCCTTGAAGTAATGGGCAGATAGATGCACGAGAATTGAGAATTGAAACAGTGAAACAACCAGGTTCCTGTTTGAGCCCAATGATGGTGGTGGTGGTAAAGATTAATGGAAGGACTGTGTGTTCGATGTCGGGGACTACCTCAATGATGCTCAGATCTTCGAAGCCGGCGAAGTGGGCGTGTATCGAGGATGTAAGGTGAATGTCAACCTTAAGACACCAATGGGTATAGAGAGAGTGAATCGGAAGGAGCGAATCCCAGCTGAGCCTGGCGGGAACGGAATCGACTAGAAAGCGAAGTAGGAGTAAAAAAGGTGGAAGTGAAATCGAGCAGGTGCAAGCACTCTGGAGGTGGAGGGAAGAGGGAAACGGGAAAGACGCGATGATAAGAACAAAACGGCCGGGGTTGGAGTCCTGCAGGCTTCTGGGCTGTCTGGGTGCAGGCGAGGGAAGGGAGCGATTCCTCTTTGTAGATATGCGGACAGGGGGAAGGGGATATTGGCGAGGGGAATGACCAGCACTAACAGCTTGACCTAGGTAAGGTAAGCACCACGATCAGTTGCAGGTACCTACTGATCATGACTCGATGGCGCCACATTGCCAGCGTGTTCTCGACGGTTGCTTTGTATATGATACATCTCCATGGCGTTACTTTTTGCTCAGCGATGTGCCCCCTCGTTGCACTTTCCGTCTCCACAATATCTTGCCTCACTATTTTAGCACCCATCTATCGTTCGCCAGGGACGGACAAGCAGTGGAGATCGGCCCTGATGCACTGAACCCCTGCTTCCAGCCTGTATGAAATTTTGCGCGCTTTCAATGAACGGGATTAGTGTGCAGTCCGACCCTTGACAGCGGATGCTGGGCATACACTTGCGCTGTCGAATCAGCGTCTAGAGCTATCCTCCGACCTGCAGCTTGCATCCTGTCGCACCCAATCAGCCAGCTTTTCTCTTTGAGTCTTTTCTTCTTCCACCCGCTCGCCTCGCTGCTGCAGTCAGGGAGACCACCAGTCCGCACCACGTTGCCATAAATGCAGGTACAACAGCTAATCACCTGCAGCCAGTCAGTCGGCCAGTTCGGCGGCCTGGTCACTGGTCAACCCCAGAGGCGGAATTCCATGTGTCCCCAATCGCATCATCCATCGTGGCATCGTCGAAAAAGCACAGTGATCAATCACAATCCTCGATCCTGCAGGTTCATAAGGTTACTGTACGTGGCCATCCTACGAGCCCATCATATCACCCACAGTCATGCAACATGTCATCCTCCTCCCCATTTTGTCCAGCCAGCAAGACAGAAAGAAAGTCAGCGCGGACTTGATTTTCCGGGAAAGTAGTTCGACTGCTTGCAGAGCAACATCGATGCCCAGAAACCAACAAGCGAATCATTGCAGTGCCGACGGTCAATGCGACTCGGTCCACTCCACTGATCAGGACATGGATGCTAATCGATTCACGCGAAAGACTGAAAGACCCCTCCCTCTCAATCATCCCCGTCCATCCCCTACCGAGGAGTTTGCTTCTCTTCGCGCTTAAAAAGCAGAGCCGGGCGGCGGGCCTCCCTGTTCGGGAATAGCCCGCCTGCCGCCCACAGGGGTCCTGTATCCGAAACTGACGACGCCCTGCGGGAGGCATCGTGATTGGGCACATGTTCCGATCCTCGATTGGCCATGGCTTCTCCAGTGTTTCGCGTTTTCCTCTGTTGGTCGAGTCTGGACTCTGGACCCGAGCAGCGCCAGTCCTCCTGAAGCAGCACCGGGGGAACTTATTCGGGGCCGTGGCGGTGCATTGAGCACGATTCGTACATACTGCGGTAGAGGTCGACGACCTTCTTTGCGCGCGCAAAGAGTGGGGTGATGAGTGACTATGCTCAGCCTGCGAGGGAGCGTCAACCATCCCCTATCAAGGTTACCAACAGTTTGACCGAGGCCTTAAGGATCGCGCCCTTGGGATCCATACGTTATCCACCACAGCGTTTATGCTCATAACTATTATGCTCCTGCAGGACTAACATTAGTATGTGCAGACGTACGACTCGTGAACGGGCCCGATCATCGATGAGCCTCTTCAAATGCGCAGTCGTTTCCGATAGGGGACCATTGACGTAGGCACGTTTGGTGCCCATGTTCCGCATGACGGCCAGAGTCTCCCTTCATGAACCGGCCAAGGGATGCCTGTCTTAAAAGTTACAACTGCCATATTGCATTTGATACCTGATACTTGATTCAGGGCAAGACATACGCAATCGTTATTTCCATGAGGATGTGGTGTGGAAGAGAGTCGCTAGCATGACAGCTCAAATAGCCTCGATGCGCGTTCACCACGTTGATCGAAGGTGGATCCCGTCACATAGCGACCCAGATCTCTGCCGACTGATCAAAACCACTTGGCCCAACGACATTCTCCCTGACCCCCCACTCTGTGATTATGCTTGGACGGTGAGTCGTGAGGCTCAGTCGAATTGTCGTGCGGCACAAATAACGAGTTACGCGCCACTGTTTAACCGAATTGTTCTGAATTGGCAAAAGTGCCCTCGAAGGTCGGCAGGATCAAACCGTTAGATCATTAAAATGCATCAGGTAAAATCACGAGGGTATCAGCCTCAAGTTCTATGTTACCCAACATAATGAACGCCCTTAATCCTCATCCATCGAGTCGCCACCCTCTTCCTCCTGGCCTTCATCTTCATCTGAGGAAGACTCGATGTCCTGAACGCGGATGAGTCGCTCCTCAACCTTGTCACTGGGTTGGTTTGCCATTTTGTGCGCAAACGCCTGCCGAACCGCACCATTTGTGCTCGTATCCCACACTTGCATTGTGCCTTTGCTGCCAGCCACCGCAAGGCGGAAGGCGACTTCGGCATCCGGGCCAAACGTCGCTGAGAAAACCTTCCCGACATCCAAGTTCCGCGACACTACCATGGCAGGTCCTGTAGGCGTTATATTCCAAAGCTTGACGGTCTTGTCGCTCGAACCGGTAGCCATGTATCCAGGAATGTGGGCGTTGATATCAAAAGACGACACGGACTCATCGTGCGCCTGCAATGTCCATACTGCCTTGGTTTTAGTCGGGTGCGAAGGGGCGTTGCGAATATCGTTGTAGTGTATTATCCCATTCTCTGTCGAAACAAAGAAGAAGTTTGGGTCGTGCGGATCCCATCTGACATTCTCGACGTCGCTCTCCACACCCCATCTCGGAGCCTTGACTTCGGGCGCTCGCATATCAGCCGCAACAACCGTTCGATCGTAGCTTCCACTCAGCAGTACCGTCGATTCGACCGCATGCCACGCTAACGAGCAGACCTTGTCCGTATGGTAGGAGTATGACTTGGCGCATTTGGTCGTATGCAGGTCCCACAGCTTGACAGTCTTGTCGGCGGACGCAGAGGCCAGGAGGTTTCGATGTTTCCGGTTGGCAGCGAGGGACAGAACGGCATCAACGTGATACTCATCGTTCGCTTTCTTGGACTTCTTCTTCTTCTTCTTTTTCTTCTTTTCCTCGTCCTGTGGATTACCGCCCTGTCCCAGGATCGCATTTGGATACATGCAATCCACAGTATCCAGGTCCCATACCTCGATGTCGGGCTCCATCGTGCCTATCGCGACGAAGTTGGCTGTCGAGTCCTTGTCCACGCCCGCTTTTGACACTGGCAGATCCAACCACTCCACGCAAAGAGGTATCCCAGGAAGCATAATGTCGTGATGTACGTAGAGATTGTCTGCCTCGTCCTCGTAGACGTAGACTTCAAGATGGGAGAGCTCGTCCTCCACCTTTGCGGCTAGTAGGAGATTGTCGGTCGCCAAGATTTGAAGTTCTTCCCGGTCCTCATTGTCCTCGTCCTCTTCGTCGGGTATCGTAATGTAAGGATCGTCTTTATTGGATTCGTAGTAGGTAAGGGACTTGATATTTCCAAAACCCTCAAATCTTTGGCCTTGTACCTCCTCGTCGCCATCGTCGTCATAGTGTTCCAAGTCGTACTCCTTGAGATCATCATCGTTCACATCAATGCTGCGAACACTTTAGTCCCACGTCAATCAGGAATCGAAGGGCGAGACCTACTCGTCCCCATCTTCCTTTTCCTTGCGCTTTGGAGCAACGCCATTTTGCGCGCCATCGACCGCAGCGCTCTGTGCTTCGTCTGCCTCAGCTTCGGCTTCGGCTTCCTCCAAGTCTTCATTCGCGTCGTCCAGCTGTAGCTTGGCCAGGCCAGCTATCCGCTCGAACTCGGATTCGTCGAAAGTGTATCTGGACGGGAAAGGCGCCGCAAAACCGCGCGGCACCCAAGCGGAGGTGGTGATCATCGAGGAAGCCATTTTCAGGCGCGTGCGATCTGTCAGCTTCCTCACTTGAATGGCACAAAAGGGTAGAAGTGTAGGTGCAGTACGATGATTTTACATGATCTGCCCCGCCAACGTTTTTCAACCTTCACAGATATCGCTAATAAATTTAAGCGGGGCCATCTTATCGATAAAAGGTCGGGTTCCAAAACAACATCCCGGGCCTGTTTTCTTAACCGGTCCTCTCTTGTACCTAGTCGTAATCAGCAGAACTCGTCCCATCCTGTCGCCGCTCTATTCACTTCAAGAAAGTGACAACTCGCAATGGATCGAGAAAACGGGAATTTTAGCCCCAAGAGGCGCAAGTTGGAGTTCAATCCTCTCCGCTCCGACGACCGTTACTCGTCTCTTCCGAATCGCAACAGCGCCTCGTCCCGCTCACATAGCCGCTTTCCCAATGCCTCTAAGTCGCGAGCCTCCACCCCACGGGGACAGTCGAGTTACGCCGCAACTCCCAGACAGCAGGAATTCGATGGGCCGGAGCCTCTCGTCAACGAAGAAGATCAAAATGCCCTCGATCGCGACTGGTATGGTGGCGACGAGTCGGGCGGGCACACATTCGGCGATGATTCGCACAACCCCTTTGGCTCCTACGACACGTCGTGGGTCGAGAAGCAGCAACGAGAGGCTGACATGGTAGAGAAGAAGGCCGGGAGACACATGAACGCGCGCCAACTGCAGAGGCAAAAGGATAACGATGCGTGGGAGACCAACCGTATGCTCACATCGGGTGTGGCGCAACGGCGAGGGATGGGAGACGACTTCGATGAAGACAACGAAGGGACGCGGGTCCATCTACTGGTTCACGATCTCAAGCCACCATTCTTAGACGGCAAGACCGTCTTCACAAAACAGTTGGAGCCTGTGCCGGCCGTTCGAGATTACCAGAGTGATATGGCTGTGTTTAGCCGAAAGGGTAGTCGTGTGGTGAAAGAGAGGAGACAGCAAAGAGAACGGCAACGGCAAGCACAGCAGGCAACAAATATGGCAGGTACTGCGCTAGGAAACCTGATGGGTGTCAAGGAAGACGAAGGTGATAGCGCTTTACCCATTGCTACGGAGGACGAGGCCAAACCGGTCGGCAACAAGTTTAGCGAGCATATGAAAAAGAGCGACGGAGCGAGCAACTTCAGCCAAAGCAAGACATTGAAGGAGCAGAGAGAGTTTCTACCTGCGTTCGCAGTGCGCGAAGATTTACTCAGGGTAATCAGGGATAACCAGGTAGTCATCTGTGTTGGTGAGACGGGATCCGGAAAGACGACACAACTCACGCAATTTCTCTACGAAGATGGATATGGAAAACTTGGAATGATTGGATGCACGCAGCCTCGTCGTGTCGCAGCCATGAGTGTAGCGAAACGTGTGGCAGAAGAGATGGAGGTCAAGCTGGGCAGCACGGTTGGATATGCTATTCGATTCGAAGACTGCACCAGCAAAGACACCGTCATCAAGTATATGACTGATGGCGTCCTACTTCGCGAATCTCTCAATGAGAAAGACCTGGACCGGTACTCATGCGTAATCATGGACGAAGCGCACGAGCGGGCACTCAATACTGACGTTCTGATGGGATTATTCAACAAGATTTTGCAACGGCGCAGAGATCTTAAGCTGATTGTTACATCGGCCACAATGAACTCGAAGAGGTTTTCAGATTTCTTCGGCGGAGCACCAGAATTCTTTATTCCTGGCAGAACCTTCCCTGTCGACACCATGTTCCATCGATCGCCAGTTGAGGACTATGTGGACCAGGCAGTTCAGCAAGTTCTGGCAATACACGTGTCCATGGGACCTGGGGATATCCTGGTGTTTATGACTGGTCAGGAAGATATCGAGTGTACCTGCGAGCTGGTAAAGGAACGATTGGATGCGCTCAATGACCCGCCGAAACTCAGCATTTTGCCAATATACAGTCAGATGCCTGCCGATCTACAGGCCAAGATCTTCGACAGGGCGGCACCTGGAGTGCGGAAGTGTATCGTGGCCACGAACATTGCGGAAACAAGTCTGACAGTGGACGGCATCATGTATGTGGTGGATGCCGGGTACTCGAAACTCAAGGTGTACAACCCGCGAATGGGTATGGACACGCTTCAGATTACACCCATTTCTCAAGCCAACGCAGGGCAAAGAGCTGGTCGAGCAGGTCGAACGGGACCCGGCAAGGCCTTCCGGCTGTTCACCGAAAAGGCGTACAAGGACGAGCTGTACATACAGACGATTCCTGAGATTCAAAGGACGAATCTGAGCAACACTGTGCTCCTCCTCAAATCTCTAGGCGTCCGAGACCTGCTCGACTTCGACTTTATGGATCCACCTCCGCAAGACACCATCATAACATCGCTGTTCGACTTGTGGGCTTTGGGCGCCCTGGACAATCTGGGAGAGCTCACGAACATGGGTTCGAAGATGAATGCTTTCCCCATGGACCCGTCCTTGGCGAAGCTTTTAATTATGTCCGTAGAGTATGGCTGCAGCGAAGAGATGGTAACTATAGTCTCTATGCTGTCGGTTCCCAATGTGTTCTACCGGCCCAGAGAACGTCAAGAAGAGTCGGATGCCGCACGGGAAAAGTTCTTCGTCCCTGAATCTGACCATTTGACCTACCTGCACGTCTACTCGCAGTGGAAGTTCAACGGCCATTCAGACGGATGGTGCACACGCCACTTCTTGCACCCCAAATCCCTACGCAGAGCAAGGGAAATCAGGGACCAACTGCTTGATATCATGAAGATGCAGAAAATGGAGATGATCAGCTGCGGTACTGATTGGGACATCATCCGCAAATGCATTTGCTCCGGTTACTACCATCAAGCAGCCAAGGTCAAGGGCATTGGGGAGTATATCAATCTGCGCACCTCGGTCACAGTGCAGCTCCATCCCACAAGCGCCCTCTACGGTCTAGGGTTTCTGCCCGACTATGTCATCTATCACGAGCTGATTCTCACGTCGAAAGAATACATGTCAACCGTGACGTCTGTAGACCCTCACTGGCTTGCGGAGCTGGGAGGTGTGTTTTATTCAGTGAAGGAGAAGGGGTATTCGGCTCGAGAGAAGCGGATCACCGAGACGGAATTCAATCGAAAGATGGAGATCGAGACACAGATGGCGGAGGACAAACGGAGGCACGAAGAGCAGCAGAAGATGGATGAGGAGAAGACGGTCAAGAAGCCGGCAGCAGAGAAGGGAATGAAGATCATCACATCTGGTGCAGTGAAGAAGCCAGTCATGAAGAGAAAAGGGAGAGGCTTCTAATGCATATTTTATTGCGTTTCTAAGAAGAGGCCTGTCTTGGACACCATACAGCTCGCTGCCTTAGGTACTATTGCACCTCGAAGTTCGCAGGTTTATCCATCGAAGCGGCTTTTCTTGACGATCTCGACCAGTCACCGCGATCGATCACCGGACCTCGAACCGAGACTCGCCATCCTTGACATCACGGGCTTCTTGATCCAGCTTCATGACCTTGGCAGCTGATGGCCCTTGGTTGATCGCTTTCAGGAATTCCTTCATCGCGCTGTCCTCTCCTTGGGCCTCGCCCTCGACCTGGTCTCGTGTAAGTCAACCGCATCACATAGGTAGTGGGGCCCCAAGCTAGGTACACGCCGCACAGGGCTAGAGACCGGGCTCTGTAGCTGGAAAGGTTACAAACCTTTTCATTATCGGTGTTTCGACACCATCCCGTGATGCTGTGTTCCGCGGCCTTCTTCTGCGTGAAGTAGCGGAAGCTCACACCTGCGTGACGTCAGCCTATCCTGCCGGCTTTCATACCCTAGGTATGTACGGGCAGCGGGGGGCAGACCTTGGACTTGGCCGTGGACGAGGAAGTAGATCTAGGGCTTGTTAGTACCCTTATGGCATTGAATACTTATCCATGTAGACATACTCTCTGTGCCATTGTGACTGGTTTGTAGTGTCTTCTCGTTCTCTGTTTGGGTTCTGCGGTGATAGACCTCTCCGGAGCTATGAGCTGAAGAGGCGTGTAAGTGAGGTCCCCAGGCCATCTGGGGTAGAGCTTTATCGGTGCGGGTTGAGGCTGATAAGCGGGGTATCTTCGGAGGCTTGAATATATGGGTCACAGTGACACCGCAGGGCCTCCGAGGCTCCGTCACCGCGATGGAGAGCCAGCTGGAGCCTACGTTCCCATTGGGCTATTTCTAGACCCTACATGTTTGCAGAGTCTCATTCTTCCCTATTCTACTCATATCTGACACTAGGCGCCTCCTTTCGCCAACTTGTGCGTCGATACACGGATACACGGATACAAAGCGACCGATACGATGGAGTCTCCGGCACCAGAGACCACTGCGGTGCCCCCAATCGTCTTCCGAGGCAAGAAACGGAAGTTCTACAGACAACGCGCCGAAGCCGAGGACAACAGATTGCAAGCGGTCGCACCGTCAGAGCAGGAGACAGCGACACCCCAAACGCAAGGGAGCCCGACCCCAGACACGGTTCCGGCCTCAGGTGATGGCGCAGCCGAGGAGGGGCTTTCGGTCGCCGAAGCCCTTCGCCTGCGAAACGCGCGAAAGTCGAAACTGCGAGGCGTCAAGTTCAGCGCCGACAATGCACGCGGCGATGTGTCGGGGGGCGGTTTCGACGATGACGACGAGTTGAGTCGCATGATACGCGAGGAGCAGAGCCGGGCTCTCGAGCTGTCCTCATCAGGGGTGAACAAGCGGTTTGCAGCGCAGACGGGAATGGTCGGCGAGCTGGTGAACAAGCATATGTGAGTGCACCCCTTTTGCGATCCAGATTCACGGCCCGATGCAGCTGCTGATGGAGCAAGGGAGGAATATATAGAAGCCGAACTAGCCAAGCGACACTCCTCAGCCACCGCATCTTCAAGTCAGGCTGCCGTCGGGTCATCTAGTAGCAGCAACAGTCAAGCGAACAACACGACGAGGACAACTACCGAGCCCACGGGCGTGAAGAAACCGGACAGACATATCGCGCTGCAGGGCAAGCTGATGGAGATCGACCTCGGTGACGAGGCGCGCAGCCGCAACGAGGCCATGACGGAGCGCGCGCGCCGGAAACTGCAGGGCGAGGCCATCGAGGACGAGGAGCAGCAGGTTGCGCGGCCGAAGAAGGTCAGGCTCGGGCGCGACGGCAAGCCCTGGCGGTCGCGGAATCGGCGCAACAGCGACGCTATCAAACGGGACCAGTTGGTCGAGGAGATATTGCGCGAGAACAGACGTAAGACTAACACCCTTCTCCTCCCAACTAACTTATGCGAAAATGGCATGTACTGATACGTCAGTAGTGGACGTCTACGAAATACCGACGCCGCCCTGTGCCGTCACCGCTGGCCCAGACGAGGAAGACGGCGCGGCGGACGACCGTATCGCGGAGGAGTTCCGCCGCGAGTTCATGGACGCCATGGCCCAGCGGCAGCAGAAGAAGAAGGCCCCCGCGCCGCCGGCCAAGCCCGGCGCCAAGAAGGACGAGGAGGTCCTGAAGGGGCCGAAGCTCGGTGGCAGTCGCAATATGAGGGCTGCTATGAGGGATCTGCTGCTCAAGAAGGAGAGGGAGAGCAAGAAGTAACGCTACTTACTACTCAATGGGTGCCACGAATACGAAAGCCGGGATCCGGCAATGGGTCACGGTGCTGGGAACGAGACACGATAACTCTGCATGGATGTTATGGATTATTATAGGATACGAATACAATGCCACTCGAGCTTGGCAGGGTTCAACCAACACCACACCCATCGTGGGAAACAGACATCACGAGTGAAATGCTGATAATACACCGTACGGCAATTTTTAAGTACATGCGAGTGTGGTTAAGCCTAAGCGCACACCCCTAGCGACCAAGCACCGTTATTCACATAAAACAGACCCGCGCAAAGATGACGGTGCTGAGCTCACCGCAGGGACTGTGAGCGCAGACAGACTATGTTACGCCCAAGAGACCATAAATAGAGCTTTTGATCCAATGCTTGGTTCGACAGGTCTTCACACGCACAGCGAGTTAGACTTGGTCAAAATTCTTGGCGACTGCTGGTCAATGTAACCCGAACATCAGTTGCGTTTGCAGAAGTGTTTGGGGAAAAGGGAGCGGAGGCTCCCCTGAACATAGGCACGTCCAAGTCCATCTGAGTAGGGGTGCGCTGATTCAACAGCCATGGGGACAGCACAGCCCTTTTGGACATTTGGTGGTAAGCTGGAACGTATAGAGAGCTTTTCGAGGCAGTTCCCATGAAAATAGACAAATAATAGGGGTCTGGTTTAGTTTGGTTGTGATGTCGCAATCCAGTCGCATTTGTCTATTTAACGCATGCCGTCCAGCCATATCCACATGCTCCATCCATCTAGACTCAAGACTACGAGTCAAGGCAAGGTGGTAGTCTAGCCCTTCATGGTGCCCGGTGCCTTTGTCCTCTCGCGTTTCTAGGGACGCGAGAGGACAGTAAGGAGACCACCCATATTTGGCCGATGTCCTTCGCAACAAATTCCTCCCATCCTGACGCACAACTGCTGAAATCTTGGGGAAATGGCCGCCTAATCCAAACACAAATATGCCGTATCAGGAGTCAGAAACAAAATACACCAGTTCATTCATGCAGCAACTGCAAACAAAATCGCAGTGACGTTTCCAGCATACGTGCAATCATGAGAAATCCATCAGATCAGACGCCTCCGTCCTCCCCTTTTCAACTCCTTTATCAAGAATGAGATCTTCATTGCGTCCTCTGACAAGAACCAGAGATCGAGGTCTAGCATGAATTGCCCCCAGCGAGAATATATCCTATCCAGGGAGAGTATAGAAGCGAATCATCGAGGTGGACAGGGGTTTGGTCCAAAGATCGATGTGGGGACGATACACCAGATGCGACACGCCCTCTATTCCATCCGAAGTACGCCAGATCACATGACCCATATGGGTTTCCGCAATAGGTGTATTTGCGGAGAGGCGAGATTCGCCTCTGGCCTCGGCAGAGGTGATTCTAGACTTCTGAGGTCCTCAGAAGGCAAAACTCGGGATGCCTCGCATAAGAGCTCTTAACCGATAGCAAGCGGCCAGGCACTTAAATGGCCCTTGCGATGATAAGTTTGCCGACAGATGCCAGAGAGGGTGATATCTTTACCGGGGGTGCTGCTGTGAGCTGTGGTCGTCCTTCCGTATCCGCATGATGGCTGGATCAACTAAGATTCTGGGTTCCCTTCCAGAAATCGTTGTTGGCCCTCTTGGCATCCATAATCCTCATCGGATGTCCAGTTGGAAGGGCTTGAATCTGCCACCGACAGTAGCGCAGCGAGGGCACTTCCTGCGCGCGCCTTGCTCCTCCATCAAGATATTGACGCAGTCTCCACAGAGCCCACAGATGCACTCGGTGCATGCGTATGACTCTCGGAGCTTCGAGGTCCTCTGACATGCGGCACAGTAAATGTGGACATCCTGAGATGAGTAGGTCGGTGAGGAATCGGATAGTCCTGCGGCCCCAATATGAAAGTTGTCTCCGCTCTCGCCGCTTTCGACCGACGGGAAGGGCTCGGGAATTTCTTGGGCAAAGGACGGAGGGGTGAGGGCTTGTTGCAGAGGAGAGGCTTGGTAGCCTTGGAAGTGCTGGTGGGGAAAAGGAGGTAACGAGGCTCGGTGTACTGATATAGGAGATTGGGGAACCTGATATGTTAGAGAAGGCAAGTGAGCGTACTGGTAACGACTTACGGGAGTCCTATCTTCGTCGATATCTTCAGTGGCCGAAGCTGCGGCATCGATCAAGTCCTCCCAACGTTTGCCATAGTCGGCCGTCGGCTCCATAGATTGGGCCTTGCGATCAATACCTCCAATACCTCCGGGTATGAGACGATCATCGTTCTGGATCCTTCGGAGCCAGTCCGCAGCTGATCCTCGGGATTTCTGCTTCTTGTGTCCACGCTTGGTAACGGATTGCTTTCTAGGCCGGCTGGGACCAAGCGGACGCTGCAGTGGAGGCAATGTTGACGAGCGTCCCGGCGGTGAATTCGACAGAATTGATGGAAGCAAGTCCCGACGTCCAACACCACCTGAGTTCATCATGGGGAACGGTTCACTGGTCGGGTCATTTCCGTACTGAAACGGCGGCAACTCAATTGTGCTCCTCGGAATCCTGCGTCCATCTGTGTCAGATTGCCAGTCCTGGCGGACACGGGTCAGCTCAGCTGCGGTCAAGACGTGCATGTGCAATCGGACGTGAACGCATAAGACATACCGCTTCGGATTCCCAATCCTCGAACTTGTGCTGGCCGCCCAATTGGGCAAGGGCTGCGGCAGCACTTGCGGCTGGCAGCAGCGGGCCTCCAGTGAATTCATCCATGTTTCTGGGCGTCCCCGGCGCACTCGACTCGTCTCGGAGGAATGCATGGCGCTCGTGCGGAAAGGCCTTGGCCGGATCTAGAGTTGCGTGCGGTGGCCCGGCCGAATTGGAATTGGAATTCTGGACCTGAGATCTATCCGAGGGCGGGGTATTGATCATGAGCAGGAAGCTCTCCTCGGTCGCGGGAAGCTTGGAGATGTAATGCTCGGGGTGCGCTCGACGGATATGCTCCTGCATGGAGCGATACCTCTTCTCCTGTGTGTCGTAGTGGTGAGATCAGCCTCATTCAATGTGTAAGGTAGGTAAGTAGCTGGCTAGGTAGCTATAGAACCTTAATGGTAGAGCTCCGTCGTGATGGTTGGGCGACGAGGGAGGAGCAACTTACGCCGATGCAGCGCTTGCGACAGCTGGATCCATCTTGGTTGCGCAACGGGCACACGACTTCGTTGTTCGAGTCGGTGATGGAGAACGAGGACGTCAAAGAAGATCGAGGCGGCATCTTGTTGACCTGTTCAACCCCACCATGCGCTGGTTGGCGGCGGCGAAGCGGGGGTTCGTGAGATTGATACCGTGAGCGTGGGCGTGGGTTGTCGATAAGAGCTGGAGAGATAGCGTTCAATTGACGATGGTCTAGGTGGGAGAAGCTTTGGCATTTGAGGCGTGTTTTGGTCCGCTGGATCGAATAATGTCAGCCCTGCCGAGGTAGCTCCAAGCTCCGGTCCAGATGTGTTACATGAGGTGTTTCGAGGAGGACGAGTACGTGGTGTGGTGTACGGTCGGTGATTTGGTTGGTGGTGTTCAATGGAGGGGGGAGAGGACCTGGGCTGCAGGTGCCTTTTCTGGGTGAGGGAGAGAGGGGTGGTGACTTTGGCTGAAAGCAGCTATTGTTCAATGTTACTTGGAATTGACCAAAGCCCCAGGGTGGCCAGACTGCCAGAGTCAAGGCGTGCAGCTACATGCATGTACCTCCCACCTTCACCTTCACTTTATTACGGACGGCGTGCGGTACTCGGGACACTCCACTCCTAGCTGAGCTCCATGTAAGGTAGATAATTGAAGGTGATGTATGCTGATAATAACATACCTTGAGCAAGCAGGGCAGGTTCAGTCACGAAGTGGCAGAGTGAGCTGTTTGGGTGTCCAAGTATTCAAAGCTGCTGTTGCTGAACTGTAGGTGTGCATGAGACGGTTCAGTGGCAGAGACATCCGCGGCGGCGATACCATTTGAGGGAGAACAAAGGGAGGATGGTGTCTCATTGGCTCCGTTCCACCCACAGACTTGAATAGCCAGCTTCGTTTCTGACTCGATCGAGGATCGGTTCCTCTACTTGTCCACCCGGCCTGGTGGGGTGGCCGCGGCGGTTCAAGGTTGGAGATATTCCAGGCAGCTCAAGACCATGTCTGCCTGTGGTTGTCCTACCTTATTGACCTGGCGGTCCCTACAAAGTTGTGGGCGCCGTGGAAGCTCTGACCTGGCTATTTGGAATCGTGCACTGCAAGCTTCCAGCTGCGATTGAGCTATGCTCCCAGCATTGTATATCCAAGCTGTAACGGGTGCTACTACAGGCATCCTATCAGCAGTAGACGGGTGTGTGTTGCCACCTTGCCGTGTTCTTTGCTTGGCAGCTTCGAGTCGCGGGCATTCGATCCTCAGTGCCTATGATAGATAAGACGGATTCCCAGTTCCAGTTCCAGTTCCAGTCCCCGTCCCAGTTCCAACTCCCACCACATGCGCATGAGAGCTTGCGTGCTTGCAGAAGAGAAGGCTTGGAGCTCAACCTGCCTCCCCGCTCGCCCGCCCGCTTGCTCGAGAGGGGTTCTTCATCAGTCTGCAAGTGGACGTGGGTAGGGTTGCTTGAGATCCTGGCCCTCCACCCGCGTCACTGGGAGCTGAGCTCTTGCACTGGCTGACAGAGGCTGCTCCTGTGGGCTGGAAGTGGGCAGGGGGTCGAGACCTCACTGCTCAGGCGTGCGAATTGGCGGGGCAGCCAGTGCTATTCCACGAACATCAATGATGGATGTCACATGCGGTCGTGTCGCAGGCGGCTGCTTTCATCCATCGTGGCTTGTAGCTTGTCGCAAGGAAGGGTGGACAGGAAGAGGATGGTCAGCTCATCGGCTTGATGACATCAGGTCTCAGCTCCCACCATTCCTTTGGGTTTCTGACACCTATCATTCCAACTGGATGTTTGGGAAGACAGCTCACAGTCTGCAGCGGGGGAGATGCCTGTGGTGTCCCAAGATATGCGGCGCTAGGGTCCGGTGTTTTCGGGCATACCGCAGGACTGCATTCGTCCCCGGATCGTGTCTCGGCAAGCTGCCCTGGTCTGGTCTAGTCATTGTCAATAACACTGTAAGTAGATGTACCTTATCTTTGGATGAAGAAGCTGGACCTGGACGAGCCTTGGGCCTCCATCACAGACGACTCGATGATTCCTGTACTGGATGGACGTAGCCACACTTGGAAGAGGTCAAACACTGAAGTTGATTCCAGCTCAAGCTTGGATGAATAGCAGGGCAAGGGTGAGCAGCTAAGGTGGCTTTTATGGACCGGTAGGTGGCAGGTGACTCGTGAGAAGAAGGTGCCCAACCGAAGAGCTGTTTGTCGCGCCAAGCCTTCGTTGCATCCAAGCAGCGAACACATGGGCTGTACTAATAAAGAACACGTGCAGTCACGCGAGAGGTCATTAGCTTTGAGTCGTCCTCCGTTGGCACAGGTAGGACTAGATTCTTGTTAGAATATATAGGTAGCTATCCGGAGCTGTATGAAGCTATGGGTGCAGGTCTGGAGCTTGAAGACGAAGAAAAACCAAGCTGAGGTCGGTTCGGCCAGCTGTGTGTTGACGAAAGGGATTGGTGAATGTGCTTGAACGGCTTGCCCCTCTTCAGGGTCCAAGCATGGGCCAAGATAACACACCTCGGTGCCTTATCGATACAGATGCTTGAGCACAACCCTTTCACATGACGCTGGGCGCAACCACAGGAAACTCGGGAAGGAACCATACGAGGTGCACGTTCATCCAGTACAAACATCACAGTCTTGTACGGCGCCAATTGAGAATACACTTTATGTTGGTCAAATTCACTATGGATATATTTTAGGTATCACCACGGTGTCCATGGCGATACTACTTCCGCACGAGGATTACCCCAGAATGTTGTAGGTGAAGCTATATTCATCTGCTCATAGGCTCGAAGTCATGGGCTATCTGTGTTCAGTACCGCTCTTCAACAATCTGGACCACACACACCATGTGTCGGAGCTGACCTCATGTTGCGAGTTCCTTGGGACTCGTCAACCCATATCCTGAGGACCTGCTTGCGGCCGGCCATCGGCCGGCGAACAGTACTTGAAAGGCTATCGAGGCTCCTATAATGGGGATACTTAATTGGAGTGGAATTTGTCAGCACCTCCTAGATGGCGGACATTTTGTCGCATTTGAGGCTCCAAGGCTTCGAGCACGATGTAATAGGGAACTAATGGAGTATTGTGATGTCTACCACCTTCTAGGAGTTCCGGCGAGGCTTGCCAGAATATCGGAGGTCGTTTTGGCTCAGTGGTGCTGACTGCAGAGGTCACGACATGTAGTGGAGAGCCATGTTCGCCGGCTGTCCAGAAACTGGCATGGGAACTTGTTGCCAGCCAGGTTGCAACACGTCTGTTTCTGTCTCTTTGCAAAGCCGCTGCGAAACTGTCTATGCAGAAATATTCCCATCGCCGGCGGTAACGAGCGATAGCACCGCTATCTCCAAAATCCGTTATTCCCATACCGGTTCAGCGCCCCTTATCTACCATAAGGGTCGTCACTTTGGGGGAAGATTGGAGCCACGATATGTTGCCGGCCTTTCCTTTATGTGCTCCGTTTGGGATACTAGAACTGCATCCTATACTAACTAAATCCCAAAGCACACGAGCAACAGCAAAGCTGACCCTTCCTCGAGCATCCACAACATGAGTACGAATATCCTCATGACCGGGGCTGCAGGCTACATGTAAGTGCAAGCCACAGTTGGGAAGACTCACTACCACATACTAACACGCGTGTAGTGGAGGCTCCATCGTCGCGGACTTCCTAGCTCTCAACAGTGATGTGATCAAGGCTGCGAATATCAGCGCCACGGTTCGAACAGACGAACAGGCCAGAAGCCTCTCGAGTCTGGGCATCAACGTGCTTCAGGTGGATCTCACCGACCAGACAGCCGTAGCAGAGGCTGTGCAGGCCAACAAGAGTGCGTGCGGATTGTCCTCCAAGGGATCTGAGAAGCCAGATGGCTGACTGGAATACTGTCTAGTCCATATGATCATCCATACTGCCAGCTCTATCGACTCGCGCATAGTACTCCACCTCATCACAGCTCTGGGCAGGCGACGCGAAGCGAATGGGGAGAAGCCTTGCTTCATTCATGTAAGTATGCGCACTTCTCTGATCTCAGGTCAGAGACTGAATGGGCTGATCGTGCCAGACGTCTGGATTGTCCGCTTTCGATGAAGCGACCGGCTGGAAGTTTGGAGACGTGAAGGACACCGACTCCATAATCAGCCTGGAGAGGCAAGTGGCGGACTCTTACCTTCTTCGAAAGGTATTTCAATTTGCAACCGTTGGGGAAGGGGCCCCGCTGACCTCGATGACAGGTTGATGTGCTCGTTACGGAGAAAGCAAAGGAGCATGGTGTTACAAGCTATATCGTCTCGCCAGCGACACTTTGTGAGTGCCACACCACACTTCACAGCGGCGAAGCTCGATTGGATCTTGCTGACGTTTCATCAGACGGAAGGGGAACTGGTGCTTGGAACCAGCTCACCATCCAGCTTCCAGTCTACATCAAGTCCAGTATATCCCTTGGGAAGGTGCACAAATTCGCCGAGAACATTGTACGGAGTCGCCATTCTGACCAACGAAACTAGATGATCTGACGACTTGGCAGGCCGCCCCTTTTGTACACATATCGGACCTGACAGACTTCTACGCGCGGCTCGTCGAGAAGATCATCCGGAAAGAACAGCTGCCAAGCGGCGAAGATGGCTACTATTTCGCAGTAGCCCACTCCACCCACTGGTGGGATATCCTGGATCATCTCGCCCTGGCACTCCACGCCCGCGGTCTCGCAGAGCCGGCGACGCACATCTGGCCCAGCGAGGAGATGGCCGCGCAGTCGTTGGGTGTTCCGGTTGATTACGCACGCAGTATATGGAACGGAGGGTAAGCACATATCTCTCGCTACTTGTAGGACGTCTATTGATACTTCGATTAGCCCGAAGGTAACCTCGGAGAAGAAACACCTACTGGGATGGCAGCCGGCTTGGGACAGTGAAAGGTTCCTGCGGAGCATGGATGAGGAGATACAGGCCGCACACGAGCTGGGTGGGCCCAAGAGCAGCTTGTTGGACTCTCTGCCTACTTCACACAGCAAGTGAGCCTCGGCGTGTTCTATTTGTGGTTGAGGGAGGCTCCAAAGTTCTACTATGCAGCGCATGGAGCACTTGGGCCAACTGGATAACAGCCGCTCGTAAGATGGCAAAGCGCAATGAGGATATTCCCAACATCCATTGTCACCGACCTTAGCGGTTACCTTCCGCAGAACTGATTACGAAGCTGTTCGCACTTTGTGCTGCGGCTGGAGTGTACGTGATGTTAGCGGAGCCCTTAACAGTTAGCACTACCTAACGCCATGAACCCGTGTCTGCGGATGCGAAAATTGTATATATGTATATGCTCGCATTCAGGCTGCGCCACCTTTACGGCACGGAAGATTGCAGTGCACAGTATCAAAGCCACGATGATGAATCGCGTGAAGCCAAAGACCAACATGGTAGACTATAAAGTAAGCTCAACCAGCGGGATCATGTAGGACAACAGATCAATCACAATTCACTCGTTGACATCTCCTACGCATCAGGACACCAAAAAAAGCACAAGGCTTACCTCGCGATGTTGCTTAGCACTCCGTCTCTTGTCTTGCCTTCATTGTTCGCAGTTGCAGCGGCCTACAGGCCATGCCCTATCTTAGGTCCGGTCTTCGAGAAGCCGACGGATCTGTGTGATGCAGACATCTTCCAGGCCGCGATCAAGAACCTTACTACCACTCTCGGCGTTGCAAGCAAGACGGCTCACACCCGCTATGGAAGCCTTCCGATCAACACCACGTCGTTCTCCATTGGGATGTTTGATGCAGGCTCGACGCTCTTTTCTTACCAGTACTCTTCGCCAGCGCTCGAAGCCGGCTCTGCTGGTGTCAAGCAGGTAACCGAGGACTCTGTGTACCGAGTAAGCCTGCTCCCCGCGAGGACGCTGAAAGTGTATATATAACAGCGCTGACCGTTCAATACATCTTAGATTGGCAGCGGCTCGAAACTGATCACGGTGTACCTCTTCCTGATCGAAGTCGGCGCGAAGTACTGGAACCACCCCATCACCGAGTTCGTTCCTCAGCTCGCGGACGCAGCGAAGAACTGTTCTGCCGCAAAAGACCCAGTCGACTGCACCGACTGGAACGATGTCACGCTAGGTGCTCTTGCAAGCCATATGGCAGGCATGCCCGCTGACTGTAAGCTGTCCCAATATCGGTAGGGTGCGTGACGTTGCAACGCTGACCTTGTTGTAGACTCTACGCAAGCCGAGCTTCTGACCCAACTGACCCAAGCGGAGCTCGCCGAGTACGGACTGCCTCATCTACCGGCTTCGACCTTCCCACCTTGCGGATGGAACTACACCGACGCTTGCGTGGAGCAGCGGTACCTGTCAGGATACACCGCCGAGCACCCCATCTACGCTCCTTTCACCACACATATCTACAGCAATGGAGGCTTCGAGCTCCTCGAATTCGCACTGGAGAATATCACCGGAATCTCGATGGCGGATATGGTCCAGAAAGATCTGTTTGGGAAGCTCGGTATGACGCACTCGAGCTACAACGTACCAAGCAATCTTAGTAACGCTGTCATGCCATTGGGAGCGATCAAGTCCGGCTTTGTCGCTAAGCTTGGGGATGAGACTGCGTAAGTGGCCGTGCATACGCTGTGACGAGAAGCTTGGAAGCCTGACTTATTGTAGGGTTGGCGGTTTCTACACCTCGCAATCTGACTATGTCAAGATGGGTCAAAGCATACTTTCGGCGACGTTGCTGTCACCAAACACGATTCGGCAATGGATGAAGCCAGTGACATTCGTCTCCAACGGCAATGGCGGTGTCGGCATGCCATGGGAAATTTGGGGAGCAGCCGACTTGACCGATCGAGTCGTTGACATGTACACCAAGTCAGGCGACGTCTTCTCCTACAGTTCGATGTTCGTGCTGATTCCGGACTACAATGTCGGTTTTGTCGTCCACGTCGCCGGCGATGATACAACGTCAACTGCCGAGATCCTTTCGGGTATCGTGGCTGCCAACATCGTACCAGCTCTGGAGAACACAGCGCGCGCACAATCGCAAGCGAAGTTTGCAGGCACGTACTCCGCCACAGCAGCCGGACCGGCGTCGAACATTACGCTGAGCACCGAGCCTGGCACCCCGGACTGGCAGTGAAGAGCCGGTATAGCAATGGAACAGACTCATGACTGTCGTCGCAGGACTCGAAGGAGCTACAACAGGCGTGGATGTCCGTCTGTACCCAGCCAATTTGGTACAACAGCCGTCGCCGGCATCCCAGCGGATCAGCTATCGAGCCGTTATCGAGGACTTGGCCACTGCTACTGATGGCGGAGTCTTCTCCGAAGACTGCCAGACGTGGGCAACCGTGAACCGTATCAAATATGGCAATGTGGGGATCGACGAGTTCGTCTTCGACGTCGAGGATGGGCAGGTGGTCTCTATCACTCCACGGGCCCTGCGTGTTACACTGAAGAAGGCTGTGTAGTCCGGTTTGACGTACGCGGTCGGCTGCCGTTCTTGAGGTGTTACCATACTGGCTGTCCCATTGGCACCATGAGTGCTAGTGATGTCGACCACTGAGTGGCGCTTACCAACCCCTGAACCGCATTGTCGAGTTACAACCCAATACTGTGGAATGAGGCTCTTTAGAACATGAAATTCGCCATAGTCTTGTTTTCCATGGTTGTTCATGATGGCCATGCAAGCCACGCAGTTGTCTCCTAAACAACGACGTGTGCCAATAACCACCAGGTAATGTTATCGGGGATAGCCTCGTCACGTCCCAGACCTGCCAAAGAATGGAACACTTCGCAACACGTCACAGAGAAAACACACGAAGCTGCGTGTAAGCCATAATGGAGATTACTCGTGTCCTTGTCAGCTGTCGGCTGTCAGCTGTAGTCTGTAGGAATGCTTCCTTGCTTTCAAGTCAGCTCCTCACCTCAGCACCCGAATTATTAGTGGGCGACATGACGTACGACGTGCAGTCCCGCGGGAACTCGTCATGCCCGTAGCACCGCGTCGCAGCTCATTCAATCGAGGTCGTGCAAAGAGCTCTGTCTTGGTTGGCTCTGTGATTCATGCCAAAATGCAAGACCAACACGGAGGTCCGTAATGAGAACGGAGAAGCTGTCAATGGGGACTTCCAGGTTGGACCGGCTGAACCTGCTGAAGTGCAGCTACCCAGCCTGTAAGGATGTGGGCGATCGAGGGCGTTTGTAGACCTCATGCAGATGCAGATGCAGTGCATGCGGCTGATGCACTAGAAAAGCCCCGAATGAAGCCACCGATGGGGATGCGCAGTTTGGTTGGTTTAAGTGGGGTTGAAACTTGAAACGATGCAGGTGATTTGCATGCAGCATAAGCATCTGTCATAAGCAGTCAGCAGTGAGTGCAGTTATGCTCTAGAATAATAACTTCTAAATCTAGAACCCGTCCCAGAAGATGGGCCTGCATTATTAGACCTGCCGGCCTGGCACCAACCTTCTAAGTTCTTGGCAAGAGGCGAGCGAAACACACGTAACCATACAGTAACACACCTCGTTTCCACCTTCCTCCTTCTCGTGAAACATGCCGTCCGCCATCCAGCCCATCCCATTCACACCTACCTGAATGGACCTGAATGCACATCAGGCGAGATCTGTACGCCATTGAACCACATTGAACCATACCTAGTAGGTAAGGAGGTAGGTACTTAGCATCTGGTCTTTTCTTCTTCTCTCCTACTAGCCTTCTGGTAAGAGTCAGGCACCACTTCCAGCTCCCGTCTTTCCACCCTTTGATCGGCGGCGAAACCCGCGATCATAAGGTACTACACCTGCGTCTTCCGTCATCACTGTACTCGGTACACTCCCTCTTCCGTCGCCTGCATCCTCACTGTTGGTCTCGTTAAGCGATCCTTCGGGTCATTCACTCTTTGACCTCTCGGTCAGTCGTCTGTCTGCCTCGAGTCTCTCCCACCGCATATGATTATTACCACACATATCCGCGCCCAGAGGAAGTCTGGACAACCGACCTGACAACTTTCCTGCCCCAACCATGGCGTTGAACGTGAAGCACCTGAACTCCGATGCGTCGTTCCTACTCTCCTTCGAGCCTATCATCCCGGAGTCAGCCAGCGAAAGCGTGGTAGCTCAACCATTCACAATCCTCCTAGACCCATGGATCACAGGCCCCTCCAAGATCTTCCACTCCAAGATCTCCATCTCCACCCACAAGCATCCCGCCTGCATAACGTCACTGGCTGAACTCGCGCAACCACCGGACCTTGTTATCGTCAGTCAGCACAAGAGCGATCACTGCAATGAAGCAACCTTACGCCAGCTACCATCGAGCGGCACGAAGACGCTGATTCTCGCAGAGCCGGCATCGGCGCGCGTCATCAAGAGCTGGAAGTACTTCGACAAGGAGAAGATCCGAACAATCGAGCCATGGAGAGACCCACGGTTGACAGGCAAGCAATCCGTTGTGCGAATACCCGTTCCGGCGTTGGTTCCGCGTGGTCAAGGAGGAGAGGTCACGGTTGCCTTCATTCCACAGAAGCGCGACCTGACTGGTATACATGGTGCGATTGGCATCACGTACCGACCACCCCCAACGCATAACCTGGCGCGGCCGGAACCCCGAGTCAAGATCTTTACGCCGCCCACGACGCCCGACTCCCAGGCGCAAACCTTTACCGACGCCGAGACCAAGACACCGATCCCCACACCGACAGGCGACACATTCCTCCTCCCGCCCTCGCCGCCAGTTTCACCCCGCTCATTGCGCTCTATCCGGTCCGCCTCAACCTTGATTGCGTCACCAACGCGACCCGTCCCGAGTCCTGGTTTTCGTCCGGCGACTGCCTCGAGCAACAGTGTAACGCAGCTCACCGGCAGCGCAACTGAGGCCAGCCGGCCGATCTCTCTCCTCTTCTCACCTCACGGCATCTCGTACCCCAACCTGGTGACATATGTCACCTCTCATCTCGTCTCCGAGGCAGCACTGCCGCTGACGGCGCTCCTTCATTGTATGGACAGCATCAACAATCCTTGGTGGCTAGGGGGCAATGTCTGCGCAGGTGCTCCTACCGGGGCCGAGATTGCGGCGAGGCTAGGTGCTAGGATATGGGTGAGTGCTCACGATGGCGAGAAAGACGTCCGAGGACTGGGCACAGGGATGTTAAAGACCCGGCGATGGAAACACGAGGAGGTCGAGGGAGCTATCGACGCCGGTCATACGCATGACCAAGGTCGCGACCAACAACCCACCAGTCCTGATGGCATGCAAGATTCGATGCGCAAGGTGAAAAGAGGTGGCCCCGAGATTATGCGCCTTTGCAGCGGAGAGGAAGTCATTGTCACTAGCACGGGCATGATTTGGCGCTCCGATGACAAAGAAGTCGACGAACCAAGCTCAACTTCAGCGCCCATTGCTAAAGCGCCAGCAAAGACTACTACTGCGAACGGTACTAAACACCAGACGCTCAAGGGTGAGAAGAAGGGCATGAATCAGGTAGTCTTGCCTAAGGTGCAGGATGCCATGTCGCCCAAGAAACTGGCGATTTACAGAGCCCTGAAGACCAGGGATTTGATGAGGCCGTCACCGAAGTTCGTTCTGGAACGAGAATCCGAACCCAATTTGCCAGCTTTGCCGGAGGTCGAACCCAGCGTGGTTCCGGAACCGCCCGCGATCGAGAGCAAGAAAACGGCGAAGAAGCCCGGCATCGAGTGTGCTCGGAAGCGAGCCGCGAGCGATGATCGCGCTGTGCGGTTCGAGTTGACCACTTGAGAAGCGGGCATGTTTGAGGAGAAACGGTTGGCAATGGCAAGGCGCTGGAAGGACTTTCGAGGTTTTTGCAGAGGCGCTGTGAGGGCTTTGACGACGGTATGATGGTACGAAGGTTTTAGGTGTTCAGGCTGGATCAACGAGATTTCCCAAAGGTTGGCATGGCATGCGGAAGGACATGATACCAAAAAGGCAGTTTTGTTTCTACTCACGAATAGTGGCGATAGTGGATGGCGTAATGCGGATTTCTAGCCAGAAAGGGCCAGGTTCGAGATTTCCTGACACCAAGGGCTTGTGAACTTTGCGTAACGTTGTGATACCATCGTCATTATGTTATCGTAATCACCAACTAGGATGCCAGTCTAAAAGACCCCCATTCTCCCTTTATGACCTAGGGTATCTGTCATGCTCATGAAGCCAATCTCATCACAAATCTCCGTCTGTCTCAAAGTGCTATGGCCAACCTAAATGCGAAATTCAGGATATGTCTCTTCCATATACCTGCCCAAAACAGTTCAGTGGGCCGGCAATGACCTCTGACCTAGCCCCAATCCAACCATCGTAGCCCTTTATACCTCCCCGAGCATTTCCTTTCCCCCATGATTAGGGTGTAGCCGAGCCGGGCACAGCACCCTTATATAGATCCATCCATCCAGCTGACCAAGTGTCATGTGCCAGCCTAGCCCACCTACTTGAGCTGCTTCAGAATCTCGACCAAGAAGTCCTCAAAGCTCAGCGTGATGTAGCCGTCGCGGTCCTCGTCATACTTCTTGAAGACGTCGGTCATGCGCTTCAGGCTGATGCAGGCCTGGATGAACAAGTCAAAGCTCATGACGCCCTCGCTGCGCTTGTCGTAGGTGGAGAACAGCAGCTCGACGAAGCGCGGGCTGAGGCGGTAGCGGAAGGCGACGAGGGCGTTGTTGAACTCGTCGAGGCTGATGTTGCCGGAGCGGTCCGTGTCGAAGCGGTCGAAGAGCGTGCGCCACGAGGCCAGGAACGACCACAGCCCGCAGAACTCCTTAAACCCGATGGTGCCGCTGCGGTCGCTGTCGAACATCCGGATCATCATGCGCACCGTCTGCGAGTCGAACGCCGTCCAGTCGCCGTTGACGAGCGCCGTCGAGAGCTCGCGCTCCGAGAGCTGGCCGGTGCCTGTTGGGGGAGGTAGGGTCAGCGGAAGGGTCCTTTGTGGTCATGTGAGGCTGTTTGTGGTGGACGCATGTACGGATATGTTCCGTGTGGATCGATGCAGGCGCCCGAGGCTTGCCTAGCTGCCCGTTCGCCCATCTCGGGTCTGCTGGACTCGACCTCGAACGCAGTCGTTCTCGCTGTGTGTCAAAGGCTTCCCGGGCAACCTTGTCTGCCAAGGAGGTCCCGTATCCTCCCTCTTCCCGCACTCAGTGCAACGAAAACCCGCGACACCACCACATAGAGTAAAAGAGGCGAAGAACAAGCACATGGAGAAAGTTACGCACCATCCTTATCCACAGCCCTAAACAGCGGCAACAGCGTCGGATCCGCGCCCTCCTCTATTGGACCGGGCGAAGGCGGCGGGCGGCTCGACGCCGGGGGCCGGTTGTGTGCTGTCGGTCGGTGCCCCGAGGCCTGCGGCGGCGGCGACATGGTTGAGGAGTGGTGCGGTTGGGGCGGGTAGTTGGCGGCCGGGCTCAGGCGGCCCGGGTCGCGTCGCGGCGGCGCGCTGTTTCCATAGCTGCTGCTGCTGTGATGGCTACTGTAGTTGCTGTTGCTGGGGAGCGGCGGGGGCGGCTTGCTGTCGTATCGCGAAGAGGGCTTGGGGGCGCCACTTTTCTGCTGGACGAGCGGTCAGTTGCTGCTTGTGGGGTTCGTGTGCAGTGAGTTGAGACTCTCGTGGAGAGGTCGGGGAGGAGTATATCGTGGGTTCCTGGAATGTGACTCGAAGTGTGTGTCAAATTAGAGAGGAAGAGCTGGCGGCGCATACCTGGTCTGGCTCTGCGAATCTGTGCGAAGTACGATTAGCGTTGGTCAGCGGACAGAGACAGATGTGTAGGACGCGATAAATTAATCCCAAGCAGGTACTGAATGCTTGCGCGCCCAGCACAGACGAAGGAATCGTGATGACAGCCCAAGCGATCCTCACAGCTTGGGCATGCGCTGCGCGGAGCAGAACGAGGGGCGGAGGACGATGTTGGCGGGGTAAAGTAAACACAGTTGGTGGCGCCAACTCACCTTGGTAGCTCGTCCGGGTTGTAGGGTCGGTTGTACGCCATATTGAACGGTGGTGAGTGCGTATGCGTATCGACTCGATATAGTGAGAGAAGGGAGGTAGATATATATATATTCAGGGTGGGCGGTAGGAAGAGGCACGCGGCAGTGGGTGACAATGTCGGTTAGACGGCAGCAGTCGTCGGTCGGCTGAAGATGGCTTGCGAAAAGCAGGGCCGTGAGACAAAGACAAAGACAGTGACTGTGCTCGTCAATCACAGAAGACTTCTTCGCTCAGCCGCAACAAAGAGTTACTCGCTTGCTCCCTTGGTCGGCTCCGGCGCGTTTTCGCAGGTGAATCTGGTATGGAATGGATGGGGGATGTTGGATGTTGCGATGCGATGCAAGGCGGCGGCAGGTCAGCACTGCTGTACCTGCCTGTCCAGTAGCGCGGGTACAATTCAATGATTTTCAGGGGTCTGGTGACTCGACCACAGCGTTCGGACGGGTATCTGCAGCCCTTGCAGCTGCAAGTGATTTGATTGTGTTATTTCTGGACTTTTCGGTTTGTTTGTTGGCTGGCTGGTCTGCATATCAGATCAGAGTAGAACAGTCGATCAGGTCTGGTCCTGATGAGAGGTAGCTCGCAAATAGCATTGTCCATATGACTGGACTTCTGTGCGACTATCTTGACATCTTCTGTCTTGTCTCACATACGGGAGCGCATTGGGGCGGTGTTATCGAGGAGCTGAAGCACAGCAGATCAAACAGACATTACGCAGTGACGCTTGTGTGCTCATCAACGGCAAACAAGCGATGTTGCCCATTTGTTCACCGAGAGCAATGTTGATGCGGCACAGGAATGCGGCAGAGGAAGGGAACCTTCGAGGAACCTTCGAGATGACTCAAGCGAGCGAGCTCAGCTGCTGATGTGAGGCTAGAGAGACGAGGCAACTTGCGAGGCTGATGGTGCCCGACTCCAGCACCTCGTGATGGTTCAGGTGCACTGTTGGGCTGACATACGAATCGACCCAAGCCACCACCATGGACGATGCCGCTAGCGAAAGGGAGACATCAGGAGCTTGAATGCATCTTTTCGAGGCAGGACATCATGCTTGGAGAGCGCATCTGGGTTACTCTTGGCCTTGCTTGCTCTTTTTCGTATCCAACATGACGTCGTGTGACCGGGGACGTGCAGCATTGCGCAGTCAAAGTCATGTTCGACTGAGGAGGTGATCATGTTTCAGCAGCGTCTGCGACACGATGCTCGGCTTTGACTCGACTTATGGCACTCGGTGACAGGTTGCCCACACAGGTGATAAGACAAGGACTGCTTTACCGTCATTCGTTACCAGAGGAATCCAGGATGGCCAGGAATGTTTTTAGGGGAGGTTCCAAACCCCTGGTTAGGTAGGGCACTTGCGATAGTGCGGTAGGAAACCCAGATTCACTCCCGGGTAACATCAACAAGACCCCGGACTGCCCGAGTCCGGAGGCGTTAATTTAGTGCAAGTAAAATAAGCTTATGTGATCAACCAACGGCCCGTTGGCAACGGGGAGTCGGGTGGACCGGCTCTTCTCGATAGCCGCCACCTGGGCATGCGCAACATGAAGGTGGTAGTAATAAGACCCCCTGGCCCAGGTCAACGTCGAATATCCATCCACACACCACACAACCGTTGCTTGTGCGTATTTACGGGAACGGGTAGAAGCTTGTCACCGCCACCGATATGGCGGAAGTCAACGGGGACACAACTCCGTCCAAATCGGAAGATGAGTTCTGGATATTTGGTTATGGGTGCGTGCTTGGTGACATTCAATTCCCATCATGTTCTTTGTTATGTTTTGAGTTTCGATACTGGATGCTGACGGTCACCATAGGAGCTTGATATGGAAGCCCCCACCGCATTATGGTGAGACCCAACAATCTATAAAGTCTCTCACGACGGGATACGGTTGTACGCATGAGCGGTAGACTTACACGGTTCACGACGTGCAGACAGGAGGGTACCGGGATGGGTAACAGGCTACGTCCGGAGGTTCTGGCAAGTATGCAAACCCCCTTTTCCTCACCAAAACCTCAAAAGTACCATGAGTTGACATACTACCAGGCAAGGTACGGGCCACCCAGAACAGGCCACGCCACGCCATGCCATTACAACATACTCATCCAAGGCCCTTACACTAACAACCCGTCCAACCCACAGCCAAGACCACCGTGGCACGCCCACGGCCCCAGGCCGCGTCGTGACGCTAATAGAGCGCACCTTCTGGGCCTCCCTCGCCGACGCGCACGACAGCGCCCCGTCCAAAGTCTGGGGCATCGCCTACCGCATCGCCCGCGACAAGGTCGCTGAGGTGAAGGAGTACCTCGACATCCGCGAGATCAACGGATACTCGATCCACTACACGCCATGGTCAGTAGTATCCCAACTCCTCGTGCTCAGTCGGACCCCCCGGCTGCTCTCCTCCCCTCCCCTCTCCTCTTCTTTCTCTTCTCTTGTCTGGAACGGTGCCCCTACCTAGTTATTGCGGATTCATCCATGCTCGTTCGTACCTACTTATTGAGACTGACTGACTGACTTATTCCCAGTATGTAACCTGCCTGCCTTTCCCAACAGCCCACCGCGCAGACAGACACGGCTACAGACCACCACCACGGGCTCTCTCTCCAAAGCACGGAAGGCCAAAGAAACCAGACAAGACCAGTCAGCTAACACGGCGCAGTCCACCCCGCCGACGGCAGCCCGCCCATCCGCACCCTCGTTTATATCGGCACCCCCGACAACGACCAGTTCACGGGCCCGCAGGACCCGCAGGCGCTGGCGCAGCATATTTACGTGAGTGAGGGCCCGAGTGGACTGAATCGGGATTATTTGTTGGAGCTGGAGAAAGCGCTGGATGGGTTGAGTGGTGAGAGTGGGGATGCGCATGTGACGGATTTGTCGGAGCGGGTGCGTGAGATCGAGAGGCGGGGCGGGTTGGGGTTGGAGGTGGGTGGTGCGGGAGGTGAAGGGGGAGGGCTGGGGGAGCCGGTGGTGCACGATATTGCAAAGGTCAGTAGTGTGGAAGAGCAGGAGGAGACGGAGAAGGTGGTGTGAAGGGCAGGGTAAGGTCGTGATGGTGGAGGTGTGTGTAGAGGAGCGACTAGACGGAGGCAGATGGAAGACAGCACGGAGACCGATAGAGTCATGAAGTGATGTCGATTGATCCTAGAATATGCTGGCTTGTACTCCCCCTAATTGTCCTCACATAGACATACAGACTTCCCAAGTCGTAGACCCACAGCCAGAACTCTCCCAATCTCATCCCATCATCCTATGGGGGTTATCATAGACAACTCTCTGCCCTTGATGCTCCTCCACTTCAACCTCATGACCGATTCCTCCTTTTGGTCCCGTAAGCTCGTTAAAAATGATAGTGTGGGTATTCATGGAAACCACGAAGATGACAGTAAAACAAGCAGAATATTTTGCGTTAAAGAATGTAAACAACACTGTAGCCTTTTCCCCTCCTGTTGGCTGCCCCTGGTCCCCTCTTGCCCACGGGGGCCACGAAGCTCATCGAGGCAGTGTTGTAATTGGTGAATGATAGGATGGTAAATGGGGCTGTGGTGTTGGTGCTTCAAATGTGATGCGTAAGGGTAGCGTCCGGGTGTCGTGCGGAATCCGGACCTCAGATTCTCGATCCCAGTGAGATGGGTCTAAGCCTTGCGGCTGCCCGGTCGTGGTTTCGGTGTAGCTTTAGGTGACCATGCCTTGACTCCACGAATGCTCCCTGAGACAGTAACCCGTCAGTACCGCGGCGGTCCCTGAGGTGGTTGTTGCTGGGGCTGTTGGCCGCCCTGCTGCTGGTCTGGGTAGCCGTACGCTGGCATGCCATAACCTAGAAGTCTCTGCGTGAGTACTGAAGGCCTCATGCCTAGCTAGACTGGATCCCTTGTACAGAGACGGAAACCCTTACCTTGTTGCGGCGGAGTTCCGTACGGAGCCTGTTGTTGCTGGTAGCCTCCGCCTCCGCCTCGTCCGTAAGCAGGAGGGTACATCGCCGGGTTCGGCATTCCGTAGGCGGGCTGTCCACCGGCGTAAGGCATCTGAGGCTGGCCATAGCCACCTCTCGGTGCGTATCCTCCGCCACCTCGTCCTCCACCGCCACCTCGGGGACCCGTGTCTGAAGCCTTGTCGACGCGGATCGCTCGTCCATCAAACCTAGTCAGACTCGGTCAGGAAAGTTCGCGAACCGATGACTGTAGGCTCATACTCCACGTTGTTCATGCTTTCAATGGCTTTCTGCGCATCATCATCACTTGCGTATCGAACGAATCCGAAGCCACGGCTTCGACCAGTGTCCCGGTCTTTGACGACAACCTAATAAAGAAGTTGACGTTAGTTCCACTGTGTATGCGCTCGCTCCCGGGACCGCTTCGTGGTTGCCCAAGTCGGAAGCCTGGATATCAGAACCGAAGTTACAGCCTACATACCGCTTCTTCGACTGGGCCAAATTCTTCAAACTTCTGTCTCAAGGTGGCTTCTTCGGTGTGCCATGCGAGGCCGCTGGGTCAAAGGATGATCGAGTCAGCCGCTAGCTCCCAGGTAGTTTTGGGTATCCAGTGTCTCGTACCCAATGAACAGTTTCGACATGTCGGCAAAGAATACTCTACGGTGCGCTGAAGTCTTGAGGGCGAGGCCATGTCAGCTTTGGGGGAGATACATAGTTGGGGGGTGGGGAGGGTCAGATGATCGAAGTCTTCTAGATAGTTCCAGAGGCATTGGCCGACTCGATGAACAATTTGACAGGAGTGAGGCATCGTGTTTCGGTTCGCGAATGGCATGGTCCTACACCATCTTTCGTCCATTGGAAGGGTTGTGATGGGATAATGCAGAACAGGCATGAGATACACGAACATTATATGGAAGCGGCAGCAAGGTCGAATCGTCGGAAAAGTCGTATTTGGGCAGAGATCAACCTCGAATTGTAATGACGAATCTGGAACGGAAACTGGTCGCTGTGAAGTGGAGGGATTCGGGTGGAATCTATAGAGACGTGATGATGGGAAGGAAAACGTGATCCAGTAAGGACGGCGGGGTCGATATAATAAGTATGCTATGTGACCTGTCAGATAATGGCAATCTGGCTCCAAGGTCCCGTAGCAGTTCTGGGAGGTTGAGAACTTACTGAATAGTGACAAGTGGCTTCAATGTTCTTAAAGGGACGAGTGAAGGATCTGATCCATGGCTTCGATCCCACCGGGTTTATATATTGGCTGTCGATCTGTGGTAGGTGGACGACGGGAGGAGCTCAAACTACGATTGGGCAGAGCTCTACTGCACTGTCGACGTGAGTTGATAGTCGCTGATAGCTCTTGGTAGGCTTAGGTGTGCCGGCAGGGATTTCCCCCAAAACAAGCATCAAACAGAGGAGGTAAAAGTTGCCTCGATGTGTCTTGAAGAGGAGGCCATAACCCAATGACGAATCCACTCCACTCGAGTTGCGTGGCAGGATCGCTGCTCTGGGTCCATTCCAAATTGGAATCGTCAAGAATAGGCGACATACCATGCACTCCCCCAGAGAAGTGACGACCGTGATCCGTAGCGGCTCAGTCTTCTCCAGAGCCGCCTGTCCTCGACGGGTCTGGTAGATCAAGGCTGCCAGGGTCCCACGTTGGATGGGGTTCTGGATGTCGGATTTCAGGTTACCATGGTTGTGATACTTGTCGCAGAGCTATAAAAGAAAAGGCCGAATTGTCTGTTCGCGATCCCGGAAACTCCCCGGCGCTGATTATAAACCTGGTCTTCCTGTACTCGCTTGACGCTCGTCATGGGCTCATAGGTATTAAGCGGTTGTAATATGTTCAAAGGCATTGTGGAAATCTCCTTTTTGCTGCCATTGGCAAAAATGCGAGCAAAGTCATGCAAGAACGAATTCCGACAGCAGTGATCTGCCACTTGCCCCGGACATCCACTCGAAGAGTAAAGACAGTCCACTTCGCTTTGACAACTGCGGGGTGTCACGGTCACGAATCCCGACTTAGACACGGGGCTCTGCAGTTAGCATACTGATATGCGGCGAGGAGCCTCTCCTGAAGCTGTCTGTGCAGTGAGTACACGACAGACACGGCTCAGCGCGTGGGCACCGAGATACGATGGTTCGCGAATCTCACCCTTGACATCGTAGTATTGCCAAGGTGGGATACTTGTTCGACCCCTGTCATGATTCTGAACCCTTGCAGGCTTGGGTCTACCCCTCCATTGCCCCTCGTCGTGAGTTCACTCGTGGTACCAAAAGCATGTATCAAGGGCGTGGAAGTTGGCGTCTCGCGGCGGCAGAGACTCATCATTGTTGATGGAAAGCAGGGGTGCTCCATGGGAACGGGTAGAGCACCGCGCAACATTCTGTAGCATTGGACACCCTGGGCACTTGCGAAACGGGCAGGGGATCGAGGACGATGCCTCACTCTTGCACTTGAAGTTTGCATTTGAAGTGAAACGTGAAGCAGTACAGGGCCACAGAACATGTTGTTGAGAAGGAGGACAACCAGCTTCTGTCACATCGGCCCTACTCGATCAGGGACGTAAGTGGTAACGTCGCAGTCGATTACGGTGCATGGTGATCTTTGACATTACGTGCATTGATTGGCTTGGCCGAACGTCTGGTCGATCCGAAAACAGGTACGATGACTCCCCTGTTTGCAGATGGCGGAGTAAGACCCGGGAGTATACCCGCGAGCCTCTGCTGGCTTTGAAATAATGGATGTTGCTGCTGATTAATGTAGGTAAAGAGAGCGATGGTCCCGCGCGCGTTAGATAAGTGATGATCTGGTTCTTCAGTTTTTACTGCAACAGTACAGCTTCAATCATCACTCGTACTGCATGCAGTAATAGATATGTGCTCGTGCTGGGCCAAAGGTCGAAACGACGAACCTGAGCTTCTAGAAAGATGCTGGTGCACTTGAGTTACGGCACTGCTAAAGTGGCATGGACCAGCAGTGGACGTGAACGAGGGTTCCAGCATATTGCGATACACATGGTGTTCCGTGACTCCAAAGGCTTGCGTTGGATGCATTGAGGCCTCAACGTTGCGGCCGATCATCTAGTGGTGGCCTTAGGGTCACTAGCCTGCGGAAGATCATCTGGACGTTCCATAGGGCTGTTGAGAGCGTGGACTCCTGGAGACAAGGCCCGTCTTGCTGGTCTTGCTCATTATTTGACATTCTAGACACGATTATCTGGATCGAGTGGTTCGGAGTGTGGCGGTGGGTTCGTCTTGGTAGGTGGATGGCTGGCCTCGAGTCCGCTGCCGAACAATGCAGATTTGATGCCTCTGCCTCTGCCGCTGGTGACGAGAGACGATCTGATACAACAGCTGGCGCTTCCGTCTCTGAAGCTTGAGCTGTCTCAGGCCAAGAAAGAACATCAGCGAATTCGTTGCCTTAAACGGTGCACAGCACCTGACTGGCTGGCTGGTTGACGGAGTGCTGTGGTTTTTTTGGGTTGGAAAGAAAGAAGCGATAGCTTGCCAGCTTGCAAGATGCGGCTTGGCAGATGCTCGAGGGTCTGAGCTCGGGCCAGGCCGCCTCAAGTGCTCATCAGGGGTCCTCAGGGGTGCATTCGGTATCATCATATCTGGTTAGCGCTCCCCAACGTCGACAGGGCACCTACCACAGTACTACCTAAGTTGGTATCATCTTCAACTGCCCGATCTCATGCATCGACACCACAGTGTTTTTGCAGTGTTCTCAGCTACTGACTCGTGAATCATAGGTTGACAGACCACATCCGACGTCTCCCACAGACCAAGGGAGCCAGCCAACACGCGACTCGTGAGTAAACAGGAGGTGAGGCCTTGATAGGTGCAAAGACGGAGGCCATCGTGTATCAGCCTCTCAGTTTTTCCATTGCGCCAGGCAGTGGAGAATCCCTATTTATAAAGATGTGCTCGGGTTGGAGTGTAGGGTTGGAGTGTATCAGACGTCGATCTCAGTCTGTTCGCCAGCTGCTAGGACGGGTCTACGATGTGTTGATGAATACGACGCTGATGAGCAAGCCAGTTAAAACAATGCACTGACGATTCGGAATTTCGAATCGTCAGAGAAGACTTGTCCCACTCCATCTCGTCCGCTCGAAGATGAGACATGCGGTCTTAACCATAGGCGGCTGATACTTGGAGACGCATACTCTCCCTCGCTTGAAGACTCGATAGCATCATTTTGATGTTTTCAGAGTTGTGAGCAGTGGCCCAAAACTTCACGTTCCTTAGAGATAGCAACATGTGAAGGTGCTATCCATAGGACTCATCCACATCATGCCGGTAAGGAAAGCACAGCCGTGTACCTACCTAGTTCCTACCTAGTACCTGCCTTCAAAGGTTAGGTAGGCACGCAATGAACTCCGCGCTAGGGACATTGTTGATGCTGCCCGCATGCCTTGAAGTATCCCTCAACGTCACACCTGAGCTCACGATCGTTCGAAATTGCCATTTAAGCCTACCTTACTATTGGAAAACTAGCTCTCGCACGATATGCCACGATGTGTTTTCGATATGCACACTCTCCTGCTTGATCTATACCACTCTGCTTCGCTTCAACGCTTCTTCGCGTTTCACATCGTGCTCTGCAATGGGCTACGAGGAGTCGACACCGTCTCCTCAACGTCACCGCATGCCTGACCACTGCCGCCATCACCGTGGACGAGCCGAGCAGACATCTTTCGAACACGCCGATCATGGGTCGCGTTCCAAACGTCGCCGTATACCTCAGAACAATAGCTTGGGATCGGGCATGCTGAACAGGGTATCGCAAGCGCCAAATGGCGACGAAATCGTGAAGAGTTGGTTGGGGCAGGTGACGAATCAGGCGTCTCACCCACGGCCAAGCTCGCCAGAACACCAAGCAGAAACGATCGACCATCCCCGCCGACTTCCTCAACGCAATGTCACATCTCCTTCCGGTGAACACCCTAGACGCTTAGATTCAGCATGGAGGCCCCGTCATATTCCTCCCATACAAGGTCCCTGCTCTCCTCTCCGGCCACTGGAATCAAAATACGAAAGAAAGTCCAAGCGGAAGAAGTACACCAGCAGTGACAGCTCACTGATTAGTGGGTTTGAGAACCGCACGCGGTCTCCTGATTGCAACCCCGAACCAGCTCTACGTGAATACGAAAATAGCTCACCGTATGGGGCTCCGACAGACGCGGATAGAGGGACCGCAGATGCTTCGCCATGGGCTTCTCGCCTAGATGAGCCGATGACTTACGAAAAGAGACCAAGACACAAAACCAGGGAGGACAAGTATGAAACGAAGAAAGGGGGAGGTCAGAAACATGAGAAGACTCGAAGAAAGGGGCACGAGGAGCACCAGGCGAAGAAATCCAAGAAAACAGAGATAAAGAAGTCCAAGATGTCTAGCAAGAACGTCATGGGGAACTTCGCTTCCGATGCTGTCCTGAACGAGCGCATTACGGTAAGGAGTTCGTCCCAGTCAGTACTCGGCGCCCAATTTGACCCATGATTAGGTACAGCCGTCGTTGAAGCCCGGGCTCTTCGATAATAAACGTGTTTCGAAGAAACAGCCCAGTGAGCAGAAGATACACACCAATCTCAACGCAAGCTGACAATGGACTACAGTATCTGATCTTACATTCTCGGAAATGCAGTTTCTGAAGCGGCAAAGGCGTGAGCCACAAGCGAAGCCGCTTTCGAATAGCCGACTAAAGGAGCGACTGCGCGAGACTCGAGAGCTGGAGCAGATTTCGTCGTTCTTTCAACCGCCCAAAGGGAAAGAAGAGCCGCGGAAGAAAAGGCAAGCAGTTCAAAAGGACCGAGAAGACCCTAGGCACGCAAACAAACACTCCAAACACAATCCGGCGCCACTGTATCGACCGGATGTCTTCGAGTCTTCACCCTCCCGGCCTACTTTGACCACAACTCACCGAGAAGGATCGCTCAGCTCCCGCGGTAGAAGCAGTCAAACCCATTTGCCGGCTCAGAACGTATTTGTTGCTAGACCAATGTCGAGTAAGGCCACCAGTTATTTCACTTGGTCCAAATCCGGCAGTCATCATTCTGCTCGACCCAACGTCCATGACATCGATGTAGGCTCCCATCGCTCAGACTCAACTTGGACCACAACACCCGAGCCAGTCAGGGAAGCTTTGATCGCCACCGGCATTTTCAAAGACACAGGGATACAGCCCTATGATGATGCCTCGAACCAACACAGCCAAGAATGGGCAACGCAACGAGGTACAGCCTCTGATGGACCTGGCGACAGCCCCAAGATAAGCCGCAGCAAGAAGCGGGAGTCACTTAGGAACCCGAATGCGGCGTCTAGTGACGAAGAAAGGGTAGCGGAGAACGAGCAGCGATCTCAAGAACAACGATGGAAAGCCATACTACCCCATGAATGGAGACGGCAGAGTGCTTTACCACCACGAACACGGGCAGAAGCTGATGACCAACTTCCGGATTCTCAAGCGGTCGAAGCCCTAAGATTGCCAACGAATCCGGAACCGATTGATCGTCGTCGGATCGCGCGGAAGGCTAGACTGCGACCTGTTCAGAAAGATACTGAAAACCAAGACGCCAATAATACTGAGGCTGCGTGTGAGCCGCGGCATGTAGGGCCAGTTGGGGTCACAAGAGAGACAACTCATAATCTAGATTACCAGATGCCAGTGTCACTCGAACGTCTCTCACAGACTTCTAGAGAGGCAATGCCACCCCCTCCGCTTCCAATACGCAGTAGCAATGCAGTAGGCGTTGCCAGCATCAGTCAAGGACTACCTGCAAAGGCAACCCCCAACCGGCCAATGACAGATACACCAGACGCATGTCGGAAAGAACATCTGGATAAAACCACGGAAATTACCATACTGCCAAATGACAATCTTGCGCCCGCTCCGGGCCCGGAACCATTCCTGTGTGCCGAAAGACCCATTTCATCACTCGATACAGTTTCATGGATACCACAGACAAAGACACCATCGAATACCAACGCGGAAAGAGGAAATACCTTGTCCAGGTTAAGTACGAGAACGCCGATCTTTATAAGCCAGCTAGACCTCAACACGAATGCAGAAATGCCTGGCGCAAGTATACCTCACACGGCCTTGCCGCCTCCAGGCACAAACACAGGTGAGAGTATGGCCGACTTCATTGCGAGAATCGAAAGCGAAGCACATGGAGAAATGCCTTATGAAGGATCCGATATAACGAGTGGCGAAGTTCCTCCTGTCGAACATGCATTCGACTCAGCAATGATAGACGAGTCACAGTATCAGGAGTCGCCAGTCCACGCCCTTGTACAAGAGCAGGTCCTGCAATCACCGGTTGAATTTTCGTATATGTATCCTGCTGTAAGTAACGTAGAGTCATACTACCAAGTTGCGGACTATGACGACGTCGAAGAGTACACAGAGGACGCATATGGTGTCAATGCATCTCAGGTACCATTGGCTCAACCGTCAGATATTCTGGAAGAGGAACGATCAGAGATGTCAAGATTTTGGAGACCAAATCAGTTCTCACAGCTCTGAAGTGGGACATGTAACCTAAGATGATCCATGCAGACACATATAATGATGAGGAAATTCACAATAATATGGGCAGGGCACGCACCTCTTTTATTCAGGCTCCTGATCTTTCCACTTCTGCCGTAGCCCCTCGACGTCGAGATCACACATCTTTGCCTTCTCAACGATTGACTTCGCCTTGCCCACGACGGGCGCGTCGATCATGGCCCCATCCAGAGTCCACGCCCCTCTCCCAGCCTTTGCAGCCTTCTCATCCGCAACCACGACGCGCACCGCCCACTCGGCCTCGGCCTCGCCCGGCGCGAATAGCCGCTGCACCGTCTCGATCTGCGAGGGGTGTATGCACTGCTTCCCATTGAAACCCATCCCCTTACCTCCCCTGCACTCCTCCTCGAGGCGCGCGAGGCCCTCGGCGCCCCGGTAGGACGTGCACACCAAATCGATGGTGCTGGGCAGGTTCGCCGCCCGCGCCGCCGTTGCGATAGCCGACCGCGCGTACAGGAACTCGCTCAGCGAAGGGGACCGCGTGATGCCCAGGTCCAGCGCGAAGTCCTCGGCGGCGAAGATCAGGCCGCTGAGGTACGGCGACGCGGCGCAGATTTCGCGCAGGTCCGTCACGGCGCGCGCGGACTCAATAAGGGCGATGAGCTTGATGGGGTTGTGGTCCGGGGAGGCCGGGTCGTGGCGGGATAGCGCGAGGTGCCGCAGCGCGTCCGTTGCGAAGGTTAGGTCGCTGGCGCTGTTGACTTTGGGGATCACGACGGCGTCGACGGTGGCGAGGGGGGCGAGGGCGGTTAGGTCGGCTAGGGCGAAGGGGGTTGTGATGGCGTTTATGCGCACGCCGAGCTCGCGGATCGAGGAAGGGCGCGAGGGGAAAGAGGTTAGGTGCTGTTGTAGGGCGTGCCGCGCTGAGGGTTTGGCAGAGGGCGTGACGGAGTCTTCGAGGTCGTAGGTTATGTTGTCGGAGGTGAGGCCGAGGGATTTGGTCAGCATGCGTGGGGAGGAGGCGGGGACTGTGGGTTGGGAGTCGTTAGTCATTTGTGATATGCTGGCTGTGTATACGTTGGCTTCTGTGCCTCGACTTCGAGGGGTATTTTGACGATGGCTTCGTGATAGCTTGGCTTGGATGGGTGGGCAGAGACCTTGTCCGGTCTGGGGACGCCATTGAGCTGCGTGTAACAGACTTACCGTAGAGCAGAGCCCGCCGCAGGATGGAGCTCGACTTAGCCGCCATTGCAGTGTTGGGGGCAAGCTTGGGAGCTTTCAGGTGGTGAAGCCTTTCCAGCAGGCATTGATGGTTGAGTTCACGATCACGACGATGTCAGTACCCCACGTTGTCATAGTACAGTGGGCAGAGACGGGGTGGGACCAGATCGATTTGCGAGCCGAGCCGAGGTCAACGGCGCGGACGGGGATAACGGGGATAAAGGGTGGGACAGGGGCTACCGATGTTGGTGGCAGGTGCGCTCGTAGACTTGACACTCTTGGTTGGACTTAATCAGCAGCGTTCAGAGTCATTCAAGCTCACCACACACATCACTCATCAGACTCGCCCGTCACTTCAGTTGCCTCCAGAACAAGTGTTTCCATGCGGCGGACAAGGGGCCGGGTGGCAGGCAACGACAAGATGCGTATGATGGGGCGAAGCAGCATCCAAGCCTCGAGGGCGAACATGCACGAAGCAGCATACTTGTGTGCATGCATCAGGGCGCCTCGCCACGTCTTTTGGGCGCTTTTCGCTGCGGCCGCCCACTACAGTACTACTGCATAGCCAACCAGACGATACAGATGATATTGGCTAGAGATGGAAACCAAGGTGACATTGGTTCAAATGACAGCATATCGAGGCTGACTACCTGGGCGGTTGTCAACCTAGCGCTCAACCTGTCCCTGATACTACCCAACCTTGAACGCTGACGATTTAATCCCTGGCATTCTCCAATGGACCAGTGCGGTATTCTTATTGTCGCCTCATGGGCAGACTGTTTAAGAGAAAGTTCGGAAAGTTGTGCTTACATACTGAATACCTGTTGGTTGATCCAGCCATCGAGCCCTCACTTCGTGCCTCCTTTTCCCACTGTACGCCTTTTCTGGTATTCAAGCTTCTAACAGGCAGCTGTGAGCCTATGCCCTCCACTTCTGGTGGCGTTTCAAGGCGTTGTTTCCTCGCAGACTTAAGGCCCAGCTGCAACGCGAAGCAGGCTGTGCCCAGTCTGCACCAGCTACGCGACAGGTTCAGATATATCACATCACCTCACATTGTCCGATCATCACTAGAACCTGCTGACTATCACCTCTTTTCATACTTCCTGCATCACTGATCTAGTCGACAACATATGTACTGACTCTACTGACTTCACTCTCCGAGCAGCTCAGCACAAATGGCGGACCCTCTTTCCATCTCCGCGAGTATCGCGGGGCTGATCAAGCCTCGCCGAGATCGTCTACTCCAAATCAATCAAGTACTGGAAAGCAGTTCGCAATGCGGAAAGCGAAGTGAAGTCGCTTGCAGGAAAGACAAGTGAATTGGCCGGGGACCTGAAGAGGCTCGTCATGCTCGCTGATGCCCTGAACGAAGAACCTGTCGATGCCAACCTCCGGATGCACCACATTAGTGCTTGTAGTCATACACTTGGTAGCATCAAAGAACGACTTCGAAAGCCCGAGGCAGATCTGGCCAAACCTGACAAGCTTACGCGCTTCCAACGGAAGCTCAAATGGCCCTTCACTTCGGACGAAATGCGAGAGCTGCTCTCTGAACTCGACCAGCACCAATCTCGTATTCAGCTTGCACTGTCGGCAGACACGATGAATGGTATCCTGCGACTGCTGGCCCGACAGGAGGACTCGCAGTTCGCAGCGGCCTTGCTTGCAGATGACGTGAGGAAGACCCTTGAGATCGGCGTGCGTGTTCAAGTCGATTCCCGGCGCCAGACGGTGTTAGACTACTTCATGAAGCCCGAGGTCAACCCTCAGCCCAGTTTCGAAAGGAGTATCAAGCTAAGACACCCTTTGACGGGCTTGTGGATTCGGCACTATCCGAATGTCCAGAATTGGCTCACAATCCCCCAATCTCATGTGTGGCTCAACGGCATTCCCGGAGCTGGAAAGACGGTCTTGGCAGGGACAATCATCGAAGATGCTTTGCGACTAAGCAACGAGAGAATATGCGCGGCATTCTTTTACTGCGATTATCGAAACGACGAGACCAAGGTCCCATCGAGTATTCTAGGCGCTGTTGCCTGTCAGATAGCTCTACAGAAAGGCAAAGCATTTGATGTGCTACAACGGTACTATAACGCCCTTCACCCAAGTAACCGGCTGCGTAGGAAACCATCAATCGAGGGTCTCACGGCCACCATCACAATCATGTCCGAGCTATACGACCAGCTCCTCCTCGTAGTCGACGGGGTCGACGAGTGTATCGATTCGACTGGCGACGTGTTATCCGCGCTTCTAAGCATCTCATCTATCGACAACAGTTCACTGGCTATATTGAGTCGGGATGAGGGAAACATGCGCGAGATTCTCGGAGTGGAAGCATTCACAGAAATCGAGATAGCAGCCACAACTCGAGACGTTGAACTCTACATCACGAGCGAACTGGAAGCGCGAAGAAGGCTCCGTGATCTTACCGCCACTATGAAGGAGGAGATATTAAACACCCGTGAGTGGCTAGCTACCAGATTCGCCTTGTCTCTGCGCCAGGAAATTAACCCGACACTAGTCAAAGACCGAGCGGATGGAATGTGAGTGCAAGGCCTTTCGCCCAGAGCCAAGGTGATACCTGTGTGCTAACCTCAATACCCAGGTTCCGCTGGGTAACATGCCAATTGGATTATCTGTGCCAACTCATCACCGATAGAAAACGGCGAGATGCATTGAAGAAGCTACCCCCCGACTTACCGAAGAGCTATCTTCGAATTCTCGAAGGAATACCGAAATCCCAGTCAGATTTAGTAGAGAAGGTCCTCCATCTTGTCGCCTTTGCCGATCCGCAACTCACGATTGAAGAATTATGCTCGGCCGTTTCGGTCTCCAGTATAGACGAAGAGTTGGACAAAGAAGATTACGTTCCATGTGCCGAAATCATGCGCTACTGTAGCAGCTTACTTCATAAATCAAACAAGGACCAGCATCTCGAGTTCGCCCATTTCTCTGTTCGGCAATTCCTAAAGAGCAACTTCTCCTCGGATCCAGCCATCAGTCGGCACAAGATCACCAAGTCGCGCGCGCAGAATATCCTTGCCACCCAGTGCCTTTTCATCCTTCAGAGTCCCAACTTTCAGAGGCACCCGCTTGAAGCAAATGAAGAACTCAAAGACGTAGTGAGCAGAATGGCAGACTACCCAGTGTACAAATATGCTTCCTGGTGGTGGATGAGGAATGCCAGAAATCATATGAGCGATCTCCAACTGTTCAATCTGGTAAAACAACTGTTCGATCCTCAAAAAAGTGGTGTCTTCATATCGGTAAGCGAGAATCAGCGTCAATTCCGATCTATTGTTAATGTCGACGAAAGCAATTTGCTGACAAACGATGATTTAGTGGAGTGTTGCTTTTCATCTTCAACTTCTACAACATCTACTCTTCGAAGGTGCGGTCTACCTAAGAGGTCTCGATATCGGAGAGGTTGAGGTCCTTCTAGTGGATACGATTCTACACGGAACGTTCAAGCCAACTCACCAAGCATCGTTACTAGCCATACCGGAAATCTGCCGCTCACTCATTGATAGCGAGCGAGGATATGGTTCCTATGAAAAGCTGGAGTCTCCGCTGGCTTTGGTCCTCACTGGACCAGGCTACCTGATAGGCAGGTTGCCCGGCCTGGCTAACAAGTTCAGTTACTCCGCGGTGGATGATGCTGTACGTCGAGACTCGGGCATATCGAGTACATCAACCCTGCATACGGTAATAATATACTTGGAAGCTGGGATCATGCCATAGGAGGAAGAAGAGCAAAGCGTCCTCGTTTCTTGGGCGGTTTCTGGGTTTTCCAAAGAACCTGGTTATCTCGAAATTGCAGCGGCCTTCATCAGGGCCGGTTTCCAATTCAAGTTCGGTGGTCATGATGAGCTGAGACTACACAATGTCCGGTACACGTACATCAAAGAAGATAATACCGAGAGAGCTTTCGAAACTCTCATCAAGGCTCTCAACCCCCTGGTTCGAACATCATCTGATGCTAAAGATTTATGCTCCTGGGCCTGGAAGACCGCGGTCAGTCTGGCGCTGAAAGTTACACGAGACCCGTTTCTTATAGATACGAGCATATCTCTTTCCCATGAGTCTGTGGTCGAAAATGCCTGGTACGCGGTCAATAACAGCGATCCAGGAATGCTCGAGAGAGCACTGCAGGACCCGAGGCTCAAGGTCTCCGCATCGGGCGAGGGCAATCGGTCGCTGCTTACACTGGCCATCCATGTTGGCTCATCCAAAATCGCCAAGATCCTGATCGATGGAGGCTGTAACGTGTCAGCCGAAGACCGGGGTCATCGGCGCCCTTTGCACCTTTGGGCGAAGAAACGTAATTGGTCTGGGTCAAACCAAGAACATATCTTTCGTCTGCTCGTCAAAAACGGCGCATCCAGCTCGGTACAGGATGTCCATCGTAAAAGCGTATGGCATATAGCGGTGTCGAACTTGAATGCGTTGAAGTTGCTGGTAGAAGCAGAGGACATAAGCTGTATCAGCGAGGTGCTATCCACCGCGGATAATGATGGCTACACACCAGTCACGGCGGCGCTGCGGAAACAAAAGACGGACTGCATTCTTATCCTTCTTCAACACTGCAATGGCGGCGACGCTTATTGGCAGAGCCCCGAGCCTATCTTCGCACTTGCTGCAGGAGTGGGTAGCGAGGCAGTCGTCAAAGCCCTGGTCTCGCAAGGTGCTGAACTCGAGACGCTTCAAGAGGACAGAACTACACCCTTCATCACCTGAGTCCATCTGCGGAACTTGGCTGTGTTCGACAGCTCAAAGAGTTGTTTCCCGATGCGTGTGGCCGAAGATACGAAAAACGGCTTCCTTTCGAACAATTTGTCCATGGCTGTGTTTTCGGCGATGATGACGATCCAAGGGAAATCCAACAGTACCAGATCGCGCAGTAATGAACGAATTGCTTGATACTGGAACCTTCTCTCATACAGATGAAGGACAGTCATCGACTCTCTGGGAAAACATATGTCCTGATATCGTTGAACGCAATGCCAAAGACAAGCACTCAGGAGATTCGTAGGATGCAGTCACGTCTGTCCTTACATTCCTATTGGACCGAGGGGTCATGGAAGCATATGAGCAGGAGAAATCCCGTTCTGGACTTGTTCCGCTCCTATCTGCAACAGGACTGGAGGATTTATACTTTTACCACAAACACATTGGAGATCCCGTGCCACGAGCAAGCCATGGTGCACACCGGGCGCTCCTATATCCAGTGAAGCCTGAGCTATTTGTTCGAATCCAGCAAGCCATGCGCTACTGGGATGGTATCAGGACATCGCCAGCCATCGTCTCTCTACTTCAGGCAACTATTCATCAGTCAAATTCTCATGAGGGATACGGCAAGTTGACCACGCACCTGCTTCAATAAGGAATTGACGTGCATCAGCGTGTCGCAACTTTTTCCCCACTGGAGCAAGCTTGTCTGCACGAAGCTGAGAGTTATTCGACTTTCCAGACGATGGTGTCGCCGGCAGATCAAAGTCGCCTCAATGAGCTCAATCCTGTCTAACAGAGAGGTCTGATCCATTTCCTGGCAGAAACTCGTTGTTCCGAATCCGTCGAGAGGCTTAGGGAACTCCTGAGTAAAGGAGCAGACCCAAACACCCGCGTGGGAAAGCACCCTTTTCACACAGCCATTACATATCATGTTCTTCGTGGGCAGGAGACAACTGCTGAGCTATTGCTGGAACACGGAGCAGACCCCTGCGTCCCTTGTGACAATGGAATGGATGTTCCTTTAGCTGCAGCTCGCTCTGGATATACTTCTACTCTGAAGTTATTGTCGATGAAGGATGCCTATTCAATCAACTGGCAGAAAACATTCAACTTCCGGCACTTTCAAACTTCGCAATACGCACAGGAACCATGGAACGACGGCATGAATGCTTTACACGTTGCTGCTTTGCACGGGGATCGTGAAGTGCTGGCCTTCTGCTTGGAGCGCAACCTCGATGTCAATTCACTTTCTGACGCATTGTACACTCCCCTTCACTACGCTGCAATGGGCGGCCACTCAGCTTCTGTCAATATGCTTTCCAACCATGGTGCAGAAGTCAACTCCTTGAATGAGGATAGGCGGCTTCCGCTACATCTAGCTATCGAGTCAAACGACTTGAATACAATCCAAACTCTGTTGACGCTCGGTTCACATCAGACTGCTGACATAGATGGATTGACACCAATCATGTTGGCACACATCCAGCACTGCAGTTTCGAGACCATCAGTCGTTGAAGGCATATCAGCACAGACAGACGTCTGCCGTCCAACCTTCGACCGAAGACGAATCGTCACAGAAGACCCTCTTGTCCTTGCTTAACTGGTTAATTCGGCATGGGGATCTCAACGCTTGCAAGAGCATCCATGACCAAAGATGTCTTCTCAACGCTCGCAAGAGCATCCATGACCAGAGATGTCTTCTCGATGCGGCTTGGGAAGATCTGAATGAAGATCAACCGCTTGCCACAGCCATAGAACACGAGCAGTTGGAAATCATCAACTGGCTGCTAGAGCAAGGTGTCTCCTGTAGCCCTATCATAGAAAGTAGTGAACATTCGTTCGGTACGTTCACAGCGCTGGAGTTAGCAGTGGAGAAGAAAAGTCTGAATTATGTTCTACCAAGACTGCTAAAGAACTATCCACGGAATGGTGGCAACTGGCTTCGTCGGCCGATCAGCGTTCTTGCATACACCGTCGAGGCTGGGAATACCGAGGCGGTGTCCATAATCATGGATGATGCGTTCCAGACCACCAATGACTACGCGTAAGTGCATCCCCCAGGACGAGCGCAAGAAAAAACTGAGGCTGACTTTCCGACAAGAGCCCGGTTTGAATTACCATTGGAAGAGACTATCTTCCGGTTGGTTAATCAACCCCATGACTGCAATAACGGTCTGGTGTCGTCACTGATCAATTTACTTGCGTACTCTGGGGACTTGCACAATATTCAACGCCTAATCGAGTATGTTCCACTGGACGGTCCTGATAGCTTTGGCGGAACTCCTTTAAGCAACGCAGCACGATCTGATGCCATGGGTACACCCAACGTAATGACATTTCTATTCAGCAGGAATGCGTCGACGGAGCTTCGAGACAAGTATGGCTATATGCCACTAATGCGCAGCTGCAACCTCGGAGACTCTGAGAAGGTCAGACTTCTCATCGAAGCCAAGGCTAACCAAGGCGACCGATCACGAGGGGGTTCGAATCTCCTCCACTTAGTTATGCAGAGCGGCAAGGCTAGCCGCTGCGCGGGTCTGCTGCTGCAACTGGTGCAGGAAAGCCGACTTGACCCCCTGAGTCAGGACGAGGATGGCTATGTTCCTTTGCATATGACGACGGGGCACGACTCCTGGACAAGCTTCGTTCTCAACGGAGATTTCGGTATAGAGGCACTTCCTCCCTTCCCGAGGGACTACTGGAACGCGAATGAGAAGAGACCTTGGCTCACAAACCAGTTCCATCTGTTCCGCCGTCGAATCCCAGCAGATCAGTTCGCGCAGTTGCTAGATGCCAATCCTCTCATGAAGTGGAGCCCTCTCTGCAAGATAGCTGCCATGGGGGATGTCCAAGCGGTGGAGAAAATGCTCGCAATGAAACCCGATCTCGATTTCGTGGGGTGTTCGGCGGGCAATGCTCTCATGGCTGCTTGCGAATCTGGGCGTCTGGAGACGGTCAAGATCCTCGTTCGCCATGGGGCCAGCCTGAACCTTTGCTATCGAGGGGACTGCTACTCAGCATTCGAGGCGGCGGCATCCTTCAAGGACATCGTTGAGTGGCTTCTGGTAGGAAGACACACGAGTCAGGGGCGCCTCACCGAAGGGCCTACTGGGCCAGATGGAGTCTCTTCGCTGGAGGCAAAGATTCGCCCGTGGAGCGGATTTAGATGCGAGAAGCTTGATCTGACGACTGATCTGCTCAGGAGGGATGATGCAGTCGCTCTGAAAGCCTATATCTCATGGCTTGTCAAGTGGAAGAGAGATATGAGAGGCAAGATCGCAGACCCGTCGTGGTTCATACCTCAGACAGTGGACGGTGAGGCACCGGCGACGAAACGAGGAAGACCCAGTAGACTTCGTGACAGAGAAGGACCCAGACGTTTCTGGAAACACGGGAACTTGGAGAAGGAGGATATTGGTTGGACGATGGAGTACTGCACCAAGAGTACTGCGTTGAGAGGATGAGCGCCGCATGGCTGCTGGCAGCAAGCGAAGGGTATGTATTCCGAAGGGTATGTATTCCGTGAATGGACAAAGCGCTTTGGAACAATCATCGAAAATGACTGATTAGATCAAAGCTGTTTATTCCAGGATGATTATTCTACGATATGGAGATGTCATTGATATTCAAGACTCGATTGCGGCATGCCGGACGAAGTCTTATGGGCGGTGACTGTACCCAGAGGTCTTGAGGACTTATCATCAGTTTTCAGACTCTGATTGACCAGGACACCGTCTTGGACCTGACACTGTGCCAAACCCATAGGTATTTCTTATCTCATGCGTTCTCGGGTTTGCTTGAAGACGGAACACATGAGGCATCTATCTGGTGGCTTTCAAGCTACTTCGATCACCAACAGGGTGCGTCTTCCAGCCAGTTGCGGCCGCCCCCTCTTGTCCATACATGTTGTTCGTCTTTCACCCGTCTTACTGGTGCCTGGACCCCCTCCCCTCCCTATTTCCCACGCACATACTGTCCAGTGCTGCATTACAATGCCCACGGATAAGGTTCCGCTTTGCGGATGAATGTAAAGATGTCTGAACGTGGTCTAAGGCCTAGGCACGCCAACATATATTGTCACATGAGCAATAGCCAAGCTCAACGGTAGTGATTAGGTGAGATGACGCCTCCTGGTATGGACAATGTCGCCATGTATCGATATAGACACTGCTCGCCCCTTGTGATACGTTGGGATGTAGCATTGTGGAATGCAAATACAGTCCCTTTCAAGCGAGTTATATAGGCTTAGATGAATCTCAGCAGCGTGGCTTGCTTCTTAGAGGGAGGAACGAACGAAAGAACGAATGAGACAACATCAACATAGATTCCAAAGCCCCATCGCCGTGGTGACAGGGAGGGATACTTGTCTGAATCGCATGTAGCCATACACACACAATATAATTCATATTGGCCTGGATGTATTCGCTTCCCCATTAAAACCCCTTCGGACCCTGAGGCGTCCATCAACAATCATCTGTCGTGCTACTGCAGTATCGTAAGACCCTACATTCGGGGGACTGGACCACCATGACGACACTCCATAGACGCATCTAGACACACTGAAACCAGATTGTGGGTTGAAAGAGACCCAAAAGCTTGAGACTTCCAAGAATAGAGCCTCTGAGACGTTCTCGACCGCCATGGCCCATGTCCATGGTGCGGTGTTGCAGGTCTCACGGGCGAGACTGGCCGCATTTATCAGCGTCGTCATATAGGCACAAGTCGCAGATGTGACTCTAATTCCTGGTTTCGACTACTGAAGCATCTGGCCGAGCCCCATGACTGGGAAGACAGGACCCTGAGCATGCCATATTGCTGGTTCGATGCGAGACTCGACCCGGATAAATCTGCCCGGGTAATGCTGCGGTCATGGCCCAGTCGCGCCTCTCTCCATCTATATATATTGGACTTATATGACTTCCGAGCCTTTATTCACATGTGCGATTCGGTCCCTTATCTATCGCTCCGAGGGGAGGGATGAGGGAGAGTACTATATATATGAAGGTGATCGACAATGACGATCGAGCTTGTTTCCATCAGCTCGGAACAGACAGCCAACGAACATCATCAGCAAACCACGACGAACATTCTTTGACCATCTCGATACATCTTACGTGTCTGATCTAGAAGGCAGCTTGATATATTTTCAATACCACCATCCGGTCTCTCACGACCTCCCAGCATACATCATGCTCCGCGCCGGCCTCGCAGCCCTCGCCCTCGTGGCAGCGGCCACCGCAGCCCCTATCACAGAGCCCACGAAGACACTGCAGGCGCGCCAGTTGACAATCGGAGACCCATCATCGCCATCTCCCACATTCATCATCCTGCCCCCAGTCGTGGGCGGCCTGAACCCGTCCACCAAACGAGCAACGAGCACACTGGCAGCCCGCCAGTTCACCTGGGGCGACCCGTCGACCTGGTTCGGGTCCGGCGACGAACAGCCCCCGACTCCCTCGCCCACATTCATCATCCTGCCCCCCGTCGTAGGCGGCCTGAACCCGTCGACCAAGCGGGCAACGAGCACACTGGAAGCGCGCCAGCTCACCATCGGCGTCCCATCGACCGGCCCTATTGTCCCGGATCAGCCCATCCCGGGTGGGTCTATTGTGCCAGACCCGGAGGTCCCCAGCGGTCCGGTCCAGATCAGCGATTAGAATAGAGGTTTACGATGAGAAGCATGGTGTCGCTCGGAGCTGGCAGGGTCACGCGATTAGGGGACGTGGTGGTCATTCATATGTATTTCAACAGTACTCTAGAGGATGAGCTGGTTAGGAGCAAAGTGATATTCAATTGTTATCAATGTATTGTTCAATGACCGATTGTGTTACCTATATTACTCATAGTATCTGCCATGTCCTCCTAAACTTGGGCAAGTCGTATAACAATACCACATAACCTGCAATTTCAATGGCGAATCAGTCCAGCATCGTTGTATCCTCGGGGTGTCTGAGGATAGGTACTGCCGTCCTACTGCGAGCCCGCTCAATGATGCTATGAGGTACTATGCCGTGGAAGAACGCTCTACACGAGCCCAGCATTGCTGGCCATGATCTAGCAAATACCAAGCAACAACGATCAAGCGATTCATCATCAATCGGGACGGACTGTCGACGACCGCAACCTTGACGTTCGTGACCGAGTCAAGCAGCAGTAGTACTGCCATATCCGCGGATCCGGAGCTATGGGTTGCATCTGATCCCAACGGACCTGGCCAGGCCGCCTTGACGCTGTTGCGCACAGGAAGGGGAGAGGCATGCATGAGAAGATCACCACGACGATCTCGCCATCTCGACCATTGCTCGACGCTCGCTACCTAGGTGAAGCTTGATAAGACTCGTACGAGGTCTCAGGGGACAGGAACACGCCAGCCACCTCCTCACCTCCACCAGCTGCTCGAGTCAGTCAGCACGGAACCGTAGAGAAACGGTGCCCACCTCCAAGCTCACCGCCGCGAACTTCCAGCGCGCCTATCGGGTATAGTAGCGAGCTTGCTTGCCCCTGATGACCAAAACGCTCACTTGGCAACGGAAGAGACGCCGCGGAGGGCCGGCCGCTGACGATGTACAAGTAGTCAATGAGGGGAACATAGTTCGCAACGGGAAGAGCCACGAGGCCTCACCTCGATAGTGCCGCGTGCGAAGGGACGACACTGCCCGCCGGCTCTCCGGGGAAGCTTTAGGCGCTGGTAGCTCGCCGGTTCGCAAACCTAAACCGCATCCTGGACGGCTGATCAGGCGCCGCCTTCTTGCATGGGTGACCGCTGTTGATTTTCTCGTCCCGTCCCCTACTATCAAGACCTATCGGTCACGCTTGGTGTGTAGCTCCGCGACTATAGAGGCAGCGTGCACGGAAGGGCTCTGCAGATGACGGAGGCCCGAAGCCATGCTCGCCGTGGAGCCCCTAGGAAGTCCAGACCATCCATAGTCAAAATAGTGCATTGGGCAATAGCGGCGGCTGGCGGATCTTCTCGTGCTAATGGGAAGCCGGTCGTGCGCCAGTCTGTGAGCCTCGTCGATGGGGGAACCTTGTGCGGTCCCCTATCGACACACCCTGCTTCCAGCTGTATCTGTACCACCGAAGAGGACGGGACGAGTCACGCCCAGCGCAGCTGAGCCTCACCCAATTACGAACCGGCTCGTCCAAAGTTGGACATCCGTCGTTTGGTTCAGGCTGGCTGGCGGGCTTGCGTGGCAGCAACGATGATATCGCAACGTGGCTCCGTGGGCCCTCAGCCTCAAACCATAACCATAATGTGCAGCTAACGACGTGACGGTCGGCAGATCGTATGGACGGCGCCCCTGCCGGTATCGTATAGGTCGGTCATCTTTTAGGAGGCTCCGCCCTATGCTCCAGAGATCAGGCGACAGGCATACGGGGTGAGCAAAACCTAGAAAGCTCAGCGGACTACCGCTCGGATGTCCATCCGGACCCTGAAGATCATCACACTGAGTATAGCTAGGGAAGTCAAAAGTGAAAAAGTCACGTTGTCTGGTGACCAGACAGACAAGTCTCATCCACGAAGCATGACAGGCAACCAATCTCGGGCGCCATGAGGCTATTCCCAGCCGTCGAGGCAACATCTGACGACTCTACTCAGCAGTAACTGACATCCACCTGGCCCCGTGCAGTAGGAATAGCCTTGAGTCATCCAATGAGCAGCAGGCTGCCACTGGTTCAAGCGCCGAGGCTGAGGCCTAGATGAGGCGACTTGCCACAATAAGGCCATCCGCGCAGTTCCTGGCGTCAATAGGTCGTTTGTGTCTTAACGTCAGTTAATCGGCAAGAGATACATGCCATGCGCGGCGTAACCATCCAACAGCCCCTGAAGTCCGACGAGCATGTCTTGACCGTTGGAAGGCTGGCAGTCGGCCCAGCTATCTCCACACGCAAGCCACACGCTATGGTTCGGAGCCCTATAGAAGCGCCCAGTTATAGTAGAAAAGGCTATTGGCAGATAGGGGACTCTCGACACCCACACTGCTTTCCACTTGCATGCAAGAGAGCGCAGCAAGGTTATGCGCCCAGGCCTGTAGGCGTTGCCGCTTAGATTGCACTGCTGCGACAGGATGCTGTATAACCGGGGACGGCTTACTACACTCCGTCATTGTCGTCTAGACCGAGAGTCAAAATTGGCCAGTAAGGTGGTATCGGCTCTCTGTCGAAGTTTGAACTCTGGGCATGGAAGAACTCTGTTCTGACTCAGCCAACACGGAGGCCACCACACTTGCGGCGATAGCATGAAAGCATGTATGGAAATTAGAGTGCCTGCGTCTAGTAGGCGAGGCGAGGGGATGCAAGGCAGTCATCAGGGTTCTACTACGCTGACTGCCTGAGCCGTCCTGCCGTAATAAGCTCCCGCGAAGATAAGACCGAGCATCAATGGCCCAAGTGCGCGGGAGGTAGTTGATCGATTGAAGATCAGCTCATTATGATGCCAAGAGCTGCCACCCAGCAACAGCACAGACTGCAAGCAGTGCTCCAGTGGCAGCGGGAAGATCCGTGGGATCATTGATCTGGTCTTGGATATGGTGGCATCGTACGTGCTGCCCACCAGGTAGACTCAGAAGCGGAAAGCATCGAGATGACACGCAGTCGATGAGGATCAGGTGCTTGATGATCATGACAGTGATGAGTCCTTGGTACGTAGGCAACCATGAGGTTCCCAGAGATCACGGATCGAGAGATGAACCAATCGCAGCCGGAGCTCTTGGTTTGAACGATAGATTTCCCTTATCGAGCACAACCACGTCACAACGGCGCTGCTGCACGTTCTCTCCCTCCCACGCCAATGGGCGCGTCCTCCCGGCCAGTGGTGACGGGGCGCAAGGCACCCACACACCACCATGTCGTTGGCGATGCCCTCACCCACCGGTAAGATGGGTGCTTCGCGCTGTGAATGGCCCAGGCCCTTGTCTCGGGATGTCTTGTCCTCCCCGTCGTGACTCTCGCACACCACCAAGGATGGTGAGCTAGGCACACTCAGAGGTAAGAAAAAAAGGCCGAATATCTCATCGTGACGAATAGCGCCGGGAGGCCAAGTTGCGAGTGGAGCCTTGGGCATGCTGCTGACAGAACAGAGACTGCGCTGCAGTGCGCCTCATGAGGTTGCAACACCCACACAGAATGGCCACCACTGCGAGCGTAACAAGCGTCTTGGGCGAATCTCACGATTCGACGTCCCGCGCATCGCATCTCGGCGGTGAGAATCAAGATGCGCCGGCGGAGCAAAGATCGCGGCCCCCAAGGGATCCATCTTGCCTGCCAGCCCGTTCTTCGCAGGGACCGCAGATCCGGCAGCCTAGTTCAGAAGAGCAAAGCGCCTGTCCTCCACGCGGACGGCGCCTTCACCGCCATGTGCCAGCCAACCCAATCACCACGCCGGGCAGGGTCCTTCGACGGCGGCCCAAAGTAGTGATGCGCATGGCAATAGCGGCACACCGAGTGCTGATTCGCCCGAGCGGCCGTGTGGCTGCCGATAGGGGTTGTGGGGAAAAGGGCAATTTTCCTCTTTTCCCTCTTCTTCCTTTTCCCTCATCCCACACACCACTGCGCCGGGAGCGCGCTAGACAGGGGATAATAGTAATGGTATTACGTGAAGGGTGATACCTGTGACCGAAAACGTCGGCTGCACTGCAACAGCGCAATGTCAAGGGAACGAATGATAATCTAGCTACCTACTGACGTCGTAGTGGCGAATATGCTGAATATGCCCGGCGTCCCGAGCTACTGCAAGCTTCTTCATGCATTGCGCCCAGCCGCGCAACCTGCGTTTCCATAGCTGGGGGGAGGCCCTTTGCGGTCCACGGTAATATCGTCAGTCTTCGTTACTACAGCAGTATCGAGACCTAGCTAGTACTGCGTCACATACAGTAGCACACCAACAAGCCGTTGTGCGCCCAAAAGGGCCACCGGCGCCCGGTACGGTAGGCAGCCCTTGAATTCTGTAGATTGATGTAAGCCCTACGCCGGCAAGTGTTCTAGCGAGGATAGCCTGCCGCCTTTTCGCAACCCGTGCCCGGCTTGTTGTTGTTAGTAGATATTAGTTCGAGGTTTCAAACAGATTGCCATGTGTCCTGCAAGGCACTAACTAGAGAAGGTGCCGTGCAGAGAGGAAAGCGGAAACTATTCACGATACCTTACCCGCTCTAGGGCAGCCACGGGCGGAAACACAATGCGACAGATCAGGTCCGATTAAGAATGCCCACAGAAGCCCAGAACATGAGGAGGAAGAGGGAAAAGAAGAGAGATGAGCAGGCCCAATGATACGGGCAAGTTGGCCGGTGTTGCATTGGACGGTCGAGGTCCTCGGACAGGTGGAGATTGAACGGAACGAAGAAGGTCCAACATGCAGGCAACTTAGCAGGCCCTGTCCTTGCCCTGCTTTGCACGTGCGTCCTGGGCTTGTCTGGGGCCTGGGCACTGCAAAAGTAAGGCGGGTGGCGTCGACCGGTGCTGGCCAATCAGCAGGACCGAGTCCCTTCGCCCTGCGTGCGTGTCACTGATGGTAGATCCTTCTGACGGCTTACATGGGCGAGTGGATATGGATAAGTGGTTGAGTGGTGAGGTTGAGGGGTGAGGGTAAGGGGTGAGGGTGAGGGTGAGTGACGAACCAGAGCATATGAGATGAGTGAGTGAACACGCATGTCGACCATGGTGAGTGGACGGAGGCTGGTCGGATGATGGAGATGAGTCTCTCATCTAGTGAACGAGATATCATCACTGACGAGGAGCAACAAGACCAATAGTGAGTGAGTGTGGTTGTATTTGGGGTGGACAAGACTCTTATGTTTGATATCTTCCCAAGCCCCAGGGGAGCCATCTCAGCTTTTGCTGGCGTCCACCATTGTAAAACGTATACTGTTGCGCCGACTCTCAGCGTCGAGCGCGGTAGGCTGGGCTATTGGCCCCTTCCGTCTTTGATCTAACCCGTACCCATCCAGAAGCCTTGTCCCGGAAGAATGTCCCAGGACGGCTCGTGTGTATCAAACATAACGTCCTCCAAACCGTCATGCCCGTAACAAGAAAATGTTGTGTGGTATCATCCAATCGAAAGTAACCAGTCCTCCTCTCTAAATGGAGACCGTCCGAAATGGCTTATTAAAAGCAAGGAGTATGACTCCCGTATTTGAAGGTATCCCGAGTTGTATGTCCTGCGCCGTGTAACAAATGATTTGGCCGGTCCTGTCCCGGCTGATATGGAATTGGCTCCACCGTCCCCAGGTCTTATGGATTGGTCCCATTGTCCTCGAACCTCCCGCCAACTCCACGCTGAATAAACAGACAAAAAAAGAAAATATGTTGCGGTTAAAGTAGGTACAGTCGAAGTGGTCGAAGTTCGAGCCTTTTTCCCGCGAGGGTTCGTGAACTTTTGCGACTCCAGTGTCGATTTTGGTTTCCGGAATTCCTCTTTTGGCGAGTCCAAGTGTATGTCCATTAGAAAAGTGATATGAGAAGTGTATTGTTGTGTCGTGGTCCCTTGGGTTGCTGGATCCTGTCCTGTGGCTTGCATCCATCCATGGGCTTGAATACCAAACGGACAAGTGCCCGGGGATGGTCTCATAGAGGCAACAGGCCCTCAAGGTGGAATGACTCTGGTATGAGGACATATACGCAAGAGCGAACCAGTCAAACTAGTAGCAGCCTTGGAAATTTGAGAAAAGGGGAACCTGTTGGTGATGAAAAGCAACCGGATGGTGTATTTGAGGCGACTGTGCGTAGCGGCTTACCACATCCCAGAAGTATGGGAAGGGAAACTTAGTCGGCGCACAAGTGCCCTGGGTAGGAGCCGGACCGGCACAGGGCTGGCAAGGTTGGCACCGTTCCGCCATGGGTCCAGTGTATTGGGGCACAAACTCCTGTGGAAACACTATCTTGGGCTCCTCTGGGTCATACACCTGCGGTTCATGAGAGGGCATCTCGTCGTCCTGAATGGCAAAGTCTTCATCGTCCAAATCATCAATCGTAGAAACACTCGAGGTCAAAGACCCATCATCCGACGAACAGGTGGACTCTCCGTCTGAATCCGACGAAGCGGGTGAGAGGGGAGCGTCGTAGCTCATGTCGTCAATAATGGCGTCTTCGCAATCAACGTATTCAAGGGGCTCCGGCAAGATTGGCGGAGTTGGCAATGCCTGAGCGGCCGGCATCACTGGCATCGTGAACCTGGGGCAAGCAAGGATGCTATTCCTCAGTTCCGGTAACGTAATTCTTTGCTCTGGGTTACGAGTGAAGATCCAACCCAGAACGTCGTTGAGTTCGTCGGACACTGGCAAAATAGTCCTCAAAAAGTCCGGGCTCCTGGTGAAAGCACGGTATGTGGAATCCTCGAACGAGGCCTGTCTCCACGGATTGCGGCCGCAGGTCAGGTTGACCAGTATCACACCAAGGCTCCAGACGTCATTGGGGGCGCAGTAGTAGTAGGGCCTCCGGGATTGAGGGTCCAAACACTCTGTGAGAATAAAAGAGAAGTGGTTAGCTTGCGTTCCGGTCTCAGTGTATGTGCGGGCGAATCGTACCTGGTGACATGTAGAATGTCGAGCCGCAGCCGTAGTCCTCGGATCGATCAGATGATGTGGCCAAGCCGAAGTCCGCCAGCTTCACTGTCTCTCCTCGGTTCGAAACCAGGATGTTCTCCGGCTTCAGGTCCCGGTGGTAGACTCCCAGTGTGTGGCAATGTTCAACGGCATCCAAGATTTGGAGGAAAACATTCTTGACCAAGTCATCCTTACCCACATATTGTCCACGTTCTGTGATATTGAGAAAGAGATCACCTTCCGGGCAGTATTCTAGGACAACATAAATGCAATCCGGGTCGTCCACAATCTTGTGCATGGACACAACGTTTGGGTGGGCCGAGGCGAGGTAGTGTAGGCGAAGTTCCCGGTGCTGGAAAGCAACTTGTCGTCGGTCCAAGGGCGTACCATCGGCGTTGTATTTGCACAACGTCTTGACCGCATACCGGATACCGGTGTCGACGTCGACCGCCAGATAGACCACTCCGTAGGCTCCGGTTCCAATGATCCCTATCAACTGCAGGCTCTCCCCCAGAAACTTTCCTAGCCTCTCCTCCGGGGCGACTGGTGTGTATCGCGGTTGACAGACGGTCGGGAAGGCGAAGGTCTGCTGTTGATACTTGGTGTTGTCGTATGGTGGCGACGCCGGCGGTGTGGGTAGCCCGTAAACTGACACATTATGCATGTTATGCGACGGATCACAGTCCTTCCGGGATCCTGGCTTTGGAGCTGACAAGAGACAAGGAAAGGAAGAAGAGGAAACGGCCTGTTCTACGGAGAACGGTATCCTCAACCAAAAGCAACAGTCCGGACAAATCCACGGAATCCCTCTAATTAGAGATATGTCCTTGGGTCGTGTATTAATGGCGTCGACTTGGAAGATCACAATGGCCTAGACAGGTGCCGTCGTTGGGTGGAAGATGGAGATGGATATGTCCAAGGGCGGGAGAGGGGGAGGGAGGACGTAGAGTCAACGGCGAGTAGTCATCGGATTTCCCTAGAACTGCAGAGTCGAAGTCGGATGTGGTGATGGTTCGGGTGTGGTGAGCGATGTGAGGTTTGGCCAACAGCAATAGCGACTGGGGAGACTATGTAGATATTGGAGATTGTGGATAGCCGTTCTGCGGACAGGGGTCTCACGGTCTTGCGTGTTTGAGTGGCTCATTCATCAGAAGGCCCCCGGCCGTCGACGTCTTGGCTTGGTCCACGGGCCAGCTCACGCACCCCAGTCTGAGATGCTAGTACTATTATGGTCCCACCGAGGGGGCCACACACACACACGCACGTACTGCGCTATTCTTGAAATTCGATGGCGCTAGTCAAAAGGGCGGCCTGGCATGGGCAGCACGGGCGGCATGGGCACGGAGCATGGGGTGGGACTTGCAGATGAGTCTGACGGTGGGACGATGGGAGTCCAGTGAGAGAACTTGAGAAGGGAAGGAATGGATCCAATGCTTCTAGGGGGCCCCGCTGTGAGAAAGCCAAAAGGATTTGGTGGGCAGCCTGTGAGCCGTCAGGGCTTGGACCGAAAGTTCTCGCAATATACGAGGGCAAGGATTGTCTGACACACCCCAAATAATGAGTGGTCCAGCCGGCTAGTCGAGGGTGTGTCTATGGTCCAGTACCAGTGCCACCCTTGTCCACCTAGGTACATAATAAGACCACCCCCTGAGCAAGAGTCACTCGACTGCGGAGAGAAGAGAAAGGGGGGCGTGCGTGTGATGAAGGTGTGGCTGCTGACCGCTCCACTTGCTCTCATCTTGTTGGTGAGCCTGGTGCGCCCACTTGTGACGGGGTTCGGGCAAATCGTCATAACCGACTGAGCCCGTGACTCGCATAGTTTTTCTTTTTTGCTTTCTTCCGCGGTCCGCCCTTGGGATGGATCATGGCATGGGTATGAGTATTCGGGCGGTTGGCCAACCCTGCCCCTGACCAACGAGAGAAACGGTTTCTTTCGTTTTCCTCTTATCAAACTTTTTGAAGCCACGCCGTGCAAAACTGTAAACAGAATCCTCACAGATATTGAAAATAGATGAGCCGGTTGTCATATTGCATGGGGGGCTGGCCCGAACTCTTTATTGCGCGGTCTGCGGCAGTCTCCTCCAGAGCCCAAAGCCGACCGGAGATCATCGTCTCTGGGATCACCCTCTGGCCCGTGCCATGTTGTGGTACGAATTCCCTGGGGCAGGCCCGGCACTTGACAATGCGACATTGTTGTTTGTGTGAAGATCCCAGTGAACCGCAAACGGAATGCATGAAGTCAGTCACCTGTCGGTAGGGCGATGATCGTCTTGACTCTTGAGACCATCCGGCGTCAGCACTCTGGCACTCTGATCGGGCTCCTCCGCCAGCCTCCTGTTGCAGGAGATGCTTCGTTGTTGGACGATGATCAATGCGCCATGGGAGGCAGCGGAGCCAGATGCTTGTCCAAGACTCGGCGGCTGCAAGATCGCCGTCTCCGTCTCGTCGCACTCTCTGACCAGTGACCACGCTGGTACGGCGCTGATGAGGATCTGCCCATCAATATATTGGACTGACGCTAGCTGGTTTGGGCGGCAGATCAGTGAATCACGGTGTTTGCGGAGGCAGAGGCGTGGATGCTGGACCGAAGGATTGCTGCGCCGTCACCAATAGCATGATCACCGTAACTGTGATGATGGTGCCCATAATAATAATAAACAAGACACACGCTGCTGTTTTTGTTGTCTAGCATTGTTTGTACCAATGATTGCACTCCCCGGCCACGGTGCAGGAATTCTTTCGACAGATGGCTGGCCCAGAGGTTTCCCACTGCAAACTACGAGTGGGCTGGGTTACGCAACGTGTGACACGATCTGCGAAAGGTGTGTCTCTGGTTTTGCCGCCACAGGACAGTCATTCGCAAGGAATGACTTGCCCCCAGGGCCAGCGGCAAATACACCATAGTGAGCAGGAACTTGTCAGCACTTTCCAGTCCATCACCACGCAGTCGGCAATGCCGCAATGGTCGTCCCCTTAATTGGAGATGTGTCCTCCAGATCAACAGTGTCGTCACGCCCGGCGTTGAGTACGAATACTCTGGTGGCGGATGAGATGACGCTGTGAGAGTGCTGCGACTGACGACTGACGACCGACCGACTGACCGAACCGCTGATCGATCATACAGAAAACCAATACTGCGCACAGCAATACTACAAAGCTGTAATAGGTAACAATGCTGCGACGCTGTGACGCTGACCAATGGCACCAGGTTTCCCGTCCCTCGCGTCCAGATGTCCACGACTCTTGTCGCTCCCATTCGCAGGCGGGAATCCCAGCTTCGAGGCTTGCAGAAGCGAGCCCTTATTATGGCTGAAGTGAGGGATTATCTCCGAAGTGGTGTGGGTGGGATTTGAGCATTTTACTTGATCTGTCGCCCGTGTTGCATGCAACAGCCTCACGCTGGGAGCCAGGATTGGCTCGACAGGCCGTGTCTTGCCGAGAAGTGAGGCTGTCTGCGCCAGGTGGTCCGCCAACCCATGGATTTGTGAAATGATGACTGCAGGCCTGTGCAGCGCATGGCTGACCGCCGTCCAATGGGCAGCCTTGGACCGTCTGGAGTCACATTTCACATATGGCCGTTGTATCCATGCAACCAGTATCTCTGGATTGAGGCAGCAACTACAGAATCCCTACGTGAAGGTAAATATAGTGAGTAGTATTGACGAGTGAAGGCGCTTGAGGGCCTGCGTTCACGAGGTCCCAGGGACCAGCAATCAAGCCGAATGAGACGAACGACGGGTCGAATTGTTTTGAAGTGAAACGACATGACCGGAATATTCTGAAGCCGCGTTATCCTGGTCGAGGGCGTCTGGATGGACGCACGGACATGGTGTGACGGTGACACTATTCCCTGCCCTGCCCTGCCACGCCTCACCTTGGCTCACCTTGTTGCTACCGGTATTATATTGATTGCCTGTCGTCATGTGAGACACAGTCGCAGAGAGCAAGAGACTGCAAGGAGCAACTAGTCGAAAGGGGGTATCGTCGTGGATTAATTAATACCCTTACGGCCTCTCAGTGTTCGCCATGTCTCATCATATCTACGAGCACACTTCCTCCCTGTGATTGATTACTCTCCGTCTCAAGATCATCGAGATGAACAGCTGGGAATGTACAAATATCAAGAATGCAAATTGCTCATGGAAACTCACCGCCATATCTCGACAGCCACACATCAGCATGGCTGACTTCTGTGTCCCCCAATACCACCCGAGCCACCCTCTTGATATGACCGTTGCAGAACATATCACTTGCCTCTTCCAGCCTGTTCTCACCGCAAGAACACCACTACTTACTATTGGCTCCCTACGGCGCGCATAATAAGCATTGCTCGCCAGAAGGGTAATATGTTGTCGATGCTTCGATATGTCGATGATGAGACCGCAGCGAGCCAATAGATTTACGCCTACTAGTAAACACCATCATGCATTCGATGCTGTTTGTGACATGTCCATCAAGACGCCAAACGGCAAAACGTCCGAGACAAAAGTCATGCCAGGAATATGCCTGCAAGACTCATGTCGTCCGCATGGCTCGTGAGTCGCAACTTGCAAGGGTACGGTGAGGCCACGGTGAGGCCACGGTGAGGCCAGTTTTAGTGCGAACCCGAGACAATGGGTTCGCGCCTCGGCTGGCGATGACGGTGCTTCTCAGACGCTTGTAAAACTGCTTGTTGTTGTTTGGCTTCGGCTTGCCTCCCTTGCCTTGTCAGCCTCAATCTGGAGTCATACAGATTCGCGCAACCCAAACGCCAAACCCCTACAAAGAGCGGACCGACGAATCGTCCGAATATATGACTCTGTTTACACCGCTGCACGTCTCAGTTATTAGTACACGAGAAGGGTCTCTCACGGCATCTGGTGGCAGGCAGGGTCCTCACCTGGGGTTTCGGATCACGAGGAAGCGCCTTGGTGCGCATTGTAACGAAACCAGGCAGTCCCAGGCAGTCCCAGGACCATGCAACACCCAACGATGAACCGTGGCGATCGACCGTGGAAGCCTTCCTTCCACTGCTGTGATTTGTTGAGCAGAGATTACTCCTGAAAGATCGCCAGCCGCTCATGGGTGATCCCCATCAACTGCTAGGGATATGGCTTTGGTGTGTTCCGGCCGATACCATCTGACAGCACATCCTTCTCCACCAGGATGCCGTGGCTGCCATGCTACGATGCGTCATGTGGTCCATGTTGTACACGTCGGCGCTCGTAATCACTAGTAGATGGTCGCCTCGGTAGGGATGGAGTCTGATAAACACAATTAAACACATGTACTGTGTTGTATTGTGTTATATTGTACTTTTCAATATTAACACGTGTGATTCCTGGTAGTGACGTAGTGGAAGGTACCTGGTAGTACTACGGACTACTACAGATTTCGCTCAGAAATTGTCCGCCGCCCAGGGTTGACCCCTAGGGATGGCTATATGTGGGTTACCGGGGCTTTAGAGGTCGTTCCGGAGGTTATTCCGGCCGAATAACACAACACGATACAACACGTGTTGTATGCTTGTGTTGTACTTTTGGATAGAACACGGTGTTTTTCCATCCCTACGCTTCGGCCCTCTAACTGAGCCCTATGACACATAATGCTAGCGAAGATGTGGTCTAGCCCGTCCATCTTCAAGGGTGCTGTGCAATTGGAACCGCTTTGTCGGAAACGGTCCGTCGTTTGACGTTGATCCTTCTGGCGTCGTTTTCATCACCACACCTGCCCCTCCTGTTCTCCGGAGACGATCGCCCAGATTGACGAGTAGACGGTCTTCCGTACGACCGATCATATCGACGTTAAATCTAGCCAGATCTCAGCTACAACGGCCTCGTCGTGGTAGCTCGACACTATTCTCGAGCTGGCCCTTTCAACTCTGTCGTATCTTGAAGACCGGTGTATCCACAAACCCGGCACATCGCCTCCACGGCGTAGATGCTCCTCGAGCCAGTGCATTCGAGGCATGCGCCATTGAGAAACGCGGTAGGGAAGGATTCGCTTCGGTATCAGCGCTCACCACGTGTGGCTCAGCTGTACTACACACTACACAGTCTACCGAAGCAAGCCTTCTGGGCCAAGTGTTTTTCTAATGGCATGTCGTGCCGCAATATGGGAGTTGATATCACACATATTAGCGCTTCGTCAGCGTCGGCATATCTGATGAGACCTATGAGCAGAAGCGCAGGCAACCACCAGCCCCAAACTTGTAATGCAGGGTCCTACGTAGCTACGTACTGATCACGATCGCGGGGGTCATCTGCAAAGCCTCTCTCACAGCGAAGGCCGTGATACGTCAAGAGCTCATAAACACACGGGCGACGAGATGGCATGCTGACCGCAGATCGGACGACAAAGTTGTGGCACACACACAGTCGGCAATCAAACACGGGCGTCGCATGACGTTGATCCCTCAGAATAGACCTACCATCGATGTAGAACTTCCCACTACCGATTCGACGGGATCTGCTCTACGATGTGACGATCGTGTTGCGTTGTAAAACCGCCAATCTATGAGCCGTGGCTTTGGCGACCTCCCATTGAAGCGATACTCATCATCTTTCGGGTTGATGAGTCGCCCATCTGCTAAGCTGTTGGTTTCAGCCTTCAATACCTACGTTTGCACTTCCTTTCCGAAGCCAGGAAGGGCCAGGCGAGCGCGTACAAGGCTACTATTCTCGTCTCGATAACTACCTACATCAATCTACACAAGGTGACGTCCAATTACAAGCGCATATGGATACCCAGAATATGCAGCCAACCACCCGAGCGCTACTTATGGCATGCAGGACCTGGCCTTCAGGCCCTCCGCCAGCCAGCCAGCCGGCGCGAGATCTGACCTCTTACTCCGCGGCTGCCTGCGCAGGCCATCGGGTCCAGCTACCTATCCTTCGCTCAGCTCATCAGTGGCGGGGACAGGAAGGTTGGCTGGCGCACGGCTAGCCGCCAACTGCCGTTCAACGTCCACGTCCGCGTCCCTATCCCCACAGACAGCAGGCCGTAGCCAGCCAGCCAGCCAGCCAGCCAGCCAGCAATGTCGCTTGGCGGATCAGGCTACCACCTGGCTAGGAGGAAGGCGACGACTCAGCTCAAGCCTCAAGCCTCACTGCTTGCGTGTCTCTCAACCGCGCCTCTTACATGTGAGTGCGTGTCTCTCCTGCTCAGGGCGCCGATAAGGCCGAGACCTTCATCCGCTTGTCCACTGGTGATGGATGGGCTTGGTCAAACGCCTACCCGCCCAGACTTACTAATCATGGGTTCATATTTTCGGGCAAGTGCTCTAGGAGTCTGAAACAAGGCGCTCGCCGTACATCATCCGTACGCCCAGCGCGAGGAAACGTGGGACGGGACAGGGCAGCACAGGGGAGAGATCATATCGACGACGGGTGCTGTCGTTGGTGGTGACTGGCTGGGTAATAAGTATGGACTGACGCCTTTTGGTACAACTCACTCCCGCCGCCTTGCTTAACCTTACATGGCTCTATTGGATTTCGATTTAGATTCCCGTGGTTGTGGCTGTGGTTGTCTGTGCCGTTGTCGTCGTTGTTTGCGCGGTCAGTAGCCGGGGGCTGGCTGTGCTGCGCTGCGACAATTGGGTCGTCGTGCTTGTGTGGCACTGCAGGCAACCAACCTCATTCCCTGCGTCCATTGGTATTCCTGGACGATCGATGCTTCATCCGATTTGCGAGCATGAACCCGTCCTACGACAGGCCATGTTGTTTGTTGCCTCTCCCTGCCGAGCGACCCTCGAACTGCCCGGTCGAGGGTGATAGACCAGACACACATATACATGAACATCGCGAAATAGACACTTAATAGATCTACGTCCCTGCTGAACTCAACACGTCAAGTAATGGGAGACTATCTTGAAACCGCCTTGCGGAAAGCACAGCACTGCACAGACTTCTGAATCCGGTTCCACAGCCGTTCCGGGCGAATACATGTCTTCCTGTGCCTTCCCGCGTGGTGTCCTACATCTTGTCTAGGCCCCCTATGTCTTGGCCTGGTGCCGCGCGATCCCGCGTCACCAATGTGCCCAGCCGTCTGCACTAGACCGAGCTCGGGTGGTGCTGTATCGCCTCCAGGAGCCGCCAGGCATCTCGTCGATGAATGGGACTTACATGTCAGCCTTGTCTCATCGCACAAGCAGGTCGCGGCGTCGTTTGGCGTTGTGTACGGCAATGGTTTACTTGATTTACCTGGTCTTACGAACCAATCAAGGGCCCTGCGTTGGATCCTCCTCCTGCTTCCTTCCTTCGGCTACGAGACAGCAGCGGCGGGACAGGCAGACAGATAGACAGCCATGAGATCTCAAAAGGGTGTGTACTTGGAATAGTGACAGGTCGCCTACGGTATCTGCGGGTTCTATTTCTGCAAGGAAGCGAAACTTTTCCCCTAGGGTCGAAATGGTAGTCGGGGACAGGGTCAAAGTGGAATAGTTTAGCAGTGAATATCATATCATGCGCTACGAAATCCTTCTCTACGCCGCATCTATTCCCTGGGAGCGAGTCAGAAGATAAGACTTTGCGGCACGAAATGCAGGCGTTGACCCATTTGGGCGGTGGTGTCTGCTGATGGTGGTGGTCAGAAATAACCCTCTCCCACTGCCAAAATAGGAGAAGGATTGAGAGTGCCTTCCACATCTGACACCGGCACCTATGTCGTGTACAAGCCCCCTCGTCTGTAACTCCACTGCCCGTTACCGACCTGCAGGTAATAATAGTCCAGATGCCTGCAGCTGAATTCCATCCCCGGATTCTCAGGAATCGCCGAGACGGCGCGGACAAGCAGTCATGCGTTCAGGAATCCGCTGAGCTCCGCAGCGCAGGATGCGATACCATCGCGGAGCTCTCTATCGTTGACGGAACATTGCCACGGCTATGGGTTTCCAAATGGGTCTCTACGATAGGCCCTGGTCTATTGACTGTAGGCAACGAACGTTCCTCTTGGCTAACCAGACTCCAGTGAACGGGATGGCCGGGTTATTGATCCTCGCGGTGAGCACGATGTGGAGGATGCCGTGGCAGCTGACTATTGAGCCTTCTGCATCCATCCAAGATCCATCTCACCACTCCGGAGCCGAGGAAATGGGGTATGTTCGTACTTATACCTAGCTGAAGGCATAGGTGGAGCAGGCGTAGACGGACCCGAGGTTGGAGTTTTGAGTTATTCCTAGTGTACTGCCACGGGAGGATTGCCACTTTATTGGGATACCCCAGGCATCTGGAACGGCGTCCTGATGGCTGCTCCTCTATCAACATCGGTGTTTCCGACTAATAAGCCTGTAGGCTGTAACTGTGGTGTTTGTACATTGGCCCAGTACGGTTCTTCGCCGCGTTATGAACTGAAAGGGGGTGTTGCTTCCCAATTTTAGGCTTAGGCAAGATCATATGCTTGTCATGAAGATAGAGAACACGTATCGAGCGTAGGTTGTCAGGACCCTTGTCACACTCCCATGGGATAACATACGGAGTGCCACAGGCCGCGGCATATCCCAAGAGTCATTCACCCAGTGTGACGGTAAGCCCCTCAGGTGATGTCCGCATAGTTTGACGGATGAGCTTGCGATCGTGTAGAAACATTACTCAGCGACGCAAGCTACCGGAGGAAGCAACACAGCCGTAAGAGCACGCAAGAACTTCTGCCCGGCCAACAAAGGGACGTGGAATCCCAGGTAATTGTCTGAAAGAGGGCGCACAGGCGAGCAGAGGAAGTATTCGACGATCCAGAAGCAGTGAACGTTACGCATCCAAAACAAGCAACACGAACCCTTCCACAGAAGAATTGGTGAAAAGGGGCACTGTACGACCCATTGCTAGTACATAGGCAACTCCGCCTATCTCACCAAAAAGGCAGCATCACCAAATACGTACAACTCACGCCCACAATCTGCAGTGGAGTTTCCACAAGGCGTCACAAGCACCAGATGGGGGCGGCCCTCATGTCGCGAGCGGGAAGGAAAATGTAACATACAGCACGACCAAACCACCCGTGGCTCGCAAACCGGCACGACCTGGCATGTGTACTTAGTCAGTCATTCAATCACTCAATCAATCACCCATCTGCTGCAACACCAGTACGAAGCGAGCCCAAGACACGGTGTCAGGTTCCTCCGATACGGCTGCTACATACAACCTGACCACCGCTGCGCCCAGTGGGACCCCGATCGTGAGACGTCGACGTCCCTCCCGTAAGTCGCGCAATGGAAATAGAGCAGCCAACAAGATGGACGGACGTAACGAAGGAGGCGTCTACGATAGGGGCGCAGCAGTCAAACAACAAGGCGTGGGGCGAGGCGTGGACAAGCGAAGGGATCGCGTTGGCTTCCTTCCCGTACCATGATAGTGCTCCTGGCCATGATTAGGACTGCTGTTGGGCGAGCTGCTTCGAAGGACCCGAGCAGGCTATGGAGCGCAAGGGACCAAGAGAACGCACAGCATTCCAGGCAGAAGTTCCTCGTCTAAATTAGCCAGGTCCTATTTGTGAAGTCCCGCGATAACTTGACCTTGGGTAAGGAGGTTCCTGACTCCATGAGGACTTTCCAGGAGCTCCGCTGTCCGACTCCCAATCCTCGAACGCTCACTCGAGACATGCTAAGCCTGAATGTGGATGCAGTTGAGGGCTACGCTTTGTCATAGTCATGGCACATATAGAGACCTCTTGGGATGAAGCTGCCGAACATGTTCATTGCCTGCCTCACATACCATCTATGCAACGCCGTGGCTGTGAAGCTAGCTTATTTGAATGAGAAAGCTAATGAATGTAGTGTATCTCCATGGACGAGTATTGAAACGGCTGATTCTCAAACCCATTGAAGTTATAGACGCACCTAATCGAGCAGGAAGGCGGACTGGGCCATCTTTTTCTGGGGACCGCCACAGCCAATGCCATTGCACTATTCCAACTCAACCACGCAAGTAATCTAATACTGTCCATGGCCATCTGCAAGGGATTCGTCCATTCAACGACCCTGTCGCTGTGCATCCAGATCACTCCCCATGTCCACGCAGTCCTCTCGGGAGACCCCCGTGGCTCTATCTCAGGGATCCGGTCATTTTAGCCGAGAAGAAGGGGTGCTTCAAAGCCTCTGACGGTGTGATCCTCTTGTCGGGGTTGAGCGTTAGACAGCGTTCCAGGAGGTCGACGAAGTGGTTTAGATCCCTAGACTCCACGTCGTTCATCCCTCCGGATGCAGCCAGGAGGCGTGTACGTAGGTCGCGGGTCGGCTTGACTATGGCCAAGGTTCGGACTGTGGTCTGCACGACTGTCAGTCATGAGGTTCATTCGCAATTGAAAACATAAATAACTGTCGATGGCGCAGGAAGGTGTTGGGTTGGTGGTATACCAATCAGAGGAGCAGCAGGAGCATGAGGATGAGGGCGTCGGTCGGCGGCGTTAGGTCCATGTCGCCAGTCAGACTGGAGCAGCCCAACTTGCATCCATAATCCAGGATGGGTCAGTATGCGAGATGACCAGGATGCAGAACCTGGGAATAAGATCCAGAGCTGAAGAACCAACCCACGGATTGACCGACCGAGCACGTTTCACGTGTTGGTAGCATAATCCGAACCGCAATCCGCCTACGTGGCGTGTGTGCAGCACCGCCTCGGCGGTTGGGGTCATGCGCCCAAAGGAAGATGGAAACAAATGTGACATAAATAGAAACCACCGGGGTATCTCAAGCAGCAAGAGAGGGAAAATTGCCAATAACGTACCTTTCCAAGCGTCTTATCTTGTTCGACGCTGATGAAGTTGCCAACTTCATCGAAGTGCATCTGTGACAACTCACCACGCTTGTACAACTTGGTGCTGAATTTGCCGCGAATCTCCATGATTGTCTTGAGCATCTGGTTGTTGCTGTTACCCGTAAATAGAATCTTGCCGGTGTACAGTTCGTATAGCGTGCAGCCAATGGACCACATATCGACGGCGTAGTCATATGGCATCCCTAGGATGATTTCCGGTGCTCGGTAGAATCGACTAATCAGGTAAGGGGTGATTTCGTTGTGTGCAGTTGCGGCATCTGATCTATCAATGGCTGTGCCCAAGTCACAGAGCTTGAGGATGTTGCGGCTTTCGTTGACCTAAAACCCAGTCAGTGCAAGTCCCTTGATCTGTTAGAGCACGTGAGCTTACCAGAATGTTGTCCGGTTTCAGATCGGCGTGAATAATACTGCATTTCTGCATGTGAGCTAGCGCAACGAATATCTGGTGTGCGTAGGCTCTTGTTGCGCTCAAGTTGATGCCAATGTTGTTGCCGAATTTCTTCAGGACCTCTCTCAGATTCAGGCTGAGATTCTCGAACGCCAGACAGAGGTGACCCTTGTGTTCAAAGTACCGCTCGAACTTGACAATGTGCTTACGACTCTCAGGGTCCGCGTCGTTGAGTTTTTGCAGAATTGCAATCTCGGTAAACCCACCCTTCCTGAGGGCATCGTTATTTCGCATCATTTTGATGGCGACGAGCTTCTTGTTAGTGATGTCGACAGCTCGGGCAACTCCCGAGAACATGCCCTTACCCAACATCGACTGGACCTGATACCGCCCGTTCATGATCTCGCCGATTCGGATCTTGTAGTATCCGTCTTTATCGTCACCCTCGAGGATACCACCGCCACTGGGATGAGCTACAGTGGAAGGAATCTTGCGATCCTCTGCAGTGGTGTCGAGTTGAGTGGACTTAGGAGCAGTAAACTTCTCTTCGTCGAAATCTTCGGCAAACATATCGAAGTCTTCATCTTCATCATCATCTGCCTTTGGGGTCTCTGAGGGTTGTGCCTCTTCTGTCGGGGCAATTTCAGCCTTCTGGTCAGAGGGTAGTACTTCCCCATGCGGGCCAACATGACCATTTCGAAGGCCATCTCTCAGCTCATCCTCTCTCATATCGGCGGTGGGATCGTAATCTGCCGCGGACGGCCCATCGTCGTCAACATCCCTGGATTCCCCGTGAGTATTGATAAGATCCTGATCATCAGAGATAGCTATCACAGCAGGTGACATGCCCTCCTGCAACACATGTGCTGGAGAACGTGGCGATGAAGCGACTGTTTTGGAAAACCAGAAAGTTAGTAATCGAATCAGCATATCAGAGGCTCGAGTACTACTTACCAGACATTGGGGTGTTTCCTTCGGTAACTCCTGGCGTACTCGCTCGCGTATGAGCAGGGGAAGACCCGCTGATTTTCTCCGAAGCCTGTAGAGCTTGGACAAGCATGGGCGTGGCGCCTCGCGTCTTGGCAAGGAGCTCTTCACGACGGCGTCGGCGACGCTCGATCTCGGCATCCTCATCGATGGGCTTCTCCTCTTCATACTCCTTTTCCGACTCCAAGGCTTGTGTATATGCTTTGACGGAGATACTTTTGTCCCGTTGCCCATTAGCAAGTTTAGTGTCATCTTTGGCAGTACCTGAAGTCTTCGCCGAAACATTCCCTCTATGATCTAGGGGTCGATCTTGCACATGGTGTGGCCTTTCTTGATATCCGGATCTGGCACTTGCAGTACCATTGCGATCTGGCCCCCGCCGATGTCGGACATCATCATGTCTTGATTGAACGTCTCGGTCTCTTCCACCCCGTGACGAACGATGTGGGGAGCGGGGGCGGTTTCGAGGTCTCTTCTCAGGATATTGATCTTGTTCTCGGTCTCGGTCGCGATCGCGGTCGCGTTCTCGGCTCCGATCTCTGGCTCTGCTGCGGCCTTGGCCTCCATCTGCGTCATCGTAGTGAAGGGCTGTAGCTGATGAACGACTAGGGGGTTGATCTTCATCATATGACAATCGGGAACGGCGGTAGCTGTCGCGGGGGTCTTCGTAGTGGACACGGAACTGTCTAGGGTCGGCTTCTATGCGAGCTCCCCGGCGGGAATCGCGATCATCACGAGGTCGCTTGTGACCGCGGGGCGAGCGGCTTCGTCGGGAGTGGCCATTGTGTTGTCTCGAGCCGCTCCCATACTCTGGCGATCTTGATCGTGAATATTGAGCTCGAGGTCTGTCCATACGGTCAACACCAGATCTATCAGACTGAGGCAGTGCAGTTGCCTTCGGGTCTCTCATGCCGTTCTCCACAATCTCGCCTTCGTCAGAACTGGCAGGTGTAGCCATCTTGCTCACTTTGTATTCAAAAAGACACGAAAGTGCAATTCACTTCCGGCCTTTGGGATGGAAAAAGGGAGTGTCAGCTTGGAGAACTTCAGCACGCGGAGGCGCAAAATTGGGTCGAACCGGGAAGTGTAATCTGAACTCTGTCGCATCACCGCGCGGCGAGGGGGTAAGTGTCTTGGAGAATAATGGCGGGTTCAGAAGGCACCTGAGGTGTCTGTCGGTCTTCGAGTGCTAGGAGTAGACACAGAGGCAATACATGCAGATCCCGTCGAGGTACCGAGCTCGGGTTCACGCGAGGGTAGCAGCTGGAGGTGATCAAACGACGAAAGGATTCACGGTCGCGATTCAGCCAGGAGGCTATGACCTAATGAACTTTTCGAGTCGCTGATGCCCGCTCATTGGCTTCAGCCATAAGGTGTCTACAGAGTGGAGGTACCTTAGTTCAACGGCCCACAACGGACATACGATCATCCGTGCACCACCACCGTTCCATCGATAAGCCTTATCGCGACGGTTGACGCTAATCGGTTTAAGCACTTGACCCCTCGGATCCATCATGGGCTGCCTGGGGTGCCCCGCGGTCGCGTAGTGGAAATCTGCGACGCCAACCAACCGACAATTCCAGACTCGAGATCTCCCTTTTCTTCGCCACCGATCTCTTTCAACCACCAGCAAAACCAGACAACTACCACTCTGGCAGCTGTCTACAGCCAAGCCAGTTCAGGTCAACATCAGCGAACCGACAACTCAAAATGGGTGGCCAGAGCAGAGAAGGTGCGTACCAAGAGCCTTACGCATACTCCGCTGTAGTCTAGGTACGTAAGCAGTAAGCAGCAACTAACGCCTCGAAACCAGGCGGCAAAGCCAAGCCCCTGAAGGCCGCGAAGAGGGGCCCGAAGGAGGAGCTGGACGAGGAAGACAAGGCCTTCATGGAGAAGAAGCGAGCCGGTACGACTTCCCACCCACGCGCAACGGCAGCAAACCGCCAGCCCATGACTGACATGCATGCGTTGCAGACGAGAAGGCACGCGCCGAGATGGCCAAGAAGGCTGGTGGCAAGGGCCCGCTGGGCAGCGGTGGGGGTATCAAGAAGAGTGGCAAGAAATAGAGAGTTGCCCGACACCAGGAACGAACGAGGACACAACGTCGGGCGAATACGGCCTTGCGCATAGGGAGCTTTAGGGCGCTGGAGGACAAGACATTTTCTGTCGTGGGTTGATTTCATGGGGTACTTTCACGATAGCAATCAAGATCGTTGATCTGGGCACCTTCTTCGGTCATTAGATTGCGCGTAGACTCGCCATCATCTGTTGCACTGCCGACTGCTGGACTTGTCTTGTTCAAGGCCTGCACAGGAAGACAATGGGGGTGAGTCCCTCATGCTTCACCATACGGGCTACTTCCTGCGCCATGCTATCATTTTAGCTCTTGTCTGTATTCTTGCGCTGGATATACACCATTATTCAAGTTGATGTCGACGGTGCGGGAAAGGAGATCCTCGACTAGTATCTTGATGTGTCGTACATCCCGACGTGACGCAGGCAAACTCTTCCTGTTAAAGCGTGTGGGTGGGATATTCAACGCTATGAGAGACGTACCACAGTCTTGCCCCTTAGATCCTATGGACATTCTAGTGCAATAAATACGCCGTAGTGGAGGATGGGTCTCAGCACCACTTGCCACTACCAGTATCTTGAGTACTCCAGGCATCCTAACCCTCATATTGATCGACCCATAGGGATTCCTTTATACATTGGCCAGTCCATACCTCCTGATAGCGTAAGATTGTATCCTTGAGTCTGTCCTTGTCTCCCCCACTACTCAGCAACCACATCCAGCTCCTCGTAGTAACGATAGAGACCATTTGCATACTTCAGTCGTCTGTCGCTGGCCATGTATTCTGCAATTCTCGGCCGAGCCTTGACAGCCTCGTAAAGCTGGAACACGCGGGTGTACCTGCCAGATTCCTTCGCTGCCTTCATAGCCTTACGGAACATGTATTCGAGACCGTGGATGGACTGTTGCAGGTTAGTCTTGTACGAACAACACCCTCACAGGCTACCCATCGCCTTCCAAATGTCTGGTGAGTTCCAAGGTGCCGGTGTGAAACTGGCTTATCGACTATCTCTTTCTGTGAAATAGGAGGTGGTCCCCACATATGACAACTGAAAACTGAGAGCTTGGACAGGCAAAAGAAAGCAGAGGAACACACCTGGAACAACACCAAGTCCGCCCAAGTCAACACGCCCCCATACAGCCAAGGTCCCTCGCCACTAGCCTCGCCGGCGAGTACCTTCTCGAAATACCCCAGGTACTTGGGCAGTCGGTTCTTGACCCAGTTCTTGGAGGCCCGGACGCTCTCGTCCCGCTGCTCCTCGTAGTAGAAGTCTGTGGCGATGGGGTGGTGGCAGTTGTGCACCTCGGTGCCGAAGCCATCATGGGCGGTCATGGCCAGTGCATTGATCTTGTAGGCGTCATTTTCTCGGCTGGGCGTCGATGACGCGGCCGCGAGCCCGAGCCTGGGCCCCAGGTACATCAGGATGTTGCATGTCTGCGAGATGACCAGTTCGCCGTGCTTGAGGATTGGGGAGGCGAAAGGGGGAGGGTTGGATGCGTCCCCCGCGTTTTCGTCGCTCGTGTAGGCTGCTAAGGTGTCCATGCAGCTTTCGGTGAAGGCTGTGTCTGTGTAGGGCACGCCGGCCTCTATGAAAGCGAGGCGAATGTATTCTCCCCTTCCCGGGATCCCGGGTACGTAGATGAATTCGTAAGGGGCCTCCTGGGTAGAGCCGGCTGAAGACATGGCGATCGTAAACACACCTTCGTTGTTTGCTAGGAAAGTCCCCTGGCGTCGACAGCATTAGGTTAGCATTCTCGAAGATATATCGTTGTCAGCCTCTGGAAATGGAGAGGGGTAGTCATCGTTACACTGCTTGCGGCTGACCGCTCATGAACACAAATCATCCATCCTCGCAGCCTCGAAGCTGACTCCTTCCTTGCCTGAGTATCGGGCGGGGTAAATGTTTGCCCAGTCTCCTTCGCAAGGGAGACTTCATTTAGCAGTAACATGCGTTGCGTCCTGTCGCCTACTCAATACCTCGTGTAGACCAAAAAGCACAATGATTCCAGGGGTAATTTGGAGTAGACCCCGAGATCACCGTTGGAAATCCCACCTCACCTCCCCACGGGGCCGTGGAGTGGGAGAAAACCACACCCACTGAAGCTCATGGGGGCTTCAGCGCACTGCAGTTACTCCGTGACGCGAGGCCCTCACTGGGCTTCATACCGGCAATGAGGTATTGATTTGCACAGGTGTGTCGCGGAGTCCTATGTATTCTACCTAAGGTAGCATTCACGTCAGCTAGCATTCGTTCACCATCTGCCTTGGTATATCATCGATGTTCCTCATCATCCGCGCGTTGGCAAAAGGGGTATATCTCAAGAAGTTTCATTTCGAAGATGGTAAGAACTTCTCTCGGGACACTCATAGGTGCTGCGATGACCAGCTGACAGAAAATAGCTGTGATATTTCCGGCATTTGTACGACATACCCTATATGCACCCACCACAATGTCATCCGTTTAGTTATTGACGTGGCCGTATTAGGCGACTTATCTCGCGTTCTGTGTGTACATCTACCGGATAACAGCCACGACAGGCTTCTTTGTCCATCAGTGGGATATTCGAGTCGGGGATCTGGCCAAGTTCTACCACGCCAGTCTCCCTCATTAGTTGCAAATCAACGGCCCAAATAACTATGCTCAGAACTTCTTCTTCGTGACCATTTTCTATCTTGCCACCATGATCTCCTTAAAGGCGGCCATCCTGTTGGAGTGGGTGCGACTCTTCGTGCCGGGAAAGAACCGCAATGTGTTCTACTTGACTTGCTATACCGTGGCAGCACTCAATACGATATACTATACGATCAACATCATCGTGGAGAACGTTTCATGTACGCCAAAGGCGTATTGGTGGGATAAGACTCTGACGGGCCACTGTCTAGATGGTACCCTTTTGGCTCTGACCTCAGCTACCTTCAACCTCGTTTTCGACATCATCATCTTGATCCTTCCGCAAAAGGTCATCTGGCGGTTCAACATGTCCACCACCCGAAGACTTGGCGTCTCCCTTGTCTTCATTATCGGTCTCCTGTAACGTACCATTTGCACAGTTAACATACTTCCGCTGATACGTAACAAACAGGGCCATCGCCCTAGCAGCTGTCCGACTAGCCGCCGCTGTGGCATACATCCAAGGAACAGACTTCACCTACAATCTCGCCCCGCAAGCACTGCTTCAGGCAGCTGAGATGACTGCCGGTATCCTGGTCTTCACCATACCAGCCACGCCCAAGCCTCTGGCTTGCGTCGCGCACCAGGCCACGTCTTCTTTGGAAAAACTCATGGGATCCAGAGGCAGTGGTGGTAGCACGCGTTTCATCACGAGCCGCAAGAAGTCGAAGACGAGCTTTGAACAACCGATTGAGGAACAAGGTCTGGTGAAACTTGCGAGGCTCAAGTCTGCAAAAAGCAGAGACTCTGTCGGAGTCAAACCGCAGCACGGACGCGATGCTGATGCCGAAGCGGCGATCACCCGCACGACGCATTTCAAGGCATCTCAGGTCTTCGTCAAAGACAATCGGACGGAAGGCTTTGATAAACAGCATCCATGGAACAATAAGCCCAACTAGTTTCACGGAAATGAGGCGAGAGAGATTTGTGCGGTGGACGGCACATACGCAATACGATTCTGGGAAGACATGCGGGCCGGCAAGCAAGTGGAACAGGCAATCTCTTGTGCATGAGTATAAGTTGACTGTATGTATTCAGAACGAGAAAAACAGCGGTCGATAGAACGACCCATTGTTCTCTGCCCTGTGGCTTTCTTCCAGAGCAAGTGTGCACCCGGAAATGCGTACGTATTGACCGTTCGGGAGGGGCGCGTGGCCCATTTTAAGGGGCCCGTACCCCTATTTCGAAATGCCAGTGAACTTCAGGGCCTGTACTGCGCCAACTCTTTTCGCTGACCTCATCTGAATCGAAACTGACGGTAGTGTATACGGACGCATAGACACTGCTTCACCCGCTGTTCCCTAACTTCTTCCTTAACGCGATTGCGGATAGCTTAGGAGGGAGGAAAGATATACGACCGCACTCGGCCGTTGATCTCAGCTGGAGGCTTTGTCAATGCAACCCAGAAAGCAGTCCTAGCACCTGCAAGGACCATTTGAGGGTGGACCTCGGCATCTCTACGACGATGGGCGGTCTCAAGCGGCAGTGCTGGCATGCAGGACTACATCCAAGCGAGCGGCTCGGGACTCTCCCCATGCGCCATATCTGTAGGTACTCCAACGCAAGTAGCTTGATTGGATCTCGCAAACGAAGTGTGTGACGACACCCAGTTTTTCATTGGAGCTCTCATGCAAGGTGTATAAAGACACCAGTTCTCATTCCCTCTATCAACAGCATTGCATGCGTTCGACTGCTCTGCCACCATGGCTTTCATCGTTTAATGGGTGGGTGATGTCGGACTAAGTGCAATACTACAGTCAGCCCCGGATATGTATGTGACGCGAAGAAACCTGTTTTAATGCTCATCTTTGCCGATACTCCCTTATCAGATGCACGTGAACTACGCACGCGACGACCAGTGCCCCCTCGCCTACCTTGCCAAGATGCACGAACACCATCGATACCTCACAGTTACCCCATCCAGTAGCGAGACTGATTCCAACTACACGCCATGTTGCGCCATGCTACGACACAGCCTGACTATCTGTCCGTCTGCCATCGGATAGGAGGAACGGTCGAGATCATCCGAGAGTAACTCCATTCCTCGACGGCACTCCAGTTCACGCAGAGTAATCTGGAGTTGGACTTCGTAGCCGGCTTATCGGCCTCCTTGTCATCCATCCGTATGAGTTCAGTGCAGTATTGCCGTGACACATGACACTCAATCGCAGGACCTCGAGGCAATGGTCTATGTTTTCAATGTTGTCAGCAGTCTGTCCCCCTCGTAGGGGAAAAATACGGGATACTGACCTAGATGCCCGTGAAGATAACGGTCTTGTGCCTCTGTGTGGTTTGGGTAGTACCGTTCCTGGTAGAGGTAGAGCCGCAGGTTCCGCTACGCCATGTCAGCTAGACACTTCTGGCTTCGGAATCTCACTCATAGTGTTATACGCACCAGACAGTGGAGCTCGTGATACACACTGATGGAAGCGGGATATCCTCCGTCGACCAGCTCAACGATATTGTCCAACGACTCCCCTGCTGCCTCCAGTTCCTCGCGGCTGATGTTGAAGTAGACAGCTGGAAATCATTAGCGATCAAGCTCGGCTTAGGGTTTGACTGCTTACGTCTTATCAAATCGTCCCATGCGTCGTCTTGTTCGTCCGTGGGAGGACCGGCATACTTGCTGTAGTGGTCGTGATCTGTGGCGTGCTCACTGTGTACTTCGTAATCAACGAACTCCTGAACTGGGGCTATAAGATGTAATTAGTACCGACTTCTGTACCCCTATCTCACCGGTCTTACTCACACCATGAACGTCCCTCAGTAGATCCTCGAGCATTATGGAATATGTCGCTAGTCGATAGCAGCCCTGCTAGCACAAAGATTGTGATGTGAAGGGCCAGGATATATACTCGCGTCCAAGTAACTATCCTGGCAACGTGATTCCTCGGGAGTGCTACTCTGCCAGTGTCGAGCTTTTCTGCGAGACTTGGTGATTCCTCATCTCCTGACAGATCATTCCGGTCTGTCGAGTCCCAAGAGCGTGCCGTTGAGTAAGATACTCAGGCAGACACCCTCTTGCTAACTAGCATGGACGTGATCGAGTTGAAGTAAATGGAGAGTGTGTCTGGTGTAGCAGGCGTATAGTTCCTAGACATTCAATCGCGAATGCCTACCAGGTTGGCAAGCTATACCCCGTACAGATTGTGTCAACTCCATAACGCCTCGTAAGGGGTGGCACCGGTCCCATGGTCAATATTACAGGCTGTACTTACTGCATGTAGGCTTTTTCGAGAAATAGATGCATGTGTCAAATGAGTTGCATTGCATACAGACCAATGATGGTTGCGTGACTCCAAGAGCCAAGACTCAAGAGTCCATAACCGAGACACGGCGATTGGAGTGACGACTGGTGTACTGGAAGGGGCCCGGGTCTTCACCCCCGTGCCATCAAACGGGAGCATCCCGTATCATTTTTTGCATCCTGTAGCTCAGGGTCATCCCTCCCTCGAGCACAAGTAAAGAGTCTTCCTATTTGCACCTTACCGAAATTCCTTCCTTGCACCTTACCTTAGTCAGCCACCTAACAACTACCTAATAGCCGGCCGTTTAACCTACCCACTATATTTATAGCGCTTATTTTACTATAATAACAGGGCATTCGTTGCAACTATCTTTTGATCGGTTAATATCTACATGTTGATAATAATAGTATTAGATTATTACGAAGATATATTTATTACGTAATTAATATTATGTATAGTTCGTTAAAGCGAATTAATTAATATCACTTTCGTATTATTTTATTGTTTTTCACACGTTACGTTAATTAAAACATCAGAATATAATACATTTAATATTACATCTTATTAACATTATAAAGCTATTTCGTTATAATATAAAGTATTTAACGTTATAATTACAAGGTATTTTACGATTATCTTATTAATATTATGATTTTTAATATGAAATTAGGTAAAATTATTATAAACATTTTTATATTACTTTTGATAGTAATTTTTATTAGAAGAATTAATTTCAACCGTTGAGTTTATCGATTTAAGTGTAAAAAAAATTAAATTTTTTTATATACTTAATACGGTTTTATTTATCAGGTATATATAGCTTAAGTCGTTACCGCTCCCGGAGTTTTAACTTTATATACCGACTTTTTTTATTAATATATTCTATATTTGTATAGAGTTTTTGATTTAAAATTTAAAATATTTTTATTTGAACTAATTGTTTTATAGTCGTTTTTAATTGCAGAATAGGGGTTTCAAGGCTTTTAGCTAGCTAGTACTAGATGTATTAATTTTACCGCTTTATATATAAAGGTATTTTTTGTAGGAACAGGCTTGAACGATCAAACATAATACTCGAGTATTGGGTCAAGGTCATGATGTTGCTGATGGTTGGATTGGGAAGTCTAGCTGGACCTGCAGGTCTGACTAAATGACCTCACAATCTGGTATCTAATATCTTATCTAATCATACATGTGGGTCCTGTATAGATGGTGTGACTGTGGAATCACATGGATCCAGCAATTTAAGTGTATTATCTAATTAGATTATATTTAAATAAATATATCATTTCTTACCCTTTCGTTTTGAAAGTTTTAACAGCTTTTAAGTGTCACGGCGCTGGACCCTGCCTATGGGCAGGAAGTGGAGGGACCCCGGGCGCCAGCTGTCGGCGGCCCGGGTGGACCAATGTGGACCTGAGAACTGACGATATCTTCACTGTTCCCGCCCGAACCTGAATTGTAGCTCTTCGAGCTACATCCTGTCAATAGAGTTACTTGTAACCCTGCCAGAACCGTAGAGAATAGACTGTCATACGATCGCCTATACTGCCCGTACCGGAGCCCGTGACATTAAGTTAATCATATGATAGTTATAAGTTTAAAAGCGGCGTAATAACCCGTTACCGATTAATTATTTATTTATTTGCTAATTTAAATGTTATTATGTAGTGTTATTTGGTTTTTAAAATTATTAATACTACGATACCGACCTATTCAAAAAGCTTATATATAAGCTTAATTCATATCTTTTAATAATATTAATAACGCTTAAATTTGGAGTGCTAGTAATATTTTAAAAAAGCTTTTACATCTTAGTTTTAAAGCATGCGGCTTTTAGATATATAAATAAATAGTTCCTTCAAAAGAAATAATGCTTATAATAACGATATATTTGAAAGATAAGCAGTTATAAGTTTTTAATACAATATTGTCATATAGTCATACGAGCGACTTATTATTATTATTATTATTATCATTATTATTATTATTATTATTATTATTATTATTATTATTATTATTATTATTATTATTATTATTATTATTATTATTATTATTATTATTATTATTATTATCATCATTATTATTAAGTAAAGTTTTCTCGTTTAAGTTGTTTTTATAAGTGTAATATCTTACAGTAAATAAGGTCGACGTGCTTAACTATTCGAGTTAAAAGAGTATTAACGAGATATTATATATATAATAACAATAAGTAAACGATTTATATCGTTTAAATTTAAGAAATAACTACAAAACTGTGAGATTCTAGAAGGGTCACAAGCCTTGATGGTGTGAGTGGTCACTACAAATGTTGTTGTCATTCTCAAGTATGCTCGGCAGGGCTAATCTACAGCTAAATACCATACTGCACTATGCCAGGGTGGATCCACTGGTCTCATAGCAGCCCCCTAGCATATACTGCACCTAAGGGTACTATATCTGGGATCCAACATCTGACAGAAACCTAATATTTTAAGTGATATCTACTAACATTAAAAAATAGCTACGCGAAAAAAAAGTAACGTATATTATTTAATTGAGTAATAAAATCTCGTTATAAAGTAACGAAAATAACATGATTTGCTTTTAAAGGTACGGTAAATCTAATTAAATACAGTATAGTTTAAAGCAAACCGAAGTATCTTTACGAGAAAAATGATATGTAAATCATAATATTAATAAAATTTCGTTGCTGTCACGATGCCTGCGGCGGTGTGTTGCAATATAGGATTAATTACACAAATAATAAGGTGAGGAAGGAAATGGAAGCCAGCAAAGTGGTGTGCGCAGCACACACCTTAAATAGTGGTTCTGTTCCTTCCTTATCTAATCTACACGTGACCTGATGACTAAGCATACATCTACTAAGCATCTATCCATCCAGGTAGATACGGCTGTACACCATCACAGTTGCTTAAAAACCAGAATAATGTTTTTAAACTTAAAAAGAGCTAATAACGGCTACTAAATACCTATTAAGTAATTCTTATCGAAATATTATAAAGTATTTATTAAATAAATCTTGTCAAAATATAAACTATTAAGTTATTAATACAGTATAAAGTTACTTATTAAAGATTTAAACCTTAAAAAAATACGTATCAAGTACTTATTAAAACAATTTGCATTATTTGAATTATAAAATTCGCGTAAAATATACCAAGAACGGCGTTATTAAGTACTTATCAAAAAAAACCTGCCGAAGTATTTTTTACGTAATATTTACCGAATAAAGTGTTATTAAAATACTAGCTGTTATTAAATACGATACAAAACTACATATTGAAATACGCGGTAATACTTACCGGGATAAATTTAACTCTTAGTAAAAGGTTGATTGTAACAATGTTAATATCTTCTAAATCGTATTGCTCTTTTTAAAAAACTCGCGATTAAAATAATATAACAATATCTATAAAGCTTAATTGAAAATATCATTCTAAACTTTACAATCTTTACATCGTTAATCGCATGAACATATTAGTATATAAAGCGAATAATTAAGAGGTTGACTATATTATTATACGTAAATTAACTATTTAACTAACTAAGTAAACGCTATTATTATATATAGTAGCAAACCTTTTTTATCTTACTTATTTAACTGCCACTTGATTAGTTAAAGCACTTACTTGATAGGTCTTTTTAATAAGATATGTCACTGTTTTCTAACTAAATATTATCGTATAAATTCAATTATACTAAAATTACCTTTATTATATTTAAAGATCTTTATATTGTCACGGCGAGCGTACTAAGGACCTAGGACATGGCCGACAGCAAGCAGCTATTACTCTATTGACGAGGATATCAAGAGTAGAGAGGAAAGAAAGAGAGAGAGAGATAGGTACAACGGGAGGTTGCCCCTTCAAGGAGATCCTCCGGTCAGATTCTTTCCTTATTGGGAAGTATCGGCTTGTCATGTAGGAAGGTCCTTGCAGGCCGTCACATATATTTAATTAATTTGATAACTAACGATTTATAAAGAGGATAAAAGTAAAGCGCGTTTAATATAATCGCGTATAATATTTAAAGCCAAACAATTAAATTAATCACATTATAAAGTATGAAGTACTATTATAAGTTATTCAGATATTTAAATATCATATAATACTTTAAATATAATAGCAAGTTTAAAATATGTTAAAAGCTTATGAAAGACTTAAAATTAGCTTTTAAAGAAACGAAAGTAACTTTAATTTTAAAAATTATTATAAGAGATTTCAAAAGCCGGATTTTTCCAGCCTTTAAAGGCTTTTATCTAGTTAAATAAGACTTTAAAGATAAAAAACGAGTTTTAAAAAATCGAAGGTATATTATAAAGTGGTGGTTTTAAGGCGTTCAACTAGCTAGTATTAAATATACCGGATTTACCGCTTTATATATACATGTGATGGTTGCTACATCGCTACTATTGGTGATGGTCCTGGGATCACGTGACAGCACGTGACCTTTTGAACGACTGGTTGTCCCAGACCCACTAGGGCTCTGAATTATAGGGCGGACACACTAGTCTAGTTGCCCACCAGATTTGGCTGTGCCGCTCAATCTTCTTTTTTGTCAGATACCAGCGCACCATTTGGGCCATGCACTGACTATGTCACGTGGATGATATTGCACTAGACTGCAACCAGCCACCAGGGCAGAACTAGTACTGAAAACTCGTACACAGATAGACAGTGCTCATCACAACATTATAATACACTCATCAATTGACCCTCGTATTCAACATTTTTCCTCTTCAGCCGGAGATAGTTATACGTACAAAGTAAACAAGGGCTTCTATGTCCTATTTACATATACAAAACGTCACAATGCAGTGATTTCGGTAAATTATTTAATTAAATTATATTTAAATGAATAAATCACTTTTCACCATTTTGTTTTTTAAGCTTTAACAACCTTTAAGTTAATAAATACAATATTTTTTTATTAAAATTAATATTACTACTAGTAATTTCGCCTTTATATTACGTGTTTATAATAATATAATTATCATTATTACTTTTGTTATATCTTTGATCTTTAACCTCGTTACTACTTTTATTTATATATATAAAACTCGAATAAAATCTTATTATCGTCTTTTCCACTAGCGCTTTTCAATAATTAGCTAGCTTATGGTTATGTTATCTTATTAGCACTTTAGAAAAATATAGCGATCTTTTCAACTTCTTTTTAATATAATTTATTATGCCGTTAATAAAAAGCAAGGCTATTATTATGTTTATTTATAAATTTAAAATTAAAATCTTCGTGAAATTTTTAACTGCTTTTTTATTTTTATTTTTCTTTATAGATTGGTTTAAGATGATTGTATCCTTTAGAATGACACCTTTTTAATTTAAAAATATAAAGGTTAGATAAATTGAGTTAAGCTTATTATTTAATCCTTTTTAAATATTAAAATAGATTTACGTCTTTTTAAAAAAGGATTAACGTAAATTTCTCCTTTGTTGGATCCATGTGATTCCACAGTCAAACCATCCATACAGAACCCACATGTATGATTAGATAAGAGATTAGATACCAGATTATGAGGTCACTTAGCCAGACCTTCAGGTCCAGCTAGACTTCCCAATCCAACCATCAGCAACATCATAACCTTGACCCCATACTCGAGTATTTTAACTGATCGTTCAAGCCTGTTTCAACATCCTTTATGATATTGATCTTTAAAGAGTCTTATACTAATAATAAAATCTTATATAATATTCATTTGTTAACGAGTATATAAATATATTTATTAATTTATAAAGGCTTCAACTTGTTTTTACATAATAAAAAGAACGTTATTAGTTTATACTAGTAGTAGATCAACAAAAAGGAATTATTGAAACATTCTTTTAAAAACCCTATCTCGTATTATTATAATATATTTAAATCTTTCTTCGGTATTTTTCTTTCTAAAATATCTTAAAGTTTTAAAGTTAATTGAACACTTTAAAATGTGAGCGCGAGTATTGAAGATATAGTCTTTTAAAACTTCCCAAATCGTTTTCATTGATAATATAACTTATATATTAAAGTTATAATATATTTACGTATAATATATCGCTTACTTTTTAGAAATTAAAAGGTTTATAATTAATGGTATAGTATTACTTTTAATTACATATATTAAAATAATTACAAACCCATCCTTTAAGCTTATATAAATTAGTCCGGAGCTATATATATAAGATAGAAGAAGAAAAAGTTCTATTTATCTTATAAAAAGAAAATTTTATTAAAAAGCGGCATTCATATATCTTTATTACTTTAATTAATAGTTTATAATATTTTATACAAATTCTTTTAAGGTTAAAAATAAGCTTAATAACTTTATTAGGGTTGATTTTTCTTATCTTCCTTACTTTTGTTTTTATACTTATTTGTAAGCCAGTTACATTATTAATAACGTTTCTACTAAATTGGAAATATAGGTTTATAGCTTAAAAAAATGTTTTTATCCCTTCTTATAACTTTGTATTTTTATCTATAATATTTATATTAACAAACCGATCTTTACATAAAATCTAATAAGTTAACAAATTTTTAATAGTAATAATTATTATTTTTATTATTAATAAAGGTAAAAGTGCGGTTAAATAGAAAGCCCGTAATAATTTACCTCATATTGTTAAATAATATCATTTTTTATATATTAATACTTTATGTATTATTTATATTGATTATTTAAAAATATTACTTTTGAAGCTATATGTAATAATAAAATGTTTGAAAAATAACTATAAGTTATTTTATAAATAAATCATTATACTTAGTCGATTTTTACCTACGTTTTTTAAAAACGTTTAATAAAGGCTTATATATTAATGAAGTATTTTTAAAGCGCTAACGGACATTATTCCAAATATTATTAATATTGTTTATAAATAGTTTTAAGTTACTTTTAAACAATTAATAATATTACGGCAAAGTTTTTATAATTAAAAGGCTTATTAGTTATTAAGTTTTAAAGCAAGTAAATATAAAGATTAAATATACTATTGTACCTAGGTTAGTCATCCTAATAAACAAAAAGGCTCTATTTATTGTATAGTTATAACTCTTTTATCGTATTTAATTAACTGCTATTTAACTAGTTGAAACCTCTTTTATCAATAAGTTTTTCTTAGGTAACTTATATTAAAATACCGTTGGTTTAAAAGACTTAATTACTTTTAATCATAATGATAAAGCTTTAAAAGTTCAGACTAATTAAAAGGCGTTATTTCTAATATAGTTTTATAATATCTGACGACGTATATATCTTGTTAAAAGCGTTAAAAAGATGATAGAAGCTTTTAAAACGCTCAAAACGCTCAAAACTACGATGAAGATTAAACGAACGAAAAAAGCCTGCTTTTTATGTGCTAGTTCAAATTGAGTGCTTTATAACTCGTAAAAAATGGTTCTTTATACTTCGTATCTTTTTTAACGTGTTATAATATCTATTTATACTACTTTAAACAAAGAGACAGCGAGTATGCTGCCTATTTTGGCATGTTCTGCCTCCAAGTCTGGCAGTGCATTTGCCAGCGATCCGTCGCCGCTTTAAGCTGCATATCGCACCATGTGCCACCATGCACATGGGCCTTGTACTTTGATGTATCGTTCAGAGTACTCATGTCCACGATCACGACGCAAATCCTGGACTCTTAGTCAGTTTGGTATCTGGCACCCATGCTGTGTCCTTCCCTTCCCTTGTTTGCTCAGCCTGTCAGCAGCATAACCAGAGATGGCTCTTATATTCCTTTTAAATACCAGTTTCTTGCTTCATTTGGGCAATAATGTTTTTTGGTTTTCTTTTCCTCATTACCTCCAGTTGAATGAGCGCAACGTTTTCTAATGAACTGCATTTATTATGATCTATTATTCCTTATAGCATTAATACCATGGCCCGCCAACGTGTCAGTGATGACCCATACGGCTCACAAGTTACTGACGACTTGTACAACACAGACGCATCTTTCTCCGCAGTAGAGGATGCAGATGCTGACGACCTCCTTGACGTAGACGAGGATGTATCAAGCCAAGAGAGCAACGCAACGGACGTAGAGGACTTCAGTAATGACAATTCCAATATTGCAGATCAAGTCCACCTCTTTGTAAGGAATCTTCATCCGCTGGAGTACTACAAGAGGGCGCTATTAGAGTTCAAGAAGAGTGCTTTTAACAGTGGAGATTACAGTTCTGAAAGCACTATACAATTTGATGCAATTAAGAAGCAGTGACAGACGTAAGTCATTCTAGTGCTTATGTCTTCTCATGCTAACGATATTTTTCTGGCAGGTTCTGTACTGACGTTGTGGGACGGGATCCCCAGACTTGCTTCGAGTCTATTGATATCCGTCTCCTCTACAACTTTTCCGATTGGTCCTTGAACCAAATGGCTGGTAAGAATACACAGAAAAAAAGGGGAACAAAGAAAAGCAGTTCACTAGACACAAATTGGAAGGTCTTTCGTCTTGTGTATGAGACGGCCATGGGTGCGAAGCTTGATCCAAAATTGAATCACAACATGCATAAGGTAAGTAGGAATTTAATGACCTACCGAAGACCTATTTCTAATATTTTCTTTCAGGTCTTGAGATCACTGGGAAAGAAACACAAACTGAGCGACCAAAAGAGGGACAATCGCTGTATGACCATTGACGACCTCAAAGCAGAGATTGAGACAACACTGAGCACGACAAGGAAGTCGTTTGACCTCAGGGAGCTCCGGATTCTTACCGTTTTATTTCTTCTCTTCCTGGCTTCTTTTGGCTTGCGCCCGAAATCTATCTTGTGGCTCCAATTTCGAGATATTCGGGTTGTATTAGCAAGAGATCCTGATGGTGGGCCGGCCACACAAGCTTTTGATCAAGTTTACTCTCGAGTTTACTAAGACGTATCTTGGAACAAAAGACGTGTAAGTGTTCTATCCTGGCAACTTAAGGCTTTTTTATATTGATATCATGGGTGCTTTAGTAAGACGTTTACGATTCCTGAGACCATGTTTGATCCATCTTTGTTTCTCAGTCCTCATATCTTCTTCCTTGGCATCTTGTTCTATAATCAAGCTTTCCGGGCTCCTAGTCTTGTCTCTTCTCGCCATTTAGACGATCTTGATATCTACGCCGGCAAAAAAGAGTTGCCTTTGCCACTCAGAGACGACCTCAAAGGCGTATGTATATTCCGCCAAGTTATTACAACTGCTACCGGCCTGCAGATATCACAGGCGGAACCTATCACCTATGGCATGATGAGGGGTTGAATTAAGAGGTTTGGAAAGATTCTAGGCCTTCAATACCCAACTATCGCATATTTATTGCGGTATAATGCAGGCAATGATTGATTGATTGATTGATTGTATTTATCATGAGTACAGCCCCTCAACAAGGCAAACCATGCCTCCTAGAGCCATTGCATCGCAAGTTCGTAGAGGTGTTAGTTTAGATACATTCAGATCTGCGCACGAGCCTATCCTCGCTGTAGCGGTACAAATCTGGAGTGTCTAGATGGTTTTAGTCAATATCCAAGCACGATTCTGTCAGAAAAACCTCCTGTCCAGTGACAAAACGACCCAGTGAACCTCAGTCCTCTGGTGTACACATCGTTCTAATAGCCGTTCAATATATGTCGTATTGGTAGGTGAAATAGGTGTTTGTTATCTGCTGGCGAGGGAAACCACAAGGGGAGAAACCTCATAAGAGTGGGTGTTGCGGAGACAAACTGCTTGGCTATCGGGCTTTGTGATAATTGGGCCTCTCCACTGTCGTGTGCTGGTTGTTGACTCGTACAAGCCGGGTCAGAAGGGGGCCAGAAGGGGGCCATAGCAGGATTCAAACCCACTTGTTCTCGTCGCCCACCGCACAAACAAGAACACAACCAGGCGCATTTGACCATTGCGCCATACGGCCAGACATTACGAATAATTGTCCCAATTTAGGGACACCTGGACTGTGTCCACAAGGCTGATCGGTGGATAGTCCCGGACGATAAACTACAAGAGCTGGTGGACAATGTCCAAAACAGGATTCATGAGCTTCCCCGGCTGGGTGCATCCCTGGCCAGGTAGATGCTTTTACGCAGAACTTGATCAACATAATCCAAGGCTGTGTAAGGACAGTGGACAAGAAGCACCGACAATCTAGGCCCACTGCTTGGTGGAATGATGAATGCAAAGCAGCTGTTCAGACATACAGGGCCTTGTCCAAATAGACTGCAAGCCAAGAAAGGCGGAATTCAGCCCGACGGGACATTTGCCGCGTGGTTTGGAAAGCTAGGAGAGAGTACTGGCAGACTCTTCTTGATTCAGCGACTGAACCAAAGGATCTGTACAGAATCATTTCCTGGCACAAGCTGTCAGCAGGATTACGTTCCCCTCTAATCATCATAAGAGACCAAATATTCAAGCCACAAGAGAGCAAGGCAAATGCACTACGCTCAGCCATGTTTGAACAAAGTACCTCATATAACGATATCATTGACCCCTGGTCCACTCAGATCATACAACCCAAGCCATATATCCCCCTTGAATACCATGTCGGACTGGAAGAGGCTGAAGGGTGCACTTTAGGGACCAAGAGCAACTCCCCAGGAATAGATACCCTCACAGTACGGATTCTGAAAGCTTGCTGGCCAGTCATTGGGGAACATATCAGAGCCCTTTTCCAGACCTGCCTACAGATTGGACACCACCCTAAACCATTCAAAGTAGCTGAAGTAGTGATGATCCCAAAACCTGGCAAGAAAGACTACTCCAATCTAAGGGCCTATAGACTAATATCGCTATTATCGTGTCTTGGCAAAGGCCTAGAACGACTCATTGCAAAAAGAATTACCTGGTTTGTCATTAAACTTGGAATTCTAGCTCCATAACATTTTGGAGCTCTGTCAAAGCGCTCTGCCGCCGACTTGGTAGCTGCACTCATACACGATATTGAGCAGGCTCTTGACCAAGGCCTTGTTGCAACGGTAGTCACAGCAGATGTGACAGGGGCCTTCGACGCTGCCCTAATGGGACGGCTGGTGGTTCGCATGAGAGAACAGGGCTGGCCAGACTTTCTCATAAGATGGGTCCAGTCATTCATATCTGAACGGTCCGCAAGAGTTCGGTTTGAAGGTATTGTGACTGATATTAAAGCTCTCACTTGTGGGCTACCACAAGGCTCACCAGCCTCTTTAATCCTTTACATACTGTATATAGAGCCAATTATGCCCGACTTGGTATGAAAAGGAGACGCTTTGGATATACAGACAACCTAATGACTCTCTATATTAGAAAGGACCTTAAAAAAATAGCCAAAGAGGCTTTTGAAAATCTTTACCTGCTTAACTAATAGGGACATAATAATGCTATTGAATTTGACCCCGACAAAACCGAGATCATGCACTTCTCACAGAAAAAGAACTCAGACAATCCTCCGGTCCGCCACGGGACAATAAACAGAACAGCAAAGAACTCCATGCGATGGCTGGGTGTCTTCCTGGATAGAAAACTGAACTTCAAAGATCACGTTTCCTACTGGGCCAAGAAAGCTAGTAGGGTAGCAAACCACTTTCGAGGACTATGCAACACAGTCAAAGGACTTCCAGTAAAGTTAACCAAGAGGGCTGTGAAAACTTGTGTTATTCCTATTCTTACACATGGCCTGGAGGCCTGGTACCCAGGAATGGAAAAAATTGGGAGCTTAGGTGGGACATCAGCATATTGCATTAAAGGGCTTCTTAGAACGATAGATGCTGTACTACGAACGGCAATCAGAGCTATCTTATCAGTCTGGAAAACACACCCTGGACATATCCTACACTTTGAATCACAGATTCCTCCAGCAGGAATTCTTGCAGAGTCAATAAGAAGACGTCACGCCCTCCAACTCAGACGAGTAGACCAGAGACACCCTCTTGTTGGCAGGCTCCAAATACAAGCTCGCAAAGAACCAATAAGGCTACAAAGGAGCTTCCAACTAGTCCCTGACTTCCAGAGACCAATACTCACCAAGCCATTATGAAAGAAGCCCCCAGTCCATAAAGACAAAGACAAAGAAATAGAGCTCTTTAAGCAATGGTTACAGGAAAGAAATGTGAACACTGACCTTGTCATCTACTCAGATGGATCACAATTGGACGACCAAGGCACAACCCGCACTGGATGGGGCTATACCATCAGGAAAGGCGGCACTACACAAGAAGTATACCGGGGAAGGGGCAGACTTCTACAAGCAGAAATAGTGGATACTGAAGTCCATGGTGCTCTCCAAGGTCTTGCAACAGCCAGGGCAATTGGACACGGAAAACAGCTATATGTCTGCCTGGACAACACATCAGTTGTGGATAGGCTCAATGGGACTCCACCCGAGATATCACAGAAAAATTTTCTGCGATTCCAAGAACTCGCCACAGCACACATTCCTGGAGTGACCATCAAGTGGATTGCTGGACACAGAGATATTGATGGTAACGAAGCTGCCAATATATTAACAAAAAAGGGTGCTATGCTAGAAACAGACACGACAAACCTTCCTATAATCTCTTGGGTCAAGAGAGATCTCAAGAGAAAGGGCAAGAAAGAGTTCAACCAATGGTAAAAAGACCAATCAGAACCTAGGTATCAAGAAGTATACTCACATGCAGTAACTGAAAGAGGCCTTATATCCTTTAAGAGGAGCACTCTACACAGACTTCTAGCGGCCAGATCTGGACATGGCGACTTTGCCAGATATTACGAACTCTTTGGGCATACAGACTCGAACAACCACTGCAACTATGGTGAAAAAAAACACCACAACATATTTTCTTTTGTAAGAGGCTAGGAAAAAATCGGTTATTGTCTAGGTACTCGCCTAGGACAGCCTGTTTACAATACTTAGGGGAGAGGAGCACAAAATGGGCAAAATTCGTGGAGAAGAGCAAGTTCTTTTTAATAATCTGTCTCCGATAGATAGCTGTTCTTGAAGGACCAGATGGATGACCCCAAGGTCATACCGCCACAACAACGGGGATGGGCCCGTGAGCGGGACTGACTGTACTTATTTTCTTGAGACCTCCACAACCCTGCGATGCAGAGGCTCTGGGAGGCGTGGTCTGCACTACTGAGGAGCTACCCCCCACGTTAAATACAAAACAAAACAAAACAAAACAAAACACTTAGGGGAGAGGAGCACAGAATGGACAAAATTCATTGAGAAGAGCAAGTTCTTTTTAACAATCTGCCCCCAATAGATAGCTTTTCTTGAAGGACCAGATGAAT